ATTTATCAAAAGAAAGTCCTTAAGCAAATCGGGCCGAGCCCATGTCAAAATGTAGGTACCGTGGGTTTTGGGTATTCTCGTTCTTAAATCAGGCCAATATGGCTGCCGTGTTTTAGTCATCCCTATAGCTAGCCACGGAACGCTTACAAATCAATACAAACATAAGTGCTCTTATCTTTTCCCATTCTTACGCTGGTTGCTGGAGTGAACGAGAACAGTTTTGAAGAAAACAAACACAAATTTTAGCATTTTAAAAATTGCAAATTTATCTGCCAAAAAAGGTTTATCAAAAACCTGTTTACTTTTGAAATCAGCCGACGTTTAGATTTTGCACGATTTCATGCAATAGTTATTTAACGTTTGTGTAGTGATAATGTCCACTAGGCAATGGGAATATTACAGGTATTTTGGTGAAGTCTTTCTGGATTTCAAAGACGATGGACTTAATTGACAAGATGATCGTAGAAAAAGTCAAGTTTTGCCGTCCGTGTCAAGCAGCAACTTCAGGTACTTTAACTCTTTTAAAACCTTTAAACATAACTCCTTTACCGAAAGCACCATGGCAAGAAGTTGCAGTTGATTTTGTTGGTCCATTTCCTTCCGGTGAATTACTCCTAGTTGTTGTTGATGAGTTTAGCAGATTCCCAGAAGTAGAAATTGTTAAATTGAAAAGTACAAATGCAAGTTGCCTTGTATTCAAACATCGAAAAGTCACTCCACATTGCCTAAGAGTGAACGGTGAAGTTGAACGCCTTAGCGTATCCTTGAAAAGGCTTTTCATGCAGCATTTGTAGAGAGCAAGAATTGGAAACAAACTTTGTACATTTTCCTTCGACAATATAGAGCTACTCCTCATAGTACAACCAATATTTCTCCTTTTGAGGCCAACAGTAATGGAATACTAAAGATTCTTCTTCCATGTTTTGTAGAGAGCACACAAAAAGATGCATATCACTCAATACAAAAGCGTGATCAAGAAAGAAAGGAAAACATGAAGAAATATGTTGACCATCGATTTAGGGCTAGGGTTAGTGAATTGGAAAAGGGAGACGCAGTCTTAATTCGACAACAAAAGAGAAACAAACTCCCAACACCGTTTAATCCAAAACCGTTTAAAGTTTATGCTCGGAAAGGAAATATGTTTACTTTTAAGCGTGGTCCCTTAAGCTAACCCGTAATGTATCACTCTTTAAAAACATCGAAAGCTCTGAAGCTGTTATGTCTGATGATGATGATGATGATGATGATGATGATGACTTGTATTATAAGGAAGAAAGAATCTCCAGTAAAAATCAAGAAACCATTCCATTAAGAAGGTCGCAAAGAACAAGACAAAAACCCCAGAGACTTGTTTATGATAACCAATCATGTATGGACCACATATAAGGTTAGGCAAAATCAAGACGATTAATGAAAACAAAATCTTGATATTCAAATTAAGAAAAATTTCAAAAATACAAAAATACCTAGATTTAAAAAAACCATTATCTATTAAATTCAAAGAAACATTTCCTTATCTAAACTGGGAGAGATGTAGCATAGTTAATTCCTTAGTTAATTGTTATATTCAAATTGAATATTCATTAGAGTAGTATTTAAATAGTTGTATATATAGGCGTTAAGATCACTCATTATAAATCGTCTCTGTATAAGCAGCAGTGAACACTACATGGAATATTTATTGTCTTAATCATTGGATTTGTGTAAGGAGTAGAGAAGCTCTTTGCACAGCAATGCGTGGATTAACGCTGCCAAAAACGGGAAAGACATGTTCGGAAAAAGTTTAATTTCATTTGGTAACGGTTTTATATCAGATTGTTACTGTAAAACTATTATTGAGCTGGCTTCACGAAGCGTCCAAGTGTTCTTCGAACTTGGGAAGTCAGTATAATAAATTCGGTAAGTATTAAAACAAAAAAAATTTATTATCTTTTTTGAAGTTCACGTTTTAGGTTTATTGATGCGGGTTTTGTGTAAAGTGAATGGTGTTTCACATGCTGTTAACGTGTATTGCATACTTGAAACATTGTTTATATGGAAAACAACATAACATAAAACCAACCAACTGCGAAATTATGTGACTTGTTTAGAAACGCATCTGATATATAGACAAACCTACCTACAGGATTTTTAGATCACACTGACTTTGTGTAAATATGCCGGCGTATATCCTCCGCATATTATGTTCAACTGTTGGTTTATTGTGCAACAAGGCCAAGATAAAATAGTAGAAAACTTAAAGACGGTGATGTCACAGATTTGAAGCTTAGAGAGTTTTTTTTGAGAGAATTAAATGTAATAAAAACGAAACTCGACGCACTGTCAAGAAAAGATCTTCTTAGCAGTTAGGATTTGTTCGACCAGGGAATTGAAAGTTAGGATTTGTTCGACCAGGGAATTCAACTTTTACTTGATTGTATTGAGAAATCCACTCCACTAGAAGAGGGAGAACAGGTAAAATTGAGAAATTTAACTTAAGGAAGTGAAAATGACGCATTGTTAATCTCAAGCTGCAAAAGTGAAAGATATGATGACTTCGATAAAGAACAAATACTTGACAATGCTTTCAAGACATTGAGTAATAAATGCCTAGTGTAAATAAAAGCTGCTGTCGAGAGATTAAAAAACGCTGGCATTGAATCAACTGGTGCATTCAATAACGAAAGTTTGTCAATTGAAGATAGAATCTTTGCATCAAAAATTCAAATTGTTTCAACAATTTTGAAATGCGTGGAACGTCCAGAAATGGCCATTCTATTGTGTTTGTCCTTTTTAGAGAAACGTCATTCGTTACCTGCTCTTTGTGACATATTTGAAGTTTACATCAATCGTGGACTAAAGTCATTATGGAATAAAAACTTTTGAGTAGAAAGCGTACGATCAGTGATGCTCATTAACCGTATATTGTATCAGTTTATTAAAGAATTTGGAAAAACATATCCTGTCGTATTAGCTTGGCCGACCATTCAGCTGAAAATCAAACAATTTAACCCAATATGGAATTGGCGTGAAATCTCGGAGAGAAATTCTTGGGACTATGAGGTCCAAGGTCTTAATGAATTGGAATGGAAAGGTGTAATATTTGCATGACATTTTCATTGCAATAGTAGCAATGACATAAATTATCGTAATGAGAAGAACCAATTAATCAAGATGTTAAAAGAGAATGTTGATAATAAAATGGCTTTTACTGACAAAGTCTTTGGGAGCATTTGCTTATTCGTGACAGCACAAACCGTTTTAGGTGATTCCCTTTCTATATACATTTTATCAATGGAAAGTTGTTAGAAGTCGGCAATGAAGTTGAACATAATATTAAAAAATTTTTCCTATCACTTTGGTCTTAAGAGATTTCTCATAATTGAAAAGTCTGTCTTTTTTTTACAATCAAGTCAATATCCTGTTATTTATTGTGACCCATTTTGGAAATTATCTTATCATATGCCGTGTTAGAGCTTAGCTTCTAGAAATACTAATCAATTTTTCATGTTTGTGGTCAAACGTCATATACTGCAATTCCCTTTCCCCCGTTTTTATGAATTGATATCTGTTAAAACACTGTATTTTTGTTTCCTCGCAAAAGAGGAAATTTTTATAAAATTTATTGTTGGAATGTTAATTTCTAACAACATTTGCTAATTAGTTTACAACTGTGTGGAAAAACAATTTAAGAACGAGGATACCCAAAACCAAGTGTAGACTGTGACAAGTAGACTTGGCCTAAATGGCTAAAAGACTTAAAACGATGTGAACATCTTTGATTTGGGGCGTAACACAACATCTGATGGCACCTAGTAAAACAATTTGACCCCATTTTGCTACCCAGAGTGTAATTTTCATTTTCTAGGTAGAATAGTATACGTATGATTTTTTCTTCGATTGTATATTGTAGACACCTCCCCCTAAAGACAGGGGACCCCAACCAGTTCGAACCTTTAGTAGTTTGTGTTTGATGTAATTGGAAAGAGAAAAACTATAAACTCTTTATATCGTGAATGACGCTTCGAAACGTTCACGCTACAGAAGCAATTTTCGATACAACTTCCATTTTTATGACCTAGGGTAAGTTTTCACGTGCCCATCATGCAAAATTTGCATGTGCCCTACCTGCCGAAAAATTCTGGCGACGCCTCTGGAAGTATCATGACAAACAAACAATATAAAACGAAAATAAGCCAATTAGTGTGAGAAATATTTGTGTTTAGAAATTTTAAAGGGATAAATATTTATGCTTTTTCTATCGACAGTAGCAAGTTTGTTTTTAACACTTGCTATAATACTTTATAGAAACAAATGGTGGGAGAAAAATGTGCCAGTAAGCTATGACTTGAGTGGTTTTCGTGTAGCTACTTTGACGTTAGGCTTTTAAGGTTCGTGTCAAACGTCGCATTTTACATGAGCCGATTGCGATTAAAACAAAAAATAATGAGGGATTTTGTCTCATTTCCGTTTGTCCTTAACGCATTTAACTCATGCAAAATGCGACGTTTGAAATGATTGTTTTGGCGGAGAAAGCGACGACATTTTGACCTCCAAACGTTTATGTGGCACAAAATATGTTTCGTGTGGTCTGAAAAGTAAACATCGCAGTCAAAATAAATGATTAAAAAATTACAATAAGTCATAATAATAATCACATTCCACACACCATGAAGTGTAACGTTAGTAATTTCTATTCAATATTTTGATTTCGATCAATGACTTAGCTGTAAGTGTTATATTAACGTTAAAATTCACATTCAGTCAAAACTCTAGAGTATTTTGTGTATACCGCTTCTAGCATCGATTTTGTATTCGACGTTCTTCGTCTTATAACCTAAATCTTCGTGTGAGATGTTTGTCAACGTGAAGCAATCGAGGGGAATTTTGTGACATAACCAAAACAAACGCTTTTGTACTATTGAAATTGCGTTATTACATGACTTTAGATGAGTCGGCTTCTTTTAAATTTAGTTATTCCGTGACGGTGGAAAAGCAAACATTGGTTAGAAACTTTGGCAAATGGTTTAGCGTACTTTGACTAGTCCACTAGTACAATCTCAAGTAAGTATATTTCATAAGTTCTCAACAATGTTGGTTGTACTTAATTAACATCCTGGTAGGGCAATTTATGAATGATTTTATTCCCAAATACTTCAAACGTGTACACTTAAACTAGCAAGATTGTTCTGTTCTACTAAAATTTTGTTTGGTCTTACAAAGTTCCCTTTTTATAATAATTGTAAGTGTAATTTTATATAACATGAACTTCTTGAACAATGCTGTTTAGCAGAGAGTTTCTATGTCGTTTCCGCGTACTATAGCATTCCATGTCTGCTATTATTGCGTTGGAGTAATGCGATTATTATTTTTTATTAGTGCCATCACTTTTACGAAAGCGATGAGTTAAATCGAGTCCTAAACACGGAAGCTGACATCGATAATCTTAGTTAAAGCAATCTTAGAAGAATTCTTGAAACAACGGCGGACAAACTACTTTAAAATGGAAACGTCATCAAAAATTGAAGACGAAATGCTAAATATGTTACAATGGACAGAAGATTCACATTCCTTAAAAGATTTTGTTGATGTTTTTTCACTTCCACAAGTCGTAAAAGTTATCCGTGGTTATGATGGCGGTGAACACAGCGCTACCATTGGTTATGGAGAAGTTCTCACTCTTCACGGTATCAGAGAGTCAAGGATATTCCATGCTGAAGACATTAGCGGAAACCATTACGCTTTGAAATGCAATTTCTCTGGTGAATTTCACATAGTACCTAATTTAAAGAAAAATGGTTGTCAATCTTTAAATGTATTCGAGATCAACAATTTCTTTCCTAAGTCGGTTTTGTTTCTCGAATCGCTTGATGCAAACTACGGTTTACAAGAGGACGTTGATCACACAGAGATTGGCGAAATGTACAAAATTTTAAAGGTGGAAAATGGCCAGAATCCAGAGAAAGTTTTAATAAAGGTGTTAAACATGGAGACAAATCGTGAATGTACTTTGACATCATCGTGTACGACGTCTTTCCTACCACTCACCGACTGTAAGAAACATACTTGTTTGGAATTGAGAAGTCAAACGTTCGAGTTTCCTACTGGAATTAATTTTATTGTAGAAGATGGGAGAATCCCTGAAATAGAAAGGTTAGTCCTACATGATATGGAAACACGATTTTAATCTATTTAGGGCAGGAAAAGTTTTCACAATATATGTGATTTAAAATACCGATTCGTAATTTTTATTTGTGTTAACATAACTTTATTGAAATGACGCTTAATTATCGATTTAAACTAAATTTGAATTTATAACTTTGTCGTCTTTTGTAAAAACCGACAAACTTAAATTACAAAGCCTTCTTTCAGAAAAATTGCTTATATATATATATAAACATATATAGACAGAGAATATTTGAACAACAAAATTAAAATATTGTAACAAAAACGTGAATTTACATTCTGGTTCAGATAAGTCTTTGACATAGAGTATATACGTCAATATTCGACACCAGTTTCACGATAGACCAGATGTTTAAGCTCTGAAGGTGCCTTGGTTTGAAAAGTAAAACAACAATCTTTTGAATTCCGCTTTTTTTTATGACATAGATAACATCACAATGTAAAAATTTAATGATTGTGTTTGTGTACAAAGGATTTCTTTGTCTGCAAACTGGCATTGCCAACTTTTTAAAAAGGTACTTTATGATGATCCGATTCTTTTGTTGATCTCTACTTAGGCAAATTAGTCACTTATTCCAAAGTAGCCGAGAGCTGCAATTAAGTTCATCACACTCGTGGTGTGTCACGTTTTTCCGTCATGAAATAAAGTTTTAAATAAAAATAATAAATAATAAATAAATGACTCCCTCAAAAGTAAGCACAGTCTCTGAAAAGAATCTATACACTTCATTTAAGAAAAAAAGATGTTACTGTGTTTGCACAGGCTTATGCAAACCGAGGAGATCTTTGGAAGAACTCGAGAGCAGATCATGTTCGAGAGTTCTCACAAACGTCTCCAAGGTTTGCATAAGCCAGCGCAAACACGAAAAAAACTTTTATTTCTTTCATAAAATAGCAATAATGCGAAAAAGACAAACATTTTAATTTTTCATTAAAATGTATTCGTGATCGATTTGCAAATTCTCTTTGATTGATTGATTGTTTAGATTGATTTGATTGGTTGAGCTCAGATGTATTTTGCACTGGCTAATGCAAACTCAGCTCTAGACCAATCAGCACACGCATTTCATTGTGTTTAGTATATAAATATATTTGAATGAAAGTTAGGCAATTTTGAAAGTACACCTACTCGAAAATAAGCGCCTTCATAAATTCAACACCCTACCCTCAACCAAAGAAGCTATCTTTTTAAGGTTGACATTTTAGAAAGGGGGAGCTATTTCTGCGGTAGTTATGTTAATCTGCAAATGCAAAGATTTTATTTGCCTTACTTTCATGTAGTGCATTGAAACCAAGTCGATATCTTAGCCTTATTGAAGAGACAGATTTCATCACCGTTATAGCGACGACTGTAAGCAGTGACGAGTCTTTCAAATTTTGTTTTGAAATACCAAAGGACTTAGACATTAAGTTTGTCATTGCTGATGGCTTTGATAATGGCTCCAAGCATTACACAGACATTGTAAATACACTAAATGATCGTTTTGATGTTTTGAAATTTATGAATACCTGCGAACCATTGCTTATCAGACGTCAGGATCAAATCCATGAATTCAATTACGATGCAATCAAGGAATACATCATCGATAAATCGATATTATCACCAAAGCTTGAAGATAAAGAGGTACTTGACGAGGTTAATGCACCAGCGTTACCTCCAAGAAAACAGAAAGCACCATTCAGACGAGCGACCAAAAGTTTTGACTTACCACCAACGACTTATACTGACTACGCTAAGAAGCCAGTACTTGGCCGAACTAAATCAGCTCAAAGCAAGTCCGTAGCAGGAGTTCAAATCGATAGCAATTTACATCAAAACATATCAAAAGAAATACTCGAACGTAGTATTAATATAAACCACGAACATGTAAATAATATAAAGGGGAAAACAAACTCCAAAGAATCAGTGGATATCCCTCTAAAACCAACACGAGATCCTATTGATCCAAAACACACCACCAAAAGAAACCCGCCCTCTGACGTATCTACAGTTTCCCACGAAAGATCCTTGGTTGAAGAAGTAGTCTCGAAGAATATTCATCATAAACCATTAGTTGTACCTCAAAGTTCCCCCAAATCAACCCAAAGATTTGGTTCAGCTATAAGTAGCAAAATGGCAGTCACATTACCCAAAACTACCCCGAATGATGGTGTGAAGCCTCTTCGTCGTTATTCTCAAAGTGAACCCAAAGTTCTTCTTCATCCATCTGAAGTAGATAATGGTGATGTAGCAGTGGACGAAAAAAAAAGCGACACCATTGCCAGTCGTCGAGAATTTTTCAAGAATTTAGAGAATGCCGTAAAAAATCGCCATTCCAGTAATCCTACTCATTTTGCGAAAAAAAATCTTACAAACCTCGCAAAAGGAACTAAACCCTCTAATATCCCTCCAATAACTCCTACTGTGTACCCTACACCATCACCTATGGTGAGCAAGGATGATAAAAACTCAGCAAAAGAACCAGAACTTATTCATCAAAACCGCTCTAACATTCCTCCATCAACTATTGTATACCCTACACTCTCTCCTACGGTTAACAAAGGTAGTAGAAACCCAGCAAAAGAAGACGAAGTTGTCTATCAAAACTCCTCTAAAAATCCTCTATCAACTACTGTGTACCCTACACTCTCTCCTACGGTTAACAAAGGTGGTAGGAATCATGAAAAAGATGACAAAGTTATCTATGAAAACTCATCTAACATCCCTCTATCAACTATTGTATACCCTACACCATCTCTTGTGGTTAACAAAGATGGTAAAAATCCAGCAAAAGAAGACGAAGTTGTCTATCAAAACCCCTCTAACATTCCTCCATCAACTATTGTATATTCTACACTCTCTCCTAGGTTTAACAAAGATGGTAAAAATCCAGCAAAAAAGGACGAAGTTATCTATGAAAACTTATCTAACATCCCTCTATCAAGTATTGTATACCCTACACTCTCTCCTATAGTTAACAAAGATGGTAGAAATCAGGCAAAAGAAGACAAAGCCATCAATGAAAGCTCCTCCAATATTCCTCCATCGACTATTGTGTACCAAACATCTTCTCCTATTGTTAAGAATGGTTATAAAAATCCCGATAGAGAAGCCAAAGTTATCTGTAAACCCCCAACAAATAACCATCCATCTACAGCTGTGTACGCCTTTCCATCATCTGTTGTTGACTTTCAACATAATCCTGATACTGATTCTTCCATGGAAAAGGTGAAACAATCCTCCAAAAACATGGAAGAAAATACATTAATCAGCAAAACCATAGCCAAAGGTGATGTTGACGATGCCCCTGAACTTCCTGAGAAATCCCTAGCATTAAAGATGAGAACTTCTTATCATGGAAATGAGGCTTCATCTGAGTCCATTTATCAGGTACCAAGTCCTTTGCTTACGCGAAAATCGAATCTTCCTCGATCAGGGCACACTTCTTCAAGTATAATTGGTCCAAAAGCTCTTATTAAGTCAGACGAGAATCCACCTATCGTCCCCATTGTACCACTCGTTACTCCCAATCGTCCCTTCGCTAATCATCCTTACAAATTAATTTGTAACGTTCCACTGGACTTGTCAGGTCTCAGCGTCGTTGACGTAGCAGATATTTTACGAAATTTGAATATGGGACAATATGCCCATATTTTTGAAGAGGAACTAATCGATGGAAGACTGCTAACGAAACTCACCGATTCTGATTTGGAGTCATTTAATATGACCACAATACATCGTACAAAACTGATGAACTTTATCAAAGGTTGGAGGCCCCAACTAACAACTTTAGTTAGCTCATCAAATCATTGATGACTGCCGTTTTCCTTAATGTGTTTAGTGTATCTGTTGATGGAGTATTAACTGAAACTAAGGAAGCGGTCATTGAAAAATAGGGGCGAAACCAATTAGAAAACCTCAAGTTTGATGGTAATTGTTAATCCAATATATAAAAGCTAAAGCGATTTTCTCGTTGAGCAATCAAAACTAAAAGCCTACTTTTTCTTTGACATAACCACACTAGCTTTAAATGAAGAAGTGCAATTGGGTAAATGAGTTAAAAACACTCGTTAAAAAAGATCAGTTAAATGGAATATCATTAGACTTATCCGCACAAGGAGAACTATTTGTAAGTTTGCACATACTTTATGTAATATCATTAAATTCTCCCTGTTCTGTTCGGTCCCATTCCATTTATCAACGTTGACGGATCCCCGAAAGGGATATCCAAATGAATAACCAAATGAATAACCAAAAACTTATAGACTTTGTAATGGCTTATTTACGATTCATATAGCTCATATTACATTTGTTACGGTTGAGATTACTGATTTTTAGTCATTTTGTTAGCATGTAATAGTCATTTGGTCATAGTTTCCTCAAGGGTGTGGTTCTAGGTGTTTTGTTGTCTTAGCAATTCTGCTTTCGCCCCGGTGTGTTATTTTCTTGCCCAGTCTCCATATACGTTTATCGGCCACATTTTGGCGCGAAGCACTGGCGCATAGTCAATTCATTTCATTTTCATCTTCAAATGCAAGAACGAAGAAAAGCGGACTGAAAATTGTACTTTCTTGCCGATAAATCAAAGCTAGATACGTAAATTTTTGTGCTTTATATCGTTAAGATGTAAGTAATTCATGTAAAATGATTTAAAAATACACTTAGTGAGGAGAAATCTTCATATTTATCATTTTATATCGAAACATTTAAAACATGGCGACATGGAATTACAATTTGTGTTATTCAAAAAGTGCTGTTGTCTTAGCGACTTAGTCGTACAGTAAAGCACAGCGATGATGTGAATTAAATTTAAGATGGAGGAAAAAAGACATTGTGTTAACCTGACCATATAAATGTCAAGAACGCTGCGGGAAACCTGACCAAAACTGGGATTTTTTGGCATTGTGTCAATAGTATCATTGAAGCACTGTCCTGCTTTCACGATTTGAAATGGTTGTCAAATTAAATTGTCAAATCGAATCTCTCCTTCATGGCAGTGTCATTTTAGTATGGCAGCATAATATAAATGTCTGTAGAAAGAGATCACTTCAAGGTTAAATGGATATTCATGATTTGTTGATGATGCTACTCTCAGACAAGGGAAATTTTCATTTCAATTGAGGGAAACTACATCGATACAGAAAGGTATAAACTGAATAAAATATTTGTTGGATAAACTCATTACATCACCATATAAGGTCAACATGTTGAAACAATCCACATTTCTTTGCCATAAGACATTCTTATACTTAATAAAGTAATGTGAAATATATGAATAGTATGAAACACAAGTTTGTAGTGTTTTTGGCAATTCTCCCAACTCGTGTGACATTCACACTGTACATAATTCTATTGTCATTCCTGGCTTCCAGTTCAAACTTAGCAAAGCATAAGATAATTATTGTGTCTCAGGGTAACTTTATACTAAAACATATGCTGTAATGGTTTATACAATATCATTGTTATGCATGGGTTGATTTCATGTTGTTACCCCACTTGCCCCCCTGGACAATGCAAAGAAATTAATCCCAGGAAAATGATCAAGTTACCTATGTTAAATGGTATGCTTCAAAATTTCACATTGTGTTTAATTATACGTACAACCCTACAGCTGTATTTGAGTGTGTTGGATCTTGTTTGCAAATTGGCTCTTTTACATGGGAAAGTCATGTAGATATTAAAAGAATTACATATATATTCTAATGAACAGCTGTGATCTTTAGTTTTTGAGAAATTTACATACATGGCAGCTTAAAAGAAAAAAGAAAAATTCTTTTATGTGGGTTTTCATTGTAAGTATATGATACCACTGCTGAAAAACTTTCGATTTTTATTCAGCATCTCAACACATGTATGCTCTAGTTTATTGGTAACCGCTTCAATATTTTTTACGTCAAAATGAAATGTATATAAAATTTTACATGTCTATATAAATTGTGCACCCTGGGGTGGGAAAATACACAATTTGAAAGACTTGGGGGGAGGGGGGGAATTGGCTACGTGTTATATACAAATCCTGCGGGGATTGTTGACAATATTCTTGACAGGGAGAATGGTAACGACAGGAATTGAACCATGCATTGTTCTCAGAGATATAAAGGCAAATGTCAGACCCACCAAACAGGAAGTTTTAACCACTTCCAAACTCTGTGAACTTTTATATGAATCATACACAAAGTACTACATCCAAATATTGAAATTTAAAGTCGAATATATACCTTATATTAAAATATTATACAAGTAGTTTTGAACCGTTAGGCAAGCTCTATTTCAGAGAATTACCCTTGTGTGAATTTTACATCACATCATATTAAAATTTAAATATTATTTGTAACAAATCATGACTTTTAAACAATGTCAGTTGTTGGTGTCTATAGCATCACATCTGATTACTATTAGTTATGTAGAATTCATGAAGAAGGTAATAATGATATATAATAATGGTTCATTTGGCATATATTACAAACTCGAAATATTATTCATTGTTAAATATTTTAAAACGGAAGATGGCAACTGGGTAGTAGCAAATCAGCAATAGGTCAGAATATATTACTAAAAATGTTTTTCCATTATTATAAATACTTAAGAGCAAATCAAATTTGTGGTAATATGGCCGTAAGGATTCTTTAGAAAATATGGACTCCAGTATTTTTATAAAAGTATTTTGAATTTAAAATGAGCCTCTGTAATCTATTTTGACCTACCCTAGACTGTCACTGGAACTGAAAATTTGGCATGACAAAGTAAAAACTTCAAGCTGCATGAACAGGGTTGCAATGCATAATGGTCAGTTAACTTGCTTACCATCATGCATTGCATCCATTGTCATGCAATGATGAATGGTTAAATAATTTACCAAAGTGCACTACATTCATCATTATGCAATGCATGATGGTTAAATCATTTACCAAAGTGCACTACATTCATCATTATGCAATGCATGATGGTTAAATCATTTATCAAAGTGCACAACATTCATCATTATGCAATGCATGATGGTTAAATCATTTACCAAAGTGCGCAACATTCATTATGCAATGCATGATGGTTAAATCATTTACCAAAGTGCACAACATTCATCATTATGCAATACATGATGGTTAAATCATTTACCAAAGTGCACTACACTCATCATTTTGCAATGCATGATGGTTAACTTAGTTAACATGTTACATCGTGTACCAATACCATTACATTATTTATGCCAATAGAGCATTTTCACCGAATGTATCCAGCAAACTACATTATTTTGCTGGTGAAAATGTTCTATATGACAAAAAAGATCATTTTTACTATCCTTTGGGTAAGAAGCGTGCACATCTCAAAAGTTGTTCTCTGTACACTTTGGTACTGTCTGTGTGTTGGCCAAACATCATGCATTTTAGTTCACTTATCTCAATACGTTTCTGACCTGTCTTTTATATTTTACACAAGCTGAAGTTGTAATACCCCTCCCCTATGCCTTATGTGTGCACCCCTGCTTTCGTGGATGGCAAACTGACCTACAAGACTTTCTTTACCATACCCATGTATGTTAAACTGTTCCTTTTGTTTTCATTTGACAGACTAGCAGTTTAAACTATTTCTCCGTTGCTTTTCATGTGAGTCTTTCTAATGAGAGGAGTGATATTCTCGTAGGAATTTCCAGGTTTCCGTCTTGCGTACGGCGCAAAATATTCATAAGGTAGTGTTTTTGAAGAGTTGAGGCGGTTAACATTCTCGTAACTTCGTGCCAACTTAAGTCTGGGACTTCCACCATTTCCTTTGAAGTTCTGCCCTTGTTTATTGTACATATTACCGTGGTTTAGAATCAACACGTTCTCGTAACTTCGCCCGCGTTTCATATCCCTGCCCGCATTACCCCCGAACATTATTCTCGGCCTTACTTCTTCGTAATCGTCGTTGTTGTTTATTGAAGGTTTATGAAGAACGTCACGACCTGTGGATGCGTTGTACGTTTCACGTTCGGATCGAGTTTGAAGGTGAGAAAAGGTTTTTGGTATATTACCGTAGTCGAAAGATAGTGGACATCTAGCTCCGTTGAACGTGTTCACGTAAAGGTTATTTGGTCCGCTGCCGCGCCTCATATCTACGTAATGGCTTTCGTTCTCGACTGCCGTTGCATCGTTTACTTCCGTGGTGTTTTCCGGTTCCCGACGTAAAGTGTTCGTCGTACCTTCGTTTTTCGACCAACCGTACCGGAATATGGGGGCATATAAGGTGTAAACGCATATTTTCTCTTCGAGAGTCTTCGTTTGAAATTCGGCTTGTAACTGTTTCATGATATTTTTGTTAGCTCTGACATTTTGCAGCGAAGCTTCCGCAATTGTGAACGGTGTCGACATATTTGTCGGTAGACCAAGGCATCCGTCATCATCTTTAGTTGTTGCAAGTATCAATGTCTCCATAATTTGCCGATCCAATCTCACTCCAGTTAAATAGTGGAGATCACCATTGCTCTTTTTGTAGACTTCCATACTGGCATCTTCGAAGCACACGCGTACTGGTAGACCGTACTTATCGACGATTTCCGATAGAGTAAATGCTTGATGATCTTTAAGCGGCATGAATTTCATAGGATCTGTGAATTTCAACGTGACATCTGTGGAGGTCGACATGTGTTGACACAACACTATTTTCTTGGTCTTTTTAATCTTCTTTATCTGCAGTATCTCGCCCTTTTTAAGCGCTTCGTTTCCCGAATCGCCAGCGCAATCATGTACTCTGATGTACTGGAACTTGGGGAAAATTTTTTTCAAACCTTCAACATCACATAATCCGTATTTTTCTTTCACCGGGCAGACATAGGCTGGTGTTGAGTACGACAATGCCACCCTCACACGTTTATTGTGATCATCTACACCATGGAGATAGAACGCCGAGTGCAACTCGTGCAAAACTAGTATTTGACCTTCTTTGATGCTTGTCTCTTCGTCAGAGAAATTCTCAGTAGCTTGGACAATTAATGGAAGTTTGTTGTCGTCTTGTAAGTTTGATAAATATGTCACCGTTTCGCTCCATTTCAAGGACTTTTTAAGAATCGCTTTCGGGTCTGTCATGTTTGTTGCACTTGAATATCTGTAAAGGAAAATATTGTTATAGTCGGTTAAAAGTTGAGTTAATTCTCTATCAGCAAAAGTTTTGGTTATATCCTTGAATCTTATTCATTTCATTTTTTTTTATGTCTAAAATATCTGAAATATACCTAAATTTTTTCATTTGAAACCAATCAAAGGCAACTTTCTTTCTATAAACGTCCAGCAAACCGAAGGAAACAAGTCAAATCTTATTCAGAAAAATATTAATTTCATGATTTGAATCGAGGTTTGAACATTTGAGCAGTTTTAAAAACGCGCTATGTAGCTAGTAACTGTCCTATATAACCTAACCTTTGTGTTTATTAGATAAAAGCTTTGCAAGTCATCCTCTTATATGCCAAGATTGGAGCACATTTCTCCTTATTTGTTCATGAAAAGCTCATTTTATAATTGGCTTTTGTAAACAAACATTCGAAAACGCCTTCTTGTCTAGAAAATTTTAAACTTTCAAAGTTCTCGAAATTTGCTGTAAATATCTTTCAACTTCAATACATAGCATTTAAAGATGAAGTCAGTCAATATTTATTATTTAGCACGTTTACTTTGCTGTGTTTTCAACATCGTCATTGTTTGTATTTGCTGGACTTGTGATGAAATTTGAGAGTATTGAGTATTGATTTACGCACGAGACCGACAACATGCGTGGTTTTTGGACTAAATTACAAAACCATCAGCAGAATCTCATCTTGTATTTCTACTACAAGTATTAAATAAAACTTTACTAGCTACTTCATTATTTCTATAACAGCTCTTTCACATACGCGGAAGTCACTTTTTTTGGAAAGCTGAAAGCTATTAAAATTAAAGTATCGTAGATTACATGTGTTTATCATCATAATTAACTATGTCTTTTTCCAGTTTCGATTGCTTTCCGAAACCAATTTTTTCATTAGTTCCATGGATACGAACGTTTAGTTTGGGCTCCGTTTACGCTGTTGCTATATTGGAGAAGGTTGAATTTCCTTCGTGTATTGATTCTATTGAAAATCATTTATAATCGTGTTATGTCAGAAAGTCGAAATAGAATAAACCTATGAACGTATACTCCGAAGATGTGGTGGGCCGGCGAACGAACCTGTTTAGTTTAAACGTAGCCTAAAGCCTTCACTTGTGCGATAGACATAAGTATCAGCACAAAGATTCTAAAAATTCTCCGCGCTCTTATGCTTATGCTTGTGCTTATGATTGCAGTTTGGTGTAAGTGAGGTCACTTCAGCCCTCTTCACACGACATGAACTAACCCGGGTTTAACCCAGGCTAAACTCAACCTACCTCTTAAGATGGGTCGAGTTTAACCCAGGTTGGTTTTTTGCTTGTAAACACTATACTAAACCAGGTTTAACCTTAGGTTAACACTCAACCTACTTTTTGAGATGGCTTTAATTTATGTCGTGTGATAAGTGAGGAGCAGGCTTTAATTACTTTACGTTTAACATCCTTCACATCTATTTATAATCACATAAAGGACTGATATTGGATCTGTCTTTCTGACAAAGACTTTTATATCAAAGGAACAAGCTAAACGCTCGTCTTGTCAGAACGCAGTAAATGTTGGTCGACACAAATATCTAGACGTTTGTTTTACAGTTGCTTTTCCGTTCAAAATGATTAAACGGGGGAAATCTTTCATGTACAATTCGCACGATCTCTTCTCGTCGGTTTGTCAATAATATAATCCGTATACTTTACTATAATGTATATTAATTATAGCGTGCGTGGGATGTAGCTAGAACAGTTTAATTATACAGGTGTGCCTCAAACAATTATAATATATTTTATTTTTCCTCGACTTTTCCAAATAATCCAATGGTAGCGACATATCTTTTGGAATAAATCTCATAAACATTGTTTCACAATATTTTCAAACATAAGAGGGACGTATGTTTTTTAGAATGCAAATCAACTATGAATATTGTTGCTCGATATTTTCAAATGGTCAAACAGGAGCGACACATCTTTTAGAATGCAAACAATTATTTCATGAAGATTGTTTTCCAATTATCTTAAAATTGTCAAATAGAAAAGAAATATCTTTTGTAGCTTGCAAACGATTATCTTATAAAGATTGTTCCCCAAACTACTTTCAAATAGTCAAATGGGAGCATATCTTTTAGAACGCCAACCAATCATCTTAGGAATATTATTCTTCAATGTTTTCAAATACTCAAATGATAGCGACATATCTTTTAGACATGAAAACACTCCGAATGTTTGCTAACATTTAATTAATAGCTACGTGTTTTTTTTCGACTCACTGCTTTGTCCAGGTTTTAACAATCGATACGCAGGAGTACAGTTAAACGGAAATAATTCCGAAAACTATAAATTTTGATATAGTTCATATAGGCTTGTTGCTAAAATGGATAACTGTTTATTTTTATCAATAAACATGCGTGGATTTTTACTGCCCTTCCTGAAGTATTTAAACGGAAACACACACGCTTCCGAATAGAAGAATGGTGTGATATTGCAAAGTATATTGTTATGTGAATGAAACTAGAACTATGTCGGTTTGAAGGATTATCAATGTCCACTGTTGATCTTGTATTTCATATTATCTCTGATATCAAGATATGAAAGAAACTAGAGCTGTGTTTTAAAATATCATCATTGTCCATAGTTGATGTTGCAGTTCAGTTGGTAGAACATTGGAGACAATGATTATCTTGTTACTAATCCTAAGCACATCACAACAACGTGATGTTACTATCTATGATTATAAGATATGAACGAAACTAGAACTGTGTTTTAATATATCATCATAGTCCACAGTTGATCTTACAGTTCAGTTGGTCGAACATTGTGGACAATGATTATCTTGTTACTATACCTGAGTACATCACAACAACGTGATGTTATTATCTATGATATTACGATATGAAAGAAATTAGATCTGTGCTTTAAAATATCGTCATAGTCCTCGTTTAGTTAAATTGGTAGCCGATTACAATAAACAAAAGAGATTAGAACAGACTTTCAAAATATGAAGTTACCTAAATCGCTATCATGATGTTTAATTACATTTTAATAACAACTCACCACAAATACTCCTAATTGTCGGTGATTTCGTAGTCTTGTCTTTATCAAGCACACTTCGCTTTTGCTACCTTCGATCGATTTATTGAATACCATTCGTTTATCCTGGAATGCTTTCGATATATGGAAGCAAAGTTATTGCGCTATTGAACGCCAGTTGCTTTGAAGTGGGAGGACTGGTCTATATACACATTAGCATTTGTATTGTTTGTACTACGTGTATACCAGCGAGGCGTTTAAAATAATCAAACACCCCCTCATTTGGAGTGGCGTCTTTTTCTTACGCAACATATCACAAAACATCTTCGAAATATTTGAATTGGGAGAAATTATCAAGTGTTTCTTTTGATAAAGTTTGAAATTTCGTGAAAACTACTATCTAGTTAAATATTACTTTGAAAAGCAATAATTTCTGAATTAAGGCCTGCGTAGTTTTGTAAAGAACAGTTGGTTATGAATCAACAATGCTCTTTATTTTTTATCATTCTTGGTGCGTAAATTGATATCATCATATCAGTTTTTGGTATTCGTATTTTAACGGTGGCGATAGATTTTCCTTTCGTGGAACGTACTCTTACAATGAACATTAGAAACCAGGTTATTGCAAGAATATGAATTACCATTGTTTTTTATTGCAGACATGTTTCGGCAAACTTATAACATCATCAGTGTGAATATGTTACAATATGTTTCTCTATATATTCAAGTATCACATTTATCGCTTCCGCTTAATCATAGCAAAATCAAATCGAAAAGAGGTTCTGAGGCTGATGAGCTCTGTTTTCTGTGCCCATGACATTAAAGAGTACTCTCTTTTAAAATTGGATGAAAATTGGCAATGTGTGAAAGCCCTTGCCGGTTTAATAAAATCGAAATAACAAGTATAAAATAATTTAAAATAATCATTTTACACAATTTAAATAAAAATCTTTACGAATAAAGTTTTTCTGTATAGCACAGAAAAGTTGGGTGATAAAAACGCCACCCCGGAAACAAGTCTAAAATAGTACATGCAAAATCGACAGAGAGAAAGGGAGGGAGAGAAAGGTGAATTTTTTGTTAAACTTTACCTGACGACGGCTACTTGCTGAATGACATGAAATTTGTTTGTGCATTACCTATGAGGCTAACACCTGTGCACGTGAATTACACTATGTGCATGTGAAGGAAATGCAGATATTTGTAGCAAACAGCCTGTTCGCTCTTGCAGCGTCCGCAATTAACCTTGAACTTCATGACCTTAGCACATGGTCGGTTTTGAGTAAATAAACTAAATAGTAACAACCTTCCCCAGTACTTTTGTATATGTTAAGAGTGTGTCCTACCCTCTCTTCGTTTCTCCCTGATTAAAATATCTCCTATTTACAATCTAAACTACAAACTAACCCGCGGAAGCAATAAAATTATTATTCGCTTATGAAAATAACTCCTTTTGTAACGTATTCATTCGCACTGATGATGGCATAAGTTTGCAGAAACATGTCTGCAATAAAAAAGTTTGTTTTATATATTCAATTTATTATTTCAATTGTGCTTTTACGTAAGTATGGAAAAATTACCATTGTGAAATATAATATCTAATGAAAGACGCCAATAAGATTCATTACATTACTATATTTCGTAAAGGCAATTCATACTCTTGCAATACCTGAGCTTTTAATGTTCATTATATGACTCACATTATGTATTATTTAAGCGCCGTTTATTTATCTTGAAATTCCAATATGTGAACACGTTTCATTAAAGTTAAATGCATTAAGAAACAAATCAAAATTTTCAATTTTATCCTCAAGAGCATTTTATCCTCAATTTTATCCTCACGTGAAGGTCTTGTACTAAAAAACAAAATCAATGGTAATTTTCTCTCGACTTTAATAAAAAAACTAAAGCTCATTGTTTATACACAATCAGACCACGGACATCTTCCTGCTATCACTCAGATAACTGCGTCAGAGCACGGACATTTTCCTGCTACCACTCAGATAACTGCGTCAGAGCACGGACATCTTCCTGCTATCACTCAGATAACTGCGTCAGACCACGGACATCTTCCTGCTATAACTCTGATAACTGCGTCTACTTCAAAGAACTTGCTTATTTAGCTACCAATATTAGGACGCCAGCCATCAATAAAACGCAACAACTTGTTACAGTGAAAACTTTTTACGTTAAGAGACTCCAAAGACTGCATATCCACAGTTATCAACATTGATCCATCGATCATCTCTTTTTCAAATGTTTCAACGTAATCTTTCATTCCTAAGTATTTCAGTAACCGACTGACGTCTGCTACACTTAAACTGGACAGATCTCGAGGATATCGTGATATCGCCTCGTATATTGCTTCTCTATCATTTTCGTTTGGAGAAAAAGGTGGAATAGAGAAAAAAGTCTCGAAGGGAACTTCATTTTCATTTCTTTTTGGGGCGCTCGGAGGGATGTTTGTGGATAACGGGGGTACTGCTGAAATATCCTTCAATTGAAAATTTTCGATATTATGTGAACTGATCGCCTGTTAAAATAAAGTAACTTGTATCATTGTAGGTAGTGATGAATGAACAACAGAAAACAAGAACAATCTTTACACTGTCTAAAATATGTAAGAAATAAGATAACGTGTGTCAGTGTAGGTAGTAAGGAATGAATAACAGAGAACAAGAACAATCTTTACACTATCTAAAATATACAAGAAATAAGATAACGTGTGTCAGTGTAGGTAGAAATGAATGAACAACAGAAAACAAGAACAATCTTCACACTATCTAAAATATATAAGAAATAAGATAACGTGTGTCAGTATAGGTAGTAATGAATAAACAACAGAAAACAAGAACAATCTTTACACTATCTAAAATATGTAAGAAATAAGATAACGTGTGTCTGTGTAGGTAGTAATGAATGAACAACAGAAAACAAGAACAATCTTCACACTATCTAAAATATATAAGAAATAAGATAACGTGTGTCAATATAGGTAGTCATGAATGAGCAACAGAAAACAAGAACAATCTTTACACTATCTAAAATATGTAAGAAATAAGATAACGTGTGTCGATGTAGGTAGTAATGAATGAACAACAGAAAACAAGAACAATCTTTACACTATCTAAAATATGTAAGAAATAAGATAACGTGTGTCAGTGTAGGTAGTAATGAATGAATAACAGAGAACAAGAACAATCTTTACACTATCTAAAATATATAAGAAATAAGATAACGTGTGTCGTGTAGGTAGTAATGAATGAACAACAGAGAACAAGAACAATCTTTACACTATCTTAAATATACAAGAAATAAGATAACGTGTGTCAATGTAGGTAGTAATGAATGAACAACAGAAAACAAGAACAATCTTCACACTATCTAGAATATATAAGAAATAAGATAACGTGTGTCAGTATAGGTAGTAATGAATGAACAACAGAAAACAAGAACAATCTTTACACTATCTAAAATATGTAAGAAATAAGATAACGTGTGTCTGTGTAGGTAGTAATGAATGAACAACAGAAAACAAGAACAATCTTCACACTATCTAAAATATATAAGAAATAAGATAACGTGTGTCAATATAGGTAGTAATGAGTGAGCAACAGAAAACAAGAACAATCTTTACACTATCTAAAATATGTAAGAAATAAGATAACGTGTGTCGATGTAGGTAGTAATGAATGAACAACAGAAAACAAGAACAATCTTTACACTATCTAAAATATATAAGAAATAAGATAACGTGTGTCAATATAGGTAGTCATGAATGAGCAACAGAAAACAAGAACAATCTTTACACTATCTAAAATATGTAAGAAATAAGATAACGTGTGTCGATGTAGGTAGTAATGAATGAACAACAGAAAACAAGAACAATCTTTACACTATCTAAAATATGTAAGAAATAAGATAACGTGTGTCAGTGTAGGTAGTAATGAATGAATAACAGAGAACAAGAACAATCTTTACACTATCTAAAATATACAAGAAATAAGATAACGTGTGTCAGTGTAGGTAGAAATGAATGAACAACAGAAAACAAGAACAATCTTCACACTATCTAAAATATATAAGAAATAAGATAACGTGTGTCAGTATAGGTAGTAATGAATAAACAACAGAAAACAAGAACAATCTTTACACTATCTAAAATATGTAAGAAATAAGATAACGTGTGTCTGTGTAGGTAGTAATGAATGAACAACAGAAAACAAGAACAATCTTCACACTATCTAAAATATATAAGAAATAAGATAACGTGTGTCAATATAGGTAGTCATGAATGAGCAACAGAAAACAAGAACAATCTTTACACTATCTAAAATATGTAAGAAATAAGATAACGTGTGTCGATGTTGGTAGTAATGAATGAACAACAGAAAACAAGAACAATCTTTACACTATCTAAAATATGTAAGAAATAAGATAACGTGTGTCAGTGTAGGTAGTAATGAATGAATAACAGAGAACAAGAACAATCTTTACACTATCTAAAATATATAAGAAATAAGATAACGTGTGTCGTGTAGGTAGTAATGAATGAACAACAGAGAACAAGAACAATCTTTACACTATCTTAAATATACAAGAAATAAGATAACGTGTGTCAATGTAGGTAGTAATGAATGAACAACAGAAAACAAGAACAATCTTCACACTATCTAGAATATATAAGAAATAAGATAACGTGTGTCAGTATAGGTAGTAATGAATGAACAACAGAAAACAAGAACAATCTTTACACTATCTAAAATATGTAAGAAATAAGATAACGTGTGTCTGTGTAGGTAGTAATGAATGAACAACAGAAAACAAGAACAATCTTCACACTATCTAAAATATATAAGAAATAAGATAACGTGTGTCAATATAGGTAGTAATGAGTGAGCAACAGAAAACAAGAACAATCTTTACACTATCTAAAATATGTAAGAAATAAGATAACGTGTGTCGATGTAGGTAGTAATGAATGAACAACAGAAAACAAGAACAATCTTTACACTATCTAAAATATGTAAGAAATAAGATAACGTGTGTCAGTGTAGGTAGTAATGAATGAATAACAGAGAACAAGAACAATCTTTACACTATCTAAAATATGTAAGAAATAAGATAACGTGTGTCAGTGTAGGTAGTAATGAATGAATAACAGAGAACAAGAACAATCTTTACACTATCTAAAATATACAAGAAATAAGATAACGTGTGTCAGTGTAGGTAGAAATGAATGAACAACAGAAAACAAGAACAATCTTCACACTATCTAAAATATATAAGAAATAAGATAACGTGTGTCAGTATAGGTAGTAATGAATAAACAACAGAAAACAAGAACAATCTTTACACTATCTAAAATATGTAAGAAATAAGATAACGTGTGTCTGTGTAGGTAGTAATGAATGAACAACAGAAAACAAGAACAATCTTCACACTATCTAAAATATATAAGAAATAAGATAACGTGTGTCAATATAGGTAGTCATGAATGAGCAACAGAAAACAAGAACAATCTTTACACTATCTAAAATATGTAAGAAATAAGATAACGTGTGTCGATGTTGGTAGTAATGAATGAACAACAGAAAACAAGAACAATCTTTACACTATCTAAAATATGTAAGAAATAAGATAACGTGTGTCAGTGTAGGTAGTAATGAATGAATAACAGAGAACAAGAACAATCTTTACACTATCTAAAATATATAAGAAATAAGATAACGTGTGTCGTGTAGGTAGTAATGAATGAACAACAGAGAACAAGAACAATCTTTACACTATCTTAAATATACAAGAAATAAGATAACGTGTGTCAATGTAGGTAGTAATGAATGAACAACAGAAAACAAGAACAATCTTCACACTATCTAGAATATATAAGAAATAAGATAACGTGTGTCAGTATAGGTAGTAATGAATGAACAACAGAAAACAAGAACAATCTTTACACTATCTAAAATATGTAAGAAATAAGATAACGTGTGTCTGTGTAGGTAGTAATGAATGAACAACAGAAAACAAGAACAATCTTCACACTATCTAAAATATATAAGAAATAAGATAACGTGTGTCAATATAGGTAGTAATGAGTGAGCAACAGAAAACAAGAACAATCTTTACACTATCTAAAATATGTAAGAAATAAGATAACGTGTGTCGATGTAGGTAGTAATGAATGAACAACAGAAAACAAGAACAATCTTTACACTATCTAAAATATGTAAGAAATAAGATAACGTGTGTCAGTGTAGGTAGTAATGAATGAATAACAGAGAACAAGAACAATCTTTACACTATCTAAAATATATAAGAAATAAGGTAACCTGTGTCAGTGTAGCTAGTAATGAATGAACAACAGAAAACAAGAACAATCTTCACACTATCTAAAATATGTAAGAAATAAGATAACGTGTGTCAGTGTAGGTAGTGATGAATGAATAACAGAGAACAAGAACAATCTTTACACTGTCTAAAATATATAAGAAATAGGAAAACGTATGTCAATGTAGGTAGTGATGAATGAACAGCAGAGAACAAGAACAGTCTTTACACTATTTAAAATACTTAAGAAATAAGATAACGTGTGTCAGTGCAGGTAGTGATGTATGAACAGCAGAGAACAAGAACAGTCTTTACACTATTTAAAATACTTAAGAAATAAGATAACGTGTGTCAGTGTAGGTAGTGATGAATGAACAACAGAAAGCAAGAACAGTCTTTACACTATGTAAAATACATAAGAAATGAGATAACGTAGGTCAATGTAATATGTATAAGGTATAAAATGTAAATATTGTGCCAAAAGACTTTTCTTGTTAAGTTACCTTAACTAGTAGAGGCTCATAAGGATGCTGGGCTATTGGACGATAATTAGGATCCAAGGAAGTATAAGTTTCTTCCTGATTTGAAAGCACCTCTTCATAGATTTCGTCTATTGTCGTATATATTTCATCCAAGTTCTCGGTTTGACCTTCTTGCGTTACTGATCTCCTCGATTGATATGTATTTGTCGAATTTTTACGTCCATTTTGAATTGGGAAGTTATTGTGTTCATAATCTTTTCTTAATGTTTTTTTTAATTTTTTCCACACTCTCTTTCGCCACGTTTTTGATATATCCTATGTAAAACATTATCTTATCTCTATCATGTGACAAATAAAGCATCACTTTCGCGTTCAGACCTACTGGCAGTACTTTTCCATAGAGGTATCAGGCAATACTTTTCCATACAGCTAGTACTCTCCTATACAGAACTCTGGGAATACATTACCATGCAGACCTGGGGCAAAACTTTCCCATACAGGTGTCAGACAATTCTTTCTCATACAAATGTCAGGCTTTACTTTCCCATACAACTAATACTCTCCCATACAGACCTCTGACAATACTTTACTATGCAGACCTAGGGCAATACTCTTCCTTACAGGCGTCAGGAAAAACTTTCTCATACAGGCGTAAGGCTACGCTTTCTCATACAGACCTCAGGCAAAACCTTTCCATACAGACCTCTCACAAAACATTAACATGCAGACCCCAGGCTAAACTTACTAAAACAGATCTTGCACTCAGTTTATAAGTCATTAATATTTACTTAAGCACGTGAAAAGTAAAACGTAGATACCTTATCATTCGTGTTTCCTGTCTGTTCTTGTTGTATCTCTGTTGTTGAATCATCCGTTGTCCATAACGTCTTTCGCAAACGTTCTAGAGCTAGTTTGGCGATTTCCGATGAAGCTCTCTTGATGAAAATCGTTTTATCCCAGTACTTTATCGACTTTTTAACGTGGTTTTCCATGTGTTGATAAACATCCAGATCCTTGAAGTTTTTAAGATCACTTTCATTGATTTGTCCTCCCAGACTGTTAACTACTGTGGCGTACGTCATATCTCCATGGAGAAATCCACACGCAACCGAAACTTCGATGTCCAGTTGAATTGGAACGCTTATGCAAACCTTGAAAAAAGTAACTTGACTGTTTCAATTTTGAATGAGCGCAAATGCGATGGAGTTATTGTTGTGTTTTTTAAATCCAGGACCGTTGAATATGACACACGGATGATATGAAAGAAATTCGCAGCAGTTTAAAAGTTTTTTACTATAAACGGGAAATGTGCTCAAATAAAAGATCTCTTGTTTTGCTACGTGGTACAACGGATAGCTTTTAGGAGACGCCTGTTAAAGTAATGTTTGAGAAGTACTTGAATGTACATGAAAGTCAAAATTAAACCAAACAAAAAGACGTGTGTTATTGCCTTGTCAAACGAACGAATGGCGTGCACGTGGTACAGCCTGATTTGGGGGCTTAACATGGAAGTAGTGGCACGTGTGTTATTGCCTTGTCAAACGAACGAATGGCGTGCACGTGGTACAGCCTGATTTGGGGGTTTAACATGGAAGTAGCGGCACTTGTGTTATTGCCTTGTCAAACGAACGAATGGCGTGCACGTGGTACAGCCTGATTTGGGGGTTTAACATGGAAGTAGTGGCACGTGTGTTATTGCCTTGTCAAACGAACGAATGGCGTGCACGTGGTACAACCTGATTTGGGGTTTAACATGGAAGTAGTGGCACGTGTGTTATTGCCTTGTCAAACGAACGAATGGCGTGCACGTGGTACAACCTGATTTGGGGTTTAACATGGAAGTAGTGGCACTTGTGTTATTGCCTTGTCAAACGAACGAATGGCGTGCACGTGGTACAACCTGATTTGGGGTTTAACATGGAAGTAGTGGCACGTGTGTTATTGCCTTGTCAAACGAACGAATGGCGTGCACGTGGTACAACCTGATTTGGGGGTTTAACATGGAAGTAGTGGCACTTGTGTTATTGCCTTGTCAAACGAACGAATGGCGTGCACGTGGTACAGCCTGATTTGGGGTTTAACATGGAAGTAGTGGCACGTGTGTTATTGCCTTGTCAAACGAACGAATGGCGTGCACGTGGTACAACCTGATTTGGGGTTTAACATGGAAGTAGTGGCACTTGTGTTATTGCCTTGTCAAACGAACGAATGGCGTGCACGTGGTACAACCTGATTTGGGGTTTAACATGGAAGTAGTGACACGTGTGTTATTGCCTTGTCAAACGAACGAATGGCGTGCACGTGGTACAGCCTGATTTGGGGGCTTAACATGGAAGTAGTGGCACGTGTGTTATTGCCTTGTCAAACGAACGAATGGCGTGCACGTGGTACAACCTGATTTGGGGGTTTAACATGGAAGTAGTGGCACGTGTGTTATTGCCTTGTCAAACGAACGAATGGCGTGCACGTGGTACAACCTGATTTGGGGTTTAACATGGAAGTAGTGGCACGTGTGTTATTGCCTTGTCAAACGAACGAATGGCGTGCACGTGGTACAACCTGATTTGGGGGTTTAACATGGAAGTAGCGGCACTTGTGTTATTGCCTTGTCAAACGAACGAATGGCGTGCACGTGGTACAGCCTGATTTGGAGGTTTAACATGGAAGTAGCGGCACTTGTGTTATTGCCTTGTCAAACGAACGAATGGCGTGCACGTGGTACAACCTGATTTGGGGGTTTAACATGGAAGTAGCGGTGCTAAGTAGGTTGGTTATGCATTGGGCTGTACAATCATGACGTATACTCAGAGGTGAGCTCATGGAAGGGTAGAGGGAAATGTTTCGTCGTTAGAGATAGATCAAACAATTTTTTGAGTTGGCGATTGTTGACGGTGGGGGGGGGAATTGTCCCCTCCCCCTTACCCAACTTTACATTGCCAGTAACACATTATTTGGTCAATCATTCATTCTATCGTTTTCTATCTGTATATAAACATGCTTTGTCTAACCTTTTCCAAATTAGAACAAACTGTCGTAGCGATAACATCGTTTTCCTGGATTTCTCCAATTGTGATTATCTCACCTAATCTGTTCAGATTTGTTGAGAATTGTCTTGAGCCATAAACAAATTTTATGTCATGTTCCTCGTCAGTTTTATCTATAAATCTGATCTTAGACGGGAAACCGTATTTTGCCTTGATGTTGGCCAAAGTGTAGGGATTTGGGTCTAGCAAAGGAACAAAAATTGCCAAACAGTTAGATGGTAGAATGATATTAAGATCAGTCGAGAGATTCTTGCAGTGGATTCCGTCGTCATATATTGTTTGTATTTCGATGATGTCATTTTCTTTGAATGTGATGTCGTGATCACCGAAGCTCCATTTTGGTCTGTGTTCTAAGACCCTTACATATTTAATCGTTCGATGTGTTTCAGTCAATTGTTTGGCTGTAACTATCGTGTCTCTACATTCCAACGGCAAAACTTCGGCTTTAATTTCACAACTTGATGGTAACATTACTATACTTCTATTTTCAACTCGGCAAACGGTTTGAAATGTTGTTCGAAGTTGATGCAACGTTAAAATTTGGTCTCTACCAAGCGTCGTTCTTTGATCAAAGCCACAGTAGCCCTTCTTCACAGAAACGATTTGAGGAAGTTGAAACGTTTCCACAAATTGTTGTAGATTGTAGTCCTTGTCCGTCCAAATGAGTTTTTCTGTTAGTTGATCATCCGGTGCTTCCAACATGTTTGGTCCTTGAGGGGAAAGCAAATATATATTTTATCTTGCTGTCGTATTTTGGTGGAGTCTCAGTTTCATTGACGTATTAAGACAGTAGAGGTTTCAAGGCTGCTCAGAATACGAACATTTACGATGATTAAATTTTCTGTAACAACAATTGTTGAACAAAACCAAATGCAACAATTGTTTTACGAGCAGAGCCGTTGTTCGCGCTGCTCGCTTCTCATAAAAACAAAAAAAAACGCCACTCACATAAAGACATTTATTTGGAGTTAATTCAAGAGACGTCATTTACAAAAGACAGAACTCTTTATTACTCTCAACGACTTAACTATCCCAGGAAGCAATACACAAAGTACCGCGTCATTAATGACGGTCGAAACAAAGTTGTCAACACAATAAGGAACTACAAGTCCGTTCACATAATCATTGAAGCATCAGACTATATGTCTGCTTCAAGTTTGCCTCAACTTGTTCGAAATCACTACTTTGCTTACAAGGCCTATTTTCAATTCTTGGAAGACAATAAACATGAATAAAGAGAACGTTGGCGTCAATCAACAATACCGTCAAACAAAGCATGTCAACAGCCCACTAGACGCCCGCCAACCGCAAAGAACAAAGTAAAGCACTTGAACACGTGGAAGGTCAGACAGCAGCCAAGATGCAAAATTTCCGACATCACGTTCAATAGCAATTTGTTAGAAATTTATTTAAAGAAATGTAACCGTACATGAACTTATTCATGCAAATGTTCACTAATTTTAAAGTGCCTATGACACGAAAATTTTGCTAGTTAAATTATGTTTGCAATGACCAGAACTTTTGAAATGACGGTAAACTTTCTTGAACAGTTAATGCATGTCTCTATTTCTTCGCGAGATATTGAAGTTTTTGTTATTTCCATTTTATCTAACTTGTTACGTCATATTGCATAATGAGTTCCCAGAATGTTTTAAATACTCTTCAGTTTCCTGGCAACCTTATATCTTATACTATTAACCACGTCACAACAAAGGGAACTCTGTCGTTTCCAATTAAAGTATCGTTAAATATACCTAATACTCCTAGTTCTCATTATGCAATTTGACGTCACAAGTTACATAAATCGGGCAAAGCAAAAACCTCAAAATCTCAAAAATTAAAAGTGATATGCACAAACTGTTTTAGAATGTCCATCGCCATTTCAAAAGATCTCTTTAATAAAAGTACAACTCAGATAGCAAAATTTTTGTGTCATGCGCACTGTAACCAAAAGGAAACTTAACTACATTAAAAGAATATCTTATTTACCAAGTTTAGGACGCCAACCTCCAATAAAACGCAGCAACTTGTTACAGTGAAAGGTATCTACTTCTAAGGATTGCAGAGACTCCTTATCCATGGTTATCAACATTGATCCATCAATCATCTCTTTTTCAAACCTTTCAACGTTACCTTTCATTTCTAAGTATTTCAGTAATCGACTAACCTCTGCTACACTTAAACAGGACAAATCTTGAGGATATCGTGATATCGCCTCGTATATTGCTTCTCTGTCATCTTCGTCAGGAACACTTTTTGGAATGTTTGAAAGTGTAGATAATGTGTCTTCGTAGACACTTTCATTGTTGTCTTCGTTCGTTGAAGTTAGTGGGATATTTGTGGATAACATATACTCGTATGCAATTTCTTTGTCATCTTCCTTTGGAAAAGTTAGGGGGATGTTTGGCGATAACGCGGTCTCATACACAACTTCTTTTCCATCTTCGTTGTGAGAAACTACTGGGATAGTTGGGGATAACGCGGTCTCATACACAACTTCTTTCCCATCTTCGTTGGGGGAAACTTCTTGGATAGTTGGGGATAACGCCGTCTCATACACAACTTCTTTTTCATCTTCCTTCGGGGAATTTGATAGGATGTTTGTGGATAACTTGGGCAAACGTAATGGTACAGGTGGTAAAGGGATATTTTGGATAGCGGCTGTGCAGCTTTTTACTCTGCGCAAACTATCTATTTTTTCTGGTTTTGATGACTTTTGTGTTCCATCCGTGTCCGTTGTTTTTTGCTTGTTCATCAATTTCTTTGGTTTCTTTGGTACTTTCGGTGGAGTCTCAGGCTAAACAATGAAAATGCAATCATGTGATCAGTTTTGCTAATCGCCTAAGATCAAGTAGTGATCTTATGGGATCATGTGAGATCATGTAAGCCTATTTAGTATCGTAGATCGTGTGAAGTCATGTTTGATCGCGTAAAATCATGCATGATTTTGTTAAATGTTTTAATATCATGTAGATCATGGCATATCATATGTTATCATGTAGATCATGGCATATCATATGTTATCATGTAGACCATGGCATATCATATGTTATCATGTAGATCATGGCATATCATATGTTATCATGTTGATCATGGCATATCATATGTTATCATGTAGATCATGGCATATCATATGTTATCATGTAGATCATGGCATATCATATGTTATCATGTAGATCATGGCATATCATATGTTATCATGTAGATCATGGCATATCATATGTTATCATGTAGATCATGGCATATCATATGTTATCATGTAGATCATGGCATATCATATATTATCATGTAGATCAGGGCATATCTTATGTTATCATGTAGATCATGGCATATCATATGTTATCATGTAGACCATGGCATATCATATGTTATCATGTAGATCATGGCATATCTTATGTTATCATGTAGATCATGGCATATCATATGTTATCATGTAGACCATGGCATATCATATGTTATCATGTAGATCATGGCATATCATATGTTATCATGTTGATCATGGCATATCATATGTTATCATGTAGATCATGGCCTAGCATATGTTATCATGTTGATCATGGCATATCATATTTTATCATGTAGATCATGGCATATCATATGGTATCATGTAAATCATGCATACCATATTTATCATGTCGAAGTGCGAGGTATTAGGCTCAAGATCTTATGAACGTCTAGTGGAGTTATTAGCGAGCTTAAGATCATGCGTCGTGCCCTTACGACGACGCTTACAGGAATTACATTTATTGATTTTGATAACCGCGCATGCGTCTGTTTGAAAATCGGCGTGTTGTGTCAAGACGGCGCTTCGATTTTTTTCAAATTCACGGCGTCGTCAAAGTTGTTTAGTTTTTTTCTTTGGATTTGAATATGGCTCTAGAAACTGTTTACATCCCACAGTAACAACAACTCTTTACCGTTTATAATGTTTATCATATTCAAGAGCAAGTTGTTCCCTATAGTTTTTATAAAGATAGTCATCGCTTTACAAATGCATATGGCGCCGGTGATCAATTTTCTTAATCAGGTCTGTTGCTACGACGCCGCCGTTGTTTTTAGCTTTGGCAAATTCGTCGTGCTAAAGTTGCGTCGTGTGAAGCTCATTATTCACATAAAGGAAAAACGATTTTGATTTACAAAATAAAGGCTGAATGTCTAGTTTACCTTAAGTCTTTTGGATTCAATATGCTTGTATGAATTTTCATCTTCAGTGGAATATTTTCCTATAACTGCGTAATGTCTCTCGTTTAAGTTAGATTCATCTTCAGATATTGATTTCTGTCCTTTCATGTTTATGAAAGATCCACGTTTTGACTAAGAGAGAGATGAGGTTATGTGAGAATTCTGATGTTGCACTGAAGGTGTTTTCTTGTTAGGTTACCTGGAGAGGTTCATAAACATTATGGATTGTTGAATAATGGACAGGATCTAAAGAAGTATACCATTTTTCTTCATCCAGAATATTTGGCCGTATTTCATTTGCTGTGTTATCAAATCCTGTCGTATCTTGTTTTAAGTCACTCAACTTTTTTGATTTCTTTGGTCTTGGTCTTTGTGGAACAATTGGTGGAGTCTTTGCAATGAAGAAAACATGATTTGATTTTAAAGATTACATTGTTCATTACGGATAAGTAATGATATGAGTGTAGGCATTTCAATATTATATTGCTCATTATGGATAAGTAATGATATGAGTGTAGTCATTTCAATATTACATTGCTCTTTATGGATAAATAATGATATGAGTGTATGCATTTGAAGATTACGATGTTCATTATGGATAAGTAATGATATGAGTGTATGCATCTCATGATTACATTGTTCTTTATGGATAAATAATGATATGAGGTTGAAAAGGAGTTTTACGCATTTCTTGTTGATTTGCTCTCAAGTTAACTTTTGTTGTTTTCGAAACTCAAAATGTATTCTTATGGTTTGCGTTCTAACTCGAAAACAACTTTGAAAGTTTTGTCTTGACACAAACTTAAAAAAATATTTACTGCGTACAAGAATTACCAAAATATAATTACCAAAATGTTGTCCAAACGTAATGAAAGTCGAGGTTGAACTTTAGGAGCTTCGTCTATCCTTGAGAATTTTTTTGTTTTCTCGTGTTGTTTCAATTGCTGACGGGCATGTTCGGCAACTTCCGATGATGCTTCCCCAATGGAATACGTTTCGTCCCAGTCTTGTATCTGTTTCTTGACAGCATGCACGTGTTGATACACGTCCAGGTCTTCAAATGCTTTGAGATCAGTTTTGTTTAGCTCTTTGTCTAAAGTTTTGACAACCGTTGCGTAGTTCTTGCTGCCTTTTAGAAATCCTTCAGCAACAGTAACATTGATTTCGAGTTTGGTAGGAACGTTCAGGCAAATCTACAGCAGATAAATTTGTGTGTATTGATAGAAAGCTCTTAAAGAAATGCGGACTCCACAAAATGTTTGATGATCAGTCGGTCATTGGTTGTAAGTAAAATTCATTAAAAATCATTTAGTATTTTATTTATGACGAAATCCAAGCATGGGATTTTTTAGGACTTTACACTGGAAGGCCATTAACCTTAAAAGAGTCTGTGAAGCGGGAACTGTGTAGCAAGGAAACTGGAAATACATTTCCCTAGTGGAATCTTTAAAACTGTAAATGCTATTTTATGCTTTTTGTAGAGCAATTTAGTAACAACGAAAACGACGTGTTGTAAAACAAGCATTCTTACTTTAAGCAGGCAATGTATCATCCTAGAGCAATTTAGTAACAACGAAAACGACGTGTTGTAAAACAAGCATTCTTACTTTAAGCAGGCAATGTATCATCCTAGAGCAATTTAGTAACAACGAAAACGACGTGTTGTAAAACAAGCATTCTTACTTTAAGCAGGCAATGTATCATCTTAGAGCAATTTAGCAACAACGAAAACGACGTGCTGTAAAACAAGCATTCTTACTTTGAGCAGGCAATATATCATCGGCAATGAAACCTTTGAAATACCAATCTCAACAAAAGCAAAAAGTGCTTAAGAAGTTGCGGGGCAACAGAAGGGCTTGGGAAGCCAAATAGCCCAACCGTATAAATGAATATGCTTTGGATCCACGAACTGAGATTCCATCCATTTCACAGTTCATTAAAAATATGAGCAGTATATAATTTTCATGTGAAAAATGCAATTCATTCGATGAATATGTTATAACGTAAGGTTTCATGCCAGGGCCATCCCGTGAATGTTAATTGGGGGGGTGGGGGGTGGTGTTAATGCAAATAATCAGTTGTGCTCAACTGATTTCTTTTGAAAGTGAATTTCTTAAATCTTTAAGTGAATTGCTTTCAAAAGAAATCAGTCGGCACAACTGAATATATGAATAAAACACACACACCCGAATTGACATTCCAGCGACGGCTCTGGGCAATGCACGCATAAAAACCGGCTCACAGAACTTACTGAACAGTTTTATGAAACTTCCGGTTCCAATGTATTAATTCCGTTTGGTTGACACGAAATATCAAAAGCCTCTATGTTCGGCACAAATTTTGAGATTGAATCTCTGCGTAAACTAGGTCTGTAGAAATATAAGTTTCTTACTGTAATTAATCATGTCATATTAATACCACGTACCTTCTCTTCTAGGCTCGAACAAACTGTTGTCACAATTGCATCGGTTTCTTGGATTTCTTCAACAACTGTCAGTTGACCCAAACTACATAAATTTCTTGTGGAATGGCTTGCATCAGGTGAGGAAAAGATTATATTGTTATTGTCCCTGTCTGGTAACCATATCTTAGCTGGGAAACCATACTTTGCTTTAATTTCGGCTAAAGTGTAGATGTTTGGGTCTAGTAAAGGGAGGAACTTAGCTAAGTGGTGTGATGGTATAAACGACTCGTGATTGGTTGATAAATTTTTACATAGGAATCCAACTGAATTTGATTCAATTTTCTTTATTTCGAGAGCATCGTTTGCTTCCAATGAATCCTTCGGATCATCGCTACAATTTGCACCAACTTCCATTACTCGCACATATTTTATCTTTTTATATGTTTCAATTAACTGCTTTGCAGATATGTTTACATCGTTTAAATTCATCGGCAACACTTGTGCTTTGACTTCACATTTTGACGGCAAAAGTATAACATTTCTTTTCGCTGTTTGACAAACGATTTTATTGGTTTCCCGAAGTTGATGTAATGTCAAAATTTGATCTCTTCCAAATGTCGTTCTTTCATCATGGCCAAAGTAGCCGTCCTTTACCAAGACTACTTGAGGGAGTTTGAAACTCTTCACGAATTCTTTCAGTAAATATTTTTGATCGCTCCAAATGATGCTTTGCGCTAATTTATACTCAGATGATTCCGACATGCTCGTAGTAATTCTTAATAGAAAGTCATGAAAGCAGCGCTCCTTTTAATTGTAGTTCTTCTAACGTGCTAGGGCGTCAGACAGTCGAAAGTGAAACATCGAAACACGAGTTGTAAATTTTCATCTTATGTATCGTGCAAATTGACTTCCGATCTTTCTCTTAGGACAAATATGCCCTTTTCCAGTCTCATATAATAATAACCAGTTCATATCTTTTGGCTTTAGCAATCATTTTCAAATGAAATATCACGTACCAATGCGAGCGCATGTTTGTTATTTATTGAAAAATTGAATATTTTGGGGGTTTTTTTCCTGCATTTCTCTACCGGTGTACATTTCACGATATAGTTAAAACGTGATGCGATTGATCAATCTGTAAAAGCCACTGTTAGCATCGTGGTGTATTTTACTGGTCGCTTTTATTCGTGGAAATTGTGTTTACAACTTTGCAAAATATTTATGAAAAGTCTTTTGAGTTTTGACTAAGAGTTTGTCGAGATTTATCGTAAATCACGTGTAAATACGGAGACAGGCCATTGTCGAAAAGGAAGTAGAGGGCCAATATATGGACTTCAAACGATTCCGTTGAGTAAAGGTAGTACTTCGATCTTCTACTCCTACGAAAGGTTAAAAGGACTTTGATCGTCTACTTATCTAGTATCTAATGGAAACAAGACGCCTATTCAGGAGTTCACTCTGGCTACTCGTGAGCAGAGTTTTGTTGACATTTGCATATTACTATAGTTGTCAAATAGCACAACGAATTTTACCGCAATGCAATCTTACATGTTGAAATATATTACGTCAGTCAAGTTTGAGTTTACGTACCTTTAGTGACACTTATCACGCGTGACACGATAAAAGAAAGATTTTGGTACTTCACGTAATCAATGTAACAAGCGCGGTCAAAACAAAGCTCTCAACAAAACCAGTGACTATCGATCGTTCACATAATCATTCAAATGTGTCAGGCTACCAAACCTCAAGTCTACCTCATCTTGCTTGCAATCACTACAGTACATGTATAGATCAGAATGTCCTCTGTAACTTCTGTGGAGCAATCACTACAGTACATGTATAGATCAGAATGTCCTCTGTAACTTCTGTGGAGCAATCACTACAGTACATGTATAGATCAGAAAGTCCACTGTAATTTTCGTGGAGCCATCATTGCAGAACATATATATTTCAGAAAGTTCTCTGTAACTTCTGTGGAAAGAAGGAAACACTAAGAGCAAATTTCCTGAGTAACATCACTCAGAAAAGTGGAAGAAGATTTAAGTGTGTCCCAAATACCTAAGAAATAACGATGGTGGCAAGGCATTCAGTGTTAACGCAGTTAAGTTATGGAACAGCCTTCCCCATGATATCAAAAAAATGCCTAGTATAAATCTATTCAAAACAGCTGTGAAAAAGCATTTTATAAGCTCATATAAAAACCTGGACAACTTTGAAACAATATTAAGCAATAGTACACTACCTAATTTTAATTTTAATTTTTTATAAATTAATTTTATCTTTCTGAATATTTTTAATATGTCCAGCTATTTTTATCATAGAATCTTGTAATTATTTATATATTTATTCATTATCAGTTTTTTTGTAATCCTGTATAATCTAGTTAGAGGGCCACAGGTTTGTCAGCTTTTCAGCTGTTACGTGTCCCCCTCTTCAAATAAAGTCCTTATTATTATTATTATTATTATAGATATATGGGGTTATGAGACGTTGTAAAGCCAAGAGACGATGAAGACATAGCCACAATATTACCATAAAATGTTCATGAAGGAAAGATGATAGGTTCAGAGATTAAATCACGTGTGAGAAATATGGAGTTATGAGATGAAATAAAGGCAAGAGTTTATAAAGAGATATCTACAATTTTGCCAGAAAATATACATTTATATGAAAGACATTTTTTTTACTACATCAGTTATTTAAAGAAGCAAGTATTGATCAAATAGGGATTAAAGTACCAAAGAAAAGTCAATTATAGTACTTTCGAAAAGAATACTAAAGCTGGGATGGATTGATGATTAGTTTTTTTGGAGGGGGAGGGTGTGCCCAATGATCTCGAAAAAAGACAGGATCAAGCAACTGTGTATTTTTAGTAAACAAATTTTGAAGTAACACCGCCGCCGTTATTAAGGGACCAACACATCGAAAGATTTTTTAACAAAACTATGGAAAACATAGCAACACATGGCCAAATTATGCTTAAGATAACGCAGAAGATGAAAAACAACCTTTGTGGCGATAGTAAAGCGAGTCAGAAAGAATAATCGGCCGTATAAAACAAAACGCATACATGTTTCACTCCGAATCACTCGTAAATTTGCTCCTTATTTTTGAAAGTTGGTCCCTTAGTAAAGGCGGCGCTCCTTATTTTTTGTCGTCAACTTTTGTGCTAGATGCTTGATCCAGTCTTATTTCGTGATCAGTGGTGTGCTCTAGTTTGGATTATATTTCTGTGGCCATTTTGTGGATGTTGGTGTACCATGTCAGGCTTTTTTGTTGCTCAAACAGAAATGTACTCATAGGGATTTTTCACCTCTTCCGCACACCCCCCCTTTAGCCAAAGAGGAAAGCGTATTCCTCCGCAAATCTTCTGTAAATCTATCCCTGTCCTCAAGTATAAGAAATACTCGTAATGCAAGAACAATAATTACTTTTAAAGTGTTTTTGCTTCAATAATTATATGGCAAAATGAGTTTTACCATTAACTTACATAACTATTTCAAAGAACTTTCTTATTTATTTACCTACATTAGGACGCCAGCCACCAATAAAACGCAACAACTTTTTACAATGAAAGGTTTTGACGTTTAGAAACTCCAAAGATTCCTTATCCATGGTTATCAACATCGATCCATCGATCAACTCGTTTTCAAATGTTTCAACGTAATCTTTCAATCCTAAGTATGTCATTAATCGACTGACGTCTGTCACGCTTAAACTGGACAGATCTCGAGGATATCGTGATATCGCCTCGTATATTGCTTCTCTATCATTTTCGTTTGGGGAAGTTGGTAGGATGTCTGTGGATGATACAGCCTCGTACACGACTTCTTTGTCATCATCTTTTGGGGCATTTGGTGGGATGTTGGTGGATAACAGATTTACTGCGGAAGGGGAAGTTAGTAGGATGTTTGTGGATGTTACAGCCTCGTACACAACTTCTTTGTCATCTTCTTTTGGGACATTTGGTGTTCTTTTTGTTGATAAATTGGGCAATTTTAATGGCAGAGGTGGTAAAGGGATATTTTGGATATCAGCTTTATCGCTATTTCCTTTTCGTAAATCATCTGATTTTTCTGGTCTCGATAAATTTCCCTGATTGTTGCATGCTTCATCCGTTTGTGTTGTTTTTCGCTTGTTCTTCCATTTCTTTGGTTTTTTCGGCACTTTTGGTTGAGTATTAGACTTATAGTAATAAAAAATATCATCGATATAAATACATTACATACTATTATATGATCAGTCTTGCAAGATCATGTAATTTATTGTAGGATCATTTAAGAAAGCGTAAGATCAATCTTGCTACACGTAACACGAGAAAGATTATTTAGGATCTTGGGAAATCGTGATAGTTCATCTAAGATCATGTAAGACAATATCTGATCATATGGTATTAGCATGGTGTAGCTTTTGAAAATTGCATTTTAAAGAGTACAAGTATCATGCAGGATCTTGGGAAGACATGATAGATCACCAAAAGGTCATTTTAGATCCTATGTGATATTCCAAGTAAAACTATGTAGTTAAGGCCATATCACATCATCGATTGTCTTGTAAAATCATGTATATGTATAATATATTTCAAGATCTTATAGGATCGTCTTGGTGAAAACGATTTTATGTAGATTTTAAAGCAGATCGTGTACGCTACCTTGCGGAATTCTTCTTGTCCAATATAATCGTATGAATGTTTATCTTCAGTGAAATCTTTTTCTAAGACAGCGTAATCTCTATCATCTGATTGTGTTTCTTTTCCAAAATTTGATTTCTGTCCTTCCATGTTTATTGAAGATTGGTGGCTTGCCTATTGACAGTAAACACCAGACAAGCAAAAATATAAAATAAAGCATTCATGGAAAAATGACATCTTGTAAACTTAAGTTCAAGTTATGAAGAAAGACAATTAAAACTATAATATTTCTGTTTTACGTTTTTCAAAACCATCAGACAAGACAGAAAACTATGATCTCACTTGATGAGTAAAGCTAAAAAAGACTTTATATAGCTGGTTGCGTACGCTACCTTGCAGAGTTTTTCGTGTTCAATATAATCGTATGAATGCTTATCTTCGGTCGAATCATTCTCTAAGACAGCGTAATGTCTATCATCCGAGTTTGATTCTTCAGGATTTGCTTTTTGTACTTCTTTCATTTTCGTTGAAGATTCACCGATTGTCTATTGATGAAAATAAACACCAAATAAAATGAAGTTTTTCTCGACATCTGTTAAAAATTCATTATGATTGAATCTCAGATAAATAAACCCAGGTACTAATTAGACTTTTGATAATTTGCTATATCTGCCACGTTAAGATTTGGGTCACTCGTGCTTTATAAAAAGGAAGTATCGTCTCTTGTATTAAAAACAGTCAATGTCAAAATTAGCATTATAAAATTGGTACTATCATTTTCACTCATTAATCAGCTACAATATTTGTTGGTAACCGTCATCGTGTTGAGCAGTTAAAGATTGCCCAGATTATCTTACATCAACACTGAGTAAATGGAACGTTCCTTTTAGAGGTTGGCTGTCAATTATTAGCACTTACATCTAATAACTTATTTGGAGGAAACATTTTTTGTGGTGTTGATATGTATGACGGAGAGATGGTAATATGAAAGATTTCTGATGTTGCGCTGTAATGGTTTCGTGTTAAAATTACCTGGAGAGGTTCATAATTATTTTGGATTGTCGAGCAATAATTTGGATCTAAGGAAGTATAAATGTCCACATCCTGTAAGGTCGGTGACTTTTCTCTCTCTGTCGTGTAAACTCCTACTGTGTCTTGCTGTAAATCATCCGATTTTTTGGATTTTATTTTTCTTTTCCTTTGCGGAACATTTGGTGGAGGCTTAATAATGAAAATATGAATGGGTAATATGATTTAGATTATTCCACGGTACAGGGACAAACGCACATGCAGGAGGGCCACGCCATTAGGTACCCTCGTGTTTCGCATATCTTATTACAGCGAGTAAATTGCATTTTTTGACCAATAGGAATGTTGAAATGTCTAACAACAGCCAATAAACCAATGAGATATGCGGCAGCAAATTTCACATGTAGCGAAGTGTCCCTGCTCATTATTCTGTGATTATGGCATATGAAAACACAGTAAAATCTTTTATTTCTTGATTAATAATATTAGTGTGTGCAATTTCAATAGTTAACTTGTGATTTTCGCTTTCTGAAGATAAAAGGGGAATTCCTTTTTATGATTTCATTCAGAATGTTTTACTGTGTTACGATTATTATTCGCCTTCTCTCGAGTTAAATTGATCTTTCTGTATGATCTCAAACTTAAACATATTTGTAATTTTCAATAATATCATAAACATAAATACCATATCTCCTGACATTGATGAAGGTTGAAATTTTGGTGCTTTATCAGTCTTTGTTCTTTCATGCTGTTGCAATTGTTGACGGGCGCGTTCGGTGATTTTCAAAGACGCTTCTCTGATGCAATACTTTTCATCCCAGTCTTTTATCTGTTTCTTGACAGCATGCATATGTTGATAAACGTCCAGGTCTTCAAATGCTTTGAGATCAGTCTTCTTTAGCTGTTTGTCCAAAGTTTTAACGACCGTTGCGTATGTTGTACTGCCTTTCAGAAATCCTTCAGCAACTGTAACATTGATGTTGAGCTCAATTGGAACATTGAGACAAATCTACGGGAGAAAATACCTATGTATTAATAGAAGTTTTTAAAGAAAGGCTTACATTACCAAGTGTTTAAATACTAGTTAGGTTACTGGCTGTATGAGAAATCCATGTTTAAAGATTTTGATTTCATATAGCTATGAACTGCGTTTCTGTATTTTATAGTATATCATATAATTATTTGTATTAAGAACACAATTCTTTTAATGAATTTGTTGTACTCGAATTATTTATTCATCAAGCAACGGTGCTCTTAAAAAACTAGTTACAACACTATCTTCATCATTTTCTGAAATTTTAAGTTGCAAATTTAATATTTTGGTTAAAGCTCCTTAAAACTTCATGTTCCACACGAAGCTTTTGATGAAACCTCTGTTGAAACAAAGTTTATGTAAGAGAATGTTTCCTATTATTAATCATTTTTCGTTTATGAATATCACCAACCTTCTCTTCTAGGCTCGAACAAACTGTCGTCACAATTACATCGTTTTCTTGGATTTCTTCAACAACTGTCAGTTGACCCAAACTACATAAATTTCTTGTGGAATGGCTTGCATCAGGTAAGGAAAGAGTTACATTGTTGTTAACATTTTCTTTGAACCATATCGCAGCTGGGAAACCATACTTTGCTTTAATCTTCGATAAAGAGTAAAGGTTTGGGTCTTGTAGAGGGACAAATTTAGCTAAGTCATGTGATGGTATATGCGAATCACGATTGGTTGATAAATTTTTACATCGTAATCCTGCTGAATTCGGATCGATTTTCTTTATTTCAAGTGTATCGTTCTCTTGAAATGAATACTTCGGATCATCGCTCCAATTTGCACCAATTTCCAACACTCGTACATATTTTATGCTTTTGTAAAATTCAATTAACTGCTTTGTTGTCATGTTTACATCGTTGAAATTCTTTGACAACACTTGTGCTTTGACTTCACATTTTGACGGCAAAAGTATAAATTTTCCTTGTGATGTTTGACAAACAATTTTATGCGTTTCCCGAAGTTGATGTAGTGTCAAAATTTGATCTTTGCTAAATGTCGTTCTTTCGTCATCGCCACAGTACCCATCCTTTACTAAGACGACTTGAGGAAGATTGAAACTTTTTACGAATTTTTTCAGTAAATATTTTTGATTGCTCCAAATGATAGTTTGTGCTAGTTTGTACTCAGAGGATTCCGACATGCTTTGATATCTTGAAGGAAATGAGTGGGCGATATTGTAGAATCAATCAGTAAACTCGAGTTTCTTTTAATCGTTGTTCCTTCAACGTCTGTTTGCAAACGCGCTATTGAAATTTATTACTGTGGTATAAACCTGTAAGGAGAAATAACAGTGCTTTGAATTTTTTGAATTTTTAAGCGTAAAACATTATTAGCAAGTGCTTGCGTGAAAGACTCTTTTCTTTTCGAACTGCATGCGCGTGAAACTTGTAGTTGTAGATAGTTTTGGGTTTTAAAAAATTTAGCTTAAACTTTATTTTTTTAACAAAATAGTTTGTATGGAGTCAAACCTAAGGTCAAACGGCAGTGTATGTTTCTATGTAGCTGCGTACCCCCAATCATCGATCTTCCTACAGCTCTGCTTGAAATCATACCGTGTCTATAATATTCATATTCTCTGTTGACAACACAAAATTTGTCACTCGCGTAGCCAGAATTCATGGTTGTGGCTAAAATTGGTTCGATCTGCTTGTCATATTCATTAGATATATAGTAATTAACTATTGGAAGCATAATTTTACAGTAGTCCCAGTGACTCAACTATAGCAAATGCTATGTACTGTAGATCAACAGTTAGAAACGAGATGTTATTAGTTTGCCGGAAGAGCATTGGTCTGTTGTAAAAATTCCCATGCATTGCAAAATTAAACACTGATATAGTTGCTAAGGAAAATAAACTTTCCAATCATGGCGTGGGAAAGTGTAAGTTCTTCTTGTACAATACGCTCAAATTGTATACATACTATAAGCAGATGCTGCAAGATCCCTTATCAGTCAAAATAACGGCTTTCGATCTAGTTATAGGAGTTTCTATTGAGTACTGAATTGCTAACTCGATAAACCACAATAGAACGATGACTGAATATTGCAAATCTTATTATATGCGATTATCAAGCGCATCCAATTCCTAGAACAGTTTGACATGAAGCTTTATATACAAATATGACATGAACATGCAAATATTAATTAAACTGAATTGTTCCCGACTAACAATTGCAAAATGCTCTTACTTCTGTAGTAATATCCAATCGATAACATAAAATGGCTTACATAAAATGGCGAAACAACTGTTTCAGAGCCTTTTTCTCCTAAACATCCGTCTTGACTGATCTCGTCTGACTTTCATGTGCTGCGCTCCTACTCATGTTACTAACTGTCAATTAAAAGCGATATCCATATGTACCCGCTTTCAATGTCTGGCTATTACAATCAAGTATCAAATAGGAAATTAAAAACTGGTGTCAAACTAAAAGCATCAAATCTTTCGAATACAAGTGCAGTGTATAGTTGAAATCGTACGACTGTTATCAGCATAAAAGAGAATAATGTTGTTAATAAAATGCTTGTCTTATTAAACACTCGATTTCAAGATATTGATATGTTGTATCAGATTCCCATGTGGGCTTAGGGAGTAAATAGATATGTATTATCTTTTGCGTGTCGTAAAAGACTGAAAGATGTTGGTGTAAGGAGAGACGTTTGGTAGCAAAGCGTTAATTTTTATACTCTAATACGGGGAAGAAACATGCAGGCAGGATACAGGATGTAGGACTCGTGGGCTGACCTATTTTGCTTAGGACAATACGAATGCTGGATAAACAGACGGTCCATGCACAAAGGTATTATGTGTTACTTGGATATCCGCAAAAAAAAGAAATATTTAGATTTGCTACATGGATTGTTGGATTTATGACTGGTAGAGAAAGAAGGCTGGTGGAGGATAGGAAGAAAAGGATCATTAATGTAATATGTAAGAGACTAACTGATGAGGAGATAGGGCTGTTAAGGGAAGAAGTCAAGTAGGAGAACGATTCAAACTCAATGGATAATCTAATGAAAGAAATGAGCGAAGATTATACTATCTCAAAGTGGAAAGATTTTGTAATGAAAATGAGGAGTATTCACGACAGGTTGATGCTCATGAGAATGAAAAGACACAAAGGGAAGTGGTATCATCATACGACCTTCCGATAGGATTTAAAGATAAGGATAAAGAAGGTTTCATGATGAACATTGAAGGTCTGATTCAAGAAGTGTTGATTGATAAAATAGTTTTACTCGCATGTGACTTGAATGGACACGTGGTTTGGGAGAATAATTGTTATAACTAACTACAAAGCGATTATGGCTATGAATTAAGAAAATAAACATAAGAAAAATCATAGATATGGCTCAAAGATAGGAGAAGTTGGTGTGTAACTCAAGATATACGAAAGATAAGAACAGCTCATAGCATGCGAGGATTTAGAAAGATGCTGCTAAATTGATGATAATACAGTAAAGCAAAGGAAAGCAAAGATTGGAAAAATTGTAATGTCATACCAGTGAGTCATATTGTGATTCAACACATATCAGTGGTACTTGACATTGAAAGTGAAGAAGAAGAAGGTAGAACGCAAAGTTAGGAATAAAAGAATAGAATATCATGATAGGGAAACATAGGAATATGGGAACAAAACGTAGAGAAAATGATTATGTGGTCGGAGAAGAAAAGTGATATTGAAGATATGTGGTAGATGGTAAAGGTGATTTTAAGGAAAGCATGTAAAGAGACATTGGGAAAAACAAAATTTAAATACAGGGTAGAGAAGAAAAATGATGTTGAAGATATGTGGTAGATGGTAAAGGTGGTTTTAAGGAAAGCATGTAAAGAGACATTGGGAAAAACAAAATTTAAATACAGGGTAGAGAAGAAAAGTGATGTTGAAGATATGTGGTAGATGGTAAAGATGATCTTAAGGAAAGCATGTTTAGAGACATTGGGAAAAACAAAATTTGTATACATGGTAGATAAGAAAAAGGATGTTGAAGATATGTGGTAGATGGTAAAGGTGATCTTAAGGAAAGTATGTAAAGGGACATTGGGAAAAACAAAATTTGAATACAGGGTAGAGAAGAAAAGTGATGTTGAAGATATGTGGTAGATGCTTGAGGTGATCTTAAGAAAAGCATGTAAAGAGACATTGTGAAAAACAATGCAGGGTAGAGAGGAATGGTGATGTTCAAGACAATAGCGGATCCAGCGTACCTTAAAATAAATTATAGCTGCTCAATTTTAAATTCAAAGTACTTTCAGAAAAGCACAATTGGTGTTGAATTTATAAAGAATACAATTTTACAAATGGACTTGTCTCTGAGGGGCTTAGAAATGTAAATATAGTCTAAATTGTGCTGCAGTAATTTATTTTGACAAACCCTAGATCCGCTACTGCATCAAGATATGTGGTAGATGGTAAAGGTGATCTTGAGTAAAGCATGTAAAGAGGCATTGGGAAAAACAGAATTTGAAAGATATAAGCATAGAAATGCATGGTGATGGAAAGACGGAGTGAGATAAGTTCTTGAAGAGAAAAGACTAGTTTTCAAAAAATTGCATGAGAGAAGGCTAGACGTGGACAATGTGTAATCTTTATTTAACATTATTACTTAACACCGAGATCACAACTATTTGTGTTAATTTGAGCACTCCTGAAAATAATCTGATGAACCTGCTCATTTGATTGCTGGTTTAAAAAGGTATAAAAGAAAAAATATACATTCAAATTATGATAATCAACTTATCTCAGCAGTTTGAATAAATATTAATCAAATAGCGATTGACGCGCCAGAGGAAATTCAATCATTGTACATTTCAGAAATCTACTGTAATATATCACACAATTATAGCACTAAGTGATTGCTAAGACACTCTCATCAAGTGTATGATAAAACTAGTTTTACTATGAAACACACATAACTATTTTAAAGAGTTTTTGATGATTTACCAGGTTTAGGACGCCAACCACCAATAAATTCCAACAACTTCCTACTATGAAATTTATCTACGTTTAAAGCGTCCAGAGTCCCTTTATCCATTGTTTTCAACAATGATCCATCGATCATTTCTTTTTCAAATTTCTTAACATAATCTTTCATTTCTAAGTATTCCAGTAATTGACTGACGTCTGTCACACTTAAACTGGATAAATCTTGAGGATAGCGATACATTGCCTCGTATATTGATTCTCTGTCGTTTTCATTTTGTCGGATTTTAGGTGATGACATAACCTCGTACAAAATTTCTTCCTCATTTTCTTTCATGGCATTTGATGTGGATTTTGGGGATAAATTGGGCATTTTTGATGGTACTTGTGGTAAAGGGATTGTTTGGATAGCAGATTTACCGCCATTTCCTTTTTCTAAATCATACGGATTTCCTGGTCTCGACCAATTTTTTGGACTACTGCGTGGTCCATGTTTTTCTGGTGTTTGTTGCTTGCTCATCATTGTTTGTGATTTTTTTGGTACTTTTGGTGAAATCTTTGTCTAGACAATGAAAAATACAATGATAAGTAATGATATGAGTGTGTGTATTTAACGATTACATTGTTTATTAGGGATAAGTAATGATATGAGTGTGTGTATTTGAAGATTACATTGTTTATTATGGATAAGTAATGATATGAGTGTGTGCATTTGAAGATTACATTGTTTATTATGGATAAGTAATGATATGAGTGTGTGCATTTGAAGATTACATTTTTTATTATGGATAAGTAATGATATGAGTGGGTGTATTTAACGATTACAATGTTTATTATAGATAAGTAATGATATGAGTGTGTGTATTTAAAGATTACATTGTTTATTATGGATAAGTAATGATATGAGTGTGTGCATTTAACGATTACATTGTTTATTAGGGATAAGTAATGATATGAGTGTATGTATTTAACGATTACATTATTTATTAGGGATAAGTAATGATATGAGTGTATTTATTTAACGATTACATTATTTATTAGGGATAAGTAATGATATGAGTGTATGTATTTAACGATTACATTATTTATTAGGGATAAGTTATGATATGAGTGTATGTATTTGAAGATTACATTGTTCATGATAAATAGGTAATGATATGAGTGTATGTATTTAACGATTACATTTTTTATTATGGATAAGTAATGATATGAGTGTATGCATTTCAATATTACGTTGTTTATTATGATATGAGGTTGAAAAGGAGTTTTACGTATTTCCGAAAATTTGTTCTTGAGTTAACTTTTTCGGTGTTTTCGAAATTCAAGATGTATTTTTGTCGTTTTAAATAGAAAATAACTTTGATATTTTTATTTTGACAGAGACTTAAAAAATATTTATTGCGTACAAGAACATCCTTAAGCCTGTTCTCCACTAGCCACGTATCGTAACGTATCGTAGCAAAACGTAAAATGGCGCATGCGTGCTTGCGCCCATTGACCATCAAATTCATAAGCACGCATGGGCCATGTTACGTTTTGCTGCGATACGTTACGATACGTGGCTAGTGGAAAACAGGCTTAATTATAGTTACCAAAATGTTGTCGAAACTTATTGATAGTCGATGTTGAACTTTAGGCGTTTCGTCTATCTTTGATGATTGTTTCATTTTCTCGTGTATTTGCAATTGCTGACGGGCATGTTCGGCAACTTCCGAAGGTGCTTTTTTGACAGAAAACCTTTTGCCTCGTTCCTTTATCTGTTTCTTAACTTCATGCACGTGTTGATACACGTCCAGGTCATCGAATGCTTTGAGATCAGATTTTTTCAACTCTTTGTCTAAGGTTTGAACAACCTTCGCGTACGTTTGGCTACGTTTGAGAAATCCTTCAGCCACTGTAACTTTGATGTCGAGGTCAATTGGAACGTTCACACAAATCTATGGTAGAATATGTGTATGTAAAGAAGAGACTTTGTCATAGTGACAAATGTAAAAATTGTTTTAAATACAGCAATTACCATGGTAGATGGCCAAAATAATCTTCTAAAAAGCGCAGTTTTACAACAAACCTAATAGTTCTAAAAAGATGTCCTCAAAATTAAACTTTGATTTTTAAAACTGCTCTTTTTAGAACTATTAGGTTATTTCTGCCACCATGGCAGTTGCTATCTTTAAATCAATTCATCTATGTCAATGTAGTGATGAGAAGTTTCTAAAGTAATGCTTACACTACAAATTAAATGTTTGAATATTAGTCGGTTGCAGGTAACTTGTGAAAACCATGTTTAAATATTTTGATTTCATCCACGAGCTGCGACCCTGAATTCTCCAATTCTCAATACATTAACAATATGTTAACACCATAATAAGTTTTTTTGTAAATAATACAATTCTATTAATGAATATATTGCATCTTAAAGTTTTTGATCGATTTTTTCTTTAATCAGACGGTGCACGTAAAAACCTACTAACCGAACTGTTTTATTAAACTTTCGAATTTTTAGATTGAATCTTTTCACGTGTAAAGTTCACATAAATGCAAGTTTCCTGTAATTGAACATACTTCATTCACATCACTAACCTTTTCTTCTACGCTCGAACAAACTGTTGTCGCAATTACATCGTTTTCTTGGATTTCTTCAACAACTGTCAGTTGACCCAAGCTACACAAATTTGTCGTGGAGTGTTTCGAACCAGGGAATAAAAAGATTATACTGCTATCTTTCTTGTCTGGAAACCATATCTTGGCTGGAAAACCATACTTTGCTTTAATCTCTGCTAAAGTATAGAGGTCTGGTTCTGACAGAGGGACAAACTTAGCTAAGTGGCGTGACGGTATAAAGGAGTCGTAATTGGCTGATAAATTTCTGCACCTGATTCCTGCTGAATTCGACTCGATTATTTCAAGAGTATCGTTTGGTTGAAATAAATTTTTCGGATCATCGCTCAAGTTCGTACCAACATCTGATACTCGTAGATATTTTATCGTTTTATATGTTTCAATTAATTGCTTTGCTGTTGTGTTTACATTCTTGAAATTCATTGGCAGCACTTGTGCTTTGATTTCACTTTTTGACGGCAAAAGTATGACATTTCCTTTTGCTGTTTGACAAACGATTTTATTGGTTTCCCGAAGTTGATGTAGTGTCAAAATTTGATCTTTGCCAAATGTCGTTCTTTCATCTTCGCCACAGTAACCATCCTTCACTAAGACTACTTGAGGGAGATTGAAACTCTCCACGAATTCTTTCAGTAAATACTTCTGGTTACTCCAAATGATTTTAATTTTCGCCAATTTATAGTCTGATGATACAGACATGCTTATGATAACTTTCAACGGAAATCATGTAGCGATGGATGTGATCGAGTTTGGCTATTTTAAATGAAGTTCATTTAATGTGTATTATCTATAGACTATTGGAATTTACCTGTGTCTCATTATTGTTGCAAAATCCTTAAAGCGGAAACAAAGATCTAAATTGTTTGGATTTTTAAATACTCTTGTGAAAGGCCTTGCTTTATAAGAAAATTAGTGGTTCAGCGAACCATTGCAAATTTTGCAATACTTTCTTATGTATTTTGTTTAAAATGTTGTATAGTTTCGATTGCGTGGTAAATATATCACTTTAAAAAGCAAATAAAGTATTTTTTCTTTGTACAAAAGCCATTATGATACAAACAATGTCAGAAAAGCATTTTTTATGAAAGCACGCGTGAAAAGAACGTTCGAGAAGCACAAGCAGAAACCAAACATTAAAAGACGGATATTTTAACAGTAGATTGCGGAAATAACTTATGTTTTCGTCAGATTTGAAAGATAAACTAGTGTCATTTTCAATTTTTATTTATTTATTTATTTATTTATTTTAGTGTCTATTTACGAAATTGTAATTTAAAGATCTCCTAAAACTGTATTGCATCATCTTTTTAACTTTAATATATGCATGCTTTGTTCTAGAACTATTAAAGTTTTTGTGATAGGTAAATTAAGGAGCGTGTGATAGTCGTTTCCTGATGAAAATAGTCGTTATTTGCATTTATTTTAGCCAAAAATCATCAATGTTGCTTTCTATCATGTAGGATATCAGTTTACATAACAATAAAATAGTTTTGATAAAACACAAGTAGGTTTGTAGCGCCGCCATCTTATAAAACATGATTTTAACATTTGTTGATGAGGAAACGAAGGAACACATAAACTTCAATAGCGCCAGAAGTAAGCATGCAAACATTGATATTGAAAAGAAAATCCATTACAGTTTCAGGCGATTTTTCATTTAAAACAATAAACAAAATTGTGACTTAGCCCCTAAAATGTTATACACTTCGATGACTTTGTCAACATTATTAGTCAGAAGTTACGTTTTAGAATGTCGATAAATTCGATTAGGTCACTTTTGTAACCTGTCTGTGTGTTGTTGATTTTTTTAATGCGATGAAGAAGAGTTTTTATGAGTCCTGTATTGTATCTTTGTGAAGTGAAGCTAAAAAATTCAATAAAATCCGGTGTATGTTTTCTCATGGAAAATTGATGTTGTTAAGTTTTTAGTTATTTTAGCTATGGATCAGAGGTCATGTCTTAAATTGTCCAGCAAAGTGCGAAGATCATATCTTCATTTAATTTCAAACACCGCACTGCATAAAACATTCATTTGTCAACATTATTAGTCAGCGCGTTAATCACTACAATTAGCCTTATTTATATTGATTCCAAACATACATAAATAAAGTAAACATAAAAGGTTAACATGATTTAAAAACAACAATGTCTTGTAACGGTATATAACGACGAAGCTCACAGATTTCCAAGTAGATGAAATATATAGTATAAACCAGTTATATGATGTGAGAGTGCTTACAGATTTTCTGAAAGCCGCGTGACGTCTCAGTTCTTTGTCACGTGAGAGATATGATTTAAGGGAAGGAGGGAGGGTTGAGAAAGATAATATAAAGCGAAGAGAGAAAGAGAGCGACAGTATCAGTAGACAATATATTTTATACTTTAAGACGTTGTGTTTATTGACTTGATTGTATACATCTGTAGGCAATGATCTATATGTGATTGAATTACAAGAAAAAATTAAAGTTTATCTTTCTAAAAGTGCACTAAAGTATATAAAAGACTTATTAGACTGAGTGATTGCTAAAAACTCATTTATGCTCACATAATTTTATGGAAAAGTTACTTTTAACATCTATGCAACAACTGTACATTGAAAAACTTTCTTATTTACCAACATTAGGACGCCAGCCACCAATAAAACGCAACAACTTATTAATGTAAAAAGGTTTTACGTTAAGAAACTCCAGAGACTCTTTATCCATAGTTATCAACATTGATCCATCAATCATCTCATTTTTAAAGGTTTCGACGTGACCTTTCAATCCTAAATAATTCAGTAGTTGACTGACGTCAGCTATAGTTAAACTGGACAAATCTTGAGGATATCGGGACACTGCCTCGTATATTGCTTCTTTGTCGTTATCGTCGGCGGTATTTGTTGTTAACGCGTTCTTGTGTGCAATTGTTTTGTCATCTTCCTTCGGTGGATTTGGTGGGATAACTTTAGGAAACTTTTCTGGCAGAGGTGGCAGAGGTGGCAAAGGTATTTTTTGAATATCTGATCTGCTGCCATGTGTTTTTCGTCGAACATGTGGTTCTTGTAATATCGATGGCTTTCCTTGATTTTTTTGTGCTCCATCGGTTTCTGTTCGTTTTCGCCACATGTCCAAATTCTTTGGTTTTTTCGGTACTCTTGGTGGAGTATCAGTCTTAGCAATAAAAAAATGGCAAAGAAATAAATTATTACAAAACTACATTTCATGTTATAAATTATGAAAGAATATATAAGTTCATATTGGATCGTGTAAGAGCATGTAGAACCATTGACTATCATGCAAAATCATGTGTTGTGATGTCATCATAGAAAATTTTACAAGGTTTTCAAAAATAACTAAGACCCTGTCATGGCACAATTAACATTTGTAGTCGTAGAGGATGTGAACTAAGACCATGTCATGGCACAATTAACATTTATAGTCGTAGAGGATGTGTGATTTTTATAAGATCTCACGAATGCCTGCTCCAGTTAAGGAATAAAAGATGTTTAGTGTGTTTACACAGGCTTATGCAAACACAGCTCTAGACCAATGAGCGCACGCGTTTCATTATGTGTATTTATAATTGTCGATAAAGCCTGTCGCATGATGAGTAAAGGTGAAAAAAATTTTATCAATAAATAAAGCTGGTTGTGTTACCTTACGGAGTCTTTCAGGTTCAATATAATCGTACGAATGCTTATCTTCACTTGAATCTTTTTCTAGGACAGCATATTTTCTATCATATGAGTTCGTTTCTTTCCCAGGTTTTGTATTCTGCCCTTGTTTTATGTTTATTAAAGATTCAGTGCTTGGCTATTAATGAAAATATATATGTTAGAGAGAGATACGGGATATTACTGACATTGCACTGAAGTTTTCTCTTGTTTAGTTACCTGGAGAGGTTCGTAAGCGTCATTGACTGATGAATAGGTAGGATCTAAGGAAGTATAATTGTCCTCATCTTGTAAAATCGGTAAATTATCTGATTTTGTCGATTTTTTTGGTTTTAACTTCGGCGCAACATTTGGTGGAGTCTTAATAATTAAAAAGCAGAAGTTTTACTTTTAAGATTAGATTTACCTTTATGGATAAGAAATTATATGAGTATATGCATGTCAAGATTGCATTGATAATGATGTATAAGTAATAATAAGAGTGTGTGCATGTCCAGATTGCATTGTTAATTATGGATAGGTAATGATATGAGTGTGTGCATTTGAAGATTACATTGTTTATTATGGATAAGTAATGATATGAGTGTGTGCATTTAAAGATTACATTGTTTATTATGGATAAGTAATGATATGAGTGTGTGCATTTGAAGATTACATTGTTTATTAGGGAAAGTAATGATATGAGTGTATGCATGTCAAGATTACGTTGATCATTATGGATCAGTAGTGATATGAGTGGATTAGTGATGTTCGTTTTCTTAAGGATGAAAGAGGGATAATTTATCATGATTCTAATAGTTTTCTTCGGGGATAAGATTATTGACCTTCCCTAATGTTAAAATACCTCAATGCCCACCCGCAAACTTAAAACTTTAAAGACATTTGCGGTATTTAATGTCATTAACGTAATTACCATATTTCCTGACATTGATGAAGATCTGGATTGTGCTTTTGGTGCTTTATCACTCTTTGTTTTTTCATGTTTTTGCAACTGCTGCCGGGCATGTTCGGCGACTTTCGTAGACGCTCGCCCTATTATAACTGTTCTGTCTTGCATGTGTTTCTTGACAGCATGCACATGTTGATAAACGTCCAGGTCTTTAAATGCTTTGAGATCAGTCTTGTATAGCTCTTTGTCCAAAGTTTTCACAACTGTGGCATAGGTCTTGCTACCTTTGAGAAAGCCTTCAGCTACTGTAACTTTGATGTTGAGTTCAGTTGGAACGTTCAGGCAAACCTATGTTGGTAGGAAGTTGTTTAAAGTAAGATTGACTCCACAGAGCGTTTTATGATGAGTCGGTTATATTATATATAAAATCCATCTTCAAAGATGTAAAATTTATTTTTAATTTGTTATGGTATTCATGAATTGTTCACCCTTTGATTCGCTAATTTAAAGATTTGCTGCATAATATAAACAATGCAATTCTTTCAATGAACATATGTTATAACTTAAAGTTTCATAGAGTTGTTCTTTCATCAGGAAATGCACTCAGAAAAGCATACTGACAAAATTAACTGCACACTTCTAAAATTTGAAGATCCTGTGTAATATATTGTGTGAACGTTCATAAGACATGTTCTGTACAATTATTTGTCTTAAACTTAAGCTGGTCCGTTTAAATGTATAGCTATCTTATAATCGATACCAGCTAACGTATCACCAACCTTTTCTTCTAGACTTGAACATACTGTGGTAACAATTAAATCACTTTCTTGAATTTCTTCAACAACTGTCAGTCGTTCTAATTTACATAAATTTGTTCTGGAATGTCTTGAATCAGGCGAGGAAAAAGTTACGTCATTATTGCTTTCATCTGTGAACCATATCTTAGCTGGGAAGCCAAGTTTTGTTTTAATCTCGGTCAAAGTGTAGTACTTTGGGTCTGACAGAGGTACAAACTTAGCTAAGTCGTTTGATGGTATGAAGGTGTCATGATTGGCTGATAAATTTTTACATCTGAATCCGGCTGAATTCTGTTCGATTTTCTTTATTTCAAGTGTATCGTTTTCTTCTAATGAACTTTTTGGATCATCGCTCCAATTTGCACCAACTTCCACCACTCGTGCATATTTTATCTTTTTATATGTTTCAATTAAATGCTTCATTGTCATGCTTACATCGTTGAAATTCATCGGCAACACTTGCGCTTTAACTTCACATTTTGACGGCAAAAGTATAAATCTTTCTTTCGCTGTTTGACAAACGATTGTATTCGTTTCCCGAAGTTGATGTAGTGTCAAAATTTGATCTCTGCCAAATGTCGTTTTTTCGTCTTCGCCACAGTAGCCATCCTTCACTAAGACGACTTGAGGAAGAGTGAAACTTTGTACGAATTCCTTCAGCAAATATTTCCGGTTACTCCAAATGATAGTTTGTGCTAATTTGTACTCTGATGATTCCGACATGCTTAAATTTCTTGAAGGAAGTAGCTCAACTTGAGCTTCTGATAATCAAAGTTCTTTTGACGTGTATTGTATAAGGCTACAGGAGTTTATAACTGTATCAAAAATCTGCAAGCGGAAGTAAATAACACAAATTGTTTGGAATTTTAAGTGCTCCTATTAAAGTCTTTTTTCTGTCTAAACTTGTATAATGGCATTTCTTTTGAGATAGAACTTTTTTAAATGAAAAGAAAGTTTCTTAGTGCATTTGAAGAAGAGATTATTTGGCTCATTAAATGTTTGAGTGGACATGCAAATTTCTGTCACTTGTCTACTGCAGTATTTATTTACATATTTTTATTTCATTTTTTCTTTGACTCTGCGGGAATCCTTGCTACTTACAGCAATTCTCTCTGTAAATAGGATTAAAAGGAAAATTCTAGGCTTTCCTCAACTGGTGCTTTTTTGTCAAATTGTTTACTAAAACACAAATAACAACCTAAGCATGAGAAATATAGTATGGTATCATTTATACATTCCCCGACTTTAAGTGTAGCAATGTCTTCATAAACATCATAACCATACATGTGCATTACAGGTATTAATGCACATGTATGGATGTCATCTTTTCCGAATGCGTGTACTCTTCTGGCAACTTTTCAACGGACATATGTTCTTTATCTATAGCAAAATAAACAAAATCCAATTATATAAAGAACTTCTGTTACTGAAAGTATTTATAGCCATGGCAACAATTTGTAAAAGCATTTAGTCTAATCAATTTACACACCTGAATCGTTGGCTGAATCTCTTTTTATCATCCTCTGAATATCACCCTCATTTATACCACCAGATTTTTCTTATTTTCAACAAACATAGACATATAGTATCAGAATTTGATCTTACTTTGAAAGCATTTGCTTTATTTGTGCTAACCTGACAATACCGAGAGATTTAGTCTCTTCATCATTTGTGGTACCACATTGGTTAGCCAAAATGTTTGTACTTTGGGTATGATTTCTATAGAAAAAGAGGGATTCTACTTGTGGGGTTATAAAAAATTCCTTTTCTTGTTCACACAACAAAATGACACAGCTTCAATTCAATAACAAGCATCGAAGTTTGAATTTTCAATACTATCTTGAGTTGTTCCTCAATGAAAAAATTCCAATGTCCAAATCACTGCAAATTTCTGGCTGCATGAATGCTTGTCTAGGGTCTATGTTTTTATGTGTCCACGGGCACTTGTACTCAACAACGACTATTTTGCATGGGGATTGAAATTTCCCTTGAGTGGTGTTGTCAGGACTAGCTCCAAGGAATGGCAATGTTCTTGAAATCGTTAAGCCCGTTGAAATCAAGCTCAATTGGTTGTCTTTCTTAGATTCAACACTGTAGTAAAATTTTCTTGCACTGCCTTTATGTTTCAACCCTAGTGTAATGGATTAAGGCAATTATCTGCATTCGTTATTTTGTGATAAGTGGCTTCTTTGTTTCAAGAATTGTTTCAACAATCTTTAAAACAATTTTTTGCTCTTTTCAACAGACAATTTGTCTTGTGTAGACATCTTTCGCCTTTGAGGCTGTCACAAATCTGGTTTCGTGTACAAACCATGGTTTGCACTGCCATGGGTTGTTTTTTTTTTGTAAGCGACTTTCTTGCAAAAAGTTCTTTTATTTGCATTTTCAATTTCTTTCATGTGTCACATTACTTTTTGTTCCATTATTCATTTTTGAAAATGGTCTTCTGCACAAATATCTTTCTTCCTCATTGGGAGGTCTTCATCTCTTTGCAGTTGACGAGCTAGTATATTCAATATAACTGGTTTGGCACTTGAGGTTGCATCGAGTTTGCTAAAGATTTTTGTTGGTCAGAAGTAGGAGGAATGGAATCCATTGGATGACGCGGGTCATGATCAATATATTGAGAAAAAGTTTAGCTTCGAAATATCTTTCTGCATGCTCCTACATCATGTTGCTGACTTTTAAGAGCTGCTGACCTTTTTCTGCTTCACACAACAACCAGTTTCCTTAAATCACAAGGATTTGTTTCAGGTTTAAGTTTTCTAGTCTATTGACATGAACCACTAGTTAAACTATTTTCATCTTTTGTGTTTAAAAGGTCTTCAAGTGAATACATTGGAGCTGCAATATGCTTGCAGTCACCGTCTCTTCCACGCAACACAGACAATAGGCAACAGTTCCTTTATTTGCCCCCTTTCCTTCTGGAAGAAACCACAAGTCATAGAACTCTTTCCCATCTTTTGTTCTGTCCCTCATTTGTGGTTTGATTTTGCCGACAAACAAATGCACACAGGTTTCTTTATCATTGTAAGTCAACAACAACTCGACATAACCATCGTAAAATAGCCTTTAATCTTTGTATAAATTATTAGCAGCAAGACCTTTTTGCTTGTCGTTGTCAGATGAGTGGAAAATGAGATGGTGAAAAATGTCAAGTAAACCAAACGGTGGACACTTCTGAAAGTCGTTGAATGCTTTAACTGTGAAAGGATCGGGCAATTTTATGCCATCTATCAATAAGCGTCGGCTTATGTTTAGTTTTTCTTCTTGTTCGGTAATAATAGGTTGTACCGACTGTTTCTAATTTTCAACAGCACAAGCTATTGCTACATGACCTGCTTTTAGATAACTATTGACCGAAACTCTGCGATCTTGAAGATACTTTTTTAACTCGGGCATCTTCGATTCTTTAAGTTTATTTCAAGATCGGCGTTATCCATGTCTGACCAAATTTGCTACAAATGTTTAAGGCCGAACAATGCAAAAATCTCTCGGAGTTTAATAAAATACTGCTACATTAATCTAGCATGTATTAAAGAATCGTTTGTTTGTCCAACTTTTTCAATTAGTGTGGGAAAATACTCCCCGCAAAGTTTGACGCCAAAGTTACCAATTGTTTTCGTCACAGAGTCGTGCTTTAGGTAATTCATGGCCTTCCGGAAAATTAAAAAAAATGGTTAAAAAGTATTTGGTCAACTATTTATAAATTAGCATCCTTGTTACATTATAAAAATTATCAATTGTGCCACTTATGAAATAGAATTGTCATAATTTTCATTGTCAATCTTTCCAATCTATGATAGGGGATGTTTTTTGACATAAAACATCACATGAATGTCCTACATAGTTTTCATTTCGCTCAAGCTTATTACGTAATTTTGTCAAACTCCTTCATCTGCTATGTTGATTTGAGTATAAATTATAATTAGGAGGTTTGCGCATGCCTGTGCAGTTGCATTATGCAAAGGAAACATTTGAGAATAATAATAAGATAAAAATTGCAAATGATTATCTATGAGGTAAAGATATCTTAACCAGTTATGAATATTGATCCATTTGTGAACTCGCTTTCAAAAATATTAATATTTTATATTATTTTTTATCTTTAACGTTTCATTGAGCATGATGTTGACATGGATGTTGAAAGTCGAGTTGTCATTAATTTACTGTAGTAAATTTACATCTTTTTATTTGATTTTTTCTTTCGTTATGCTACAAATATCATTGCTCTACAACAAATTGTTTTTCTTTAACTGAGCTGTGATATTGTAGCATTATGCAACTCGTGACCGTCCGCCCAACTTTGAGAAAAAGATTTGGTCATTGATTTCTGACAATCCTTGTTTCGTGGCAGAGCATATATTTGCCACAATTTGCTGTCCATTTTTTTTTTACATTGTCCGACAAAGTTAAAGCAGAAACAGTATAATGTCTCGTATTTTCTTTTTTCCTAACTTAAATGCAAGACCTTGTTTCTTCTGTACTAATGAAATTGAATTGTTGTCTTCCGGAACTCTGAAGTATTCACCAATGTCCAATGTCCGTTGATCCACGATTAATCAGAGATTCTCCACCACTTAAAAGTGAGCCAGGGGATTTCTTGGAAATCTCATTTTGTATATGATTCCCTTTTCTTGCTTCAAGCGGATTTCCCACTCGTTGTGGAGGTAAAGTAGGCATATCAACCACATCCAGCTCCTCTTTATCGTCACGTTTTGATAATAATATCGATTTATCGATGATGTATTCCTTGATTGACATCAAAACGATCATTTAGTTTATTTACAATGTTTGTGTAATGCTTTGCACCATTATCGAAGCCATCAGCAACAACAATATCGATGTCTATGTCCTTTGGTATTGCAAGACAAAATTTTAACAGCACGTCACTGTTTACTGTAGTGGCAATAACGGTGAGATAAGGACTTCGTTTCAATGAGGTATATGTAAAAGAAGACAAATAAATCCTGGCATGAGCAGATCAACAAAGTTATTCATGGTGGTCCTGAAGAAAATAGGACCTGCATATATAATTATGTATGCATTAAAATAAAATATAAAATTTAGCTGTATTTGTTCCTCCAGGTTAATTTAGTAGCACGCTCGCTTGTCCATGTTTGTTATATCTTATAGAATAGAGGATAACGTTTTTGTGGCTGTTACAACTCAATTAACGTCGCTTTGATTTCACAAATTTTTTGCTTAGTCAGTGTGTGACGTATTGAAAGTACTTTTAACATGTTTTGTTTTAATGAATAACGAACAAACCATGAAATCATAGAGGTGCAGAACTGTCAAGCTCAATAAACTGCTTGAGAATGCTAATTACTTTATTGTGCATAATAATTTCAGCGAATACATAATTAATTTTTAAAGGTTTAGTTTTCTTTGGGAGGGGAGGGAGGGGGACACGGACCTTGTACATCTATCTACCAACATTCAAAGCAACATTAATGACGTGTTTAAAGTTTTAAATTCAAAACAGAAAATAGTATGTAATGAGTTATTATATTACAGTGGACGACAGATATAAAATTTAACTACTCACAATGAATGCAAATTTAACTTTGTGATACAATGACTGTTTACCGTCCGCGCATTTTATTTTTGTCAATTATTTCTTAATATATATTTATGTATGATTATTTTTTGCCTATCACAACAATAGTAACTAAACCTTATCAGTAATAGAAAAGAGTTCAAGCTTATAAACTCCAATTTAATAAGGGAACACAGTGAAAGATTTTTTTAGTGTGACGATGCAGTCAGACACATTGATAAAACGTTTAACACAGTATGTTTATCTTTTCAAACACGGCCGCCAGAAAAACAAACCTGAAGGGGGGAAGACTAGAATTTATAGAATTTACTGAACTCGCTTTGCTCCAACCTACGCTAAAGTACAAAAGATGGAATCAAAAACTAATCTTTGGGAAAGTAGCACCATGCTTTCGTTTCAATTCATTAAAGACAAACCTTTCTATTTCGTTATCTTCATCTTGGAGTATTCTTGACTCTTTTATAGCTTGGAGCGTAAGAACAACTCCATAACCAATGGTAGCGCTGTGTTCACCACCATCATAACCACGAATAACTTTTACGACTTGTGGAAGTGAAAAAACGTTAACAAAATTTTGTAAGGAGTATGAATCTTCAGTCCATTGTAATGTATTTAGCATTTCGTCTTCCATTTTTAATGACGTTTCTATTTTGATGTATTCTATCTGCCGTTGTTTAAAGAATTCTTCTACCGTTGCTTTCTCTAACACTATCGATGTCAGTTGGAGAGCATCTCCTTTGGATAACGACGTTTCTTTGGAACTCCTATAAAAACCGCGCTTAATCTGCGTTTGAAAAAAGTAGTTTAAACGAAATCAACTTTTGCGTATTTGGTATACCTGAATACAACTCAAGAAAAAGTGTTGTCAGTTCACAAGCAAGTGATTAGATACTGTGCATGTATTATGTATGTATTAAATTTAAACAAGTATTCCTAAATGGTTGCAATTGCTGCCTATGTATGTATGAAATGCAGTTCTCCTTTCGTTAGAAAATTTTGGAAAACCTTTCTATTTCACTTTTAAAACATTGCTTGCATTACGACATCATGTGGAGTTTTCGTATTTTATGAAAATTTCGTTCATTCCGACATTGAATTGTATTTGTATCACCAAAATAATGTTCAGGTCATGACGTCAGACATCAACATACTACGAATAACAAAAATTCATTACTCCCCTTTTTTGATGAGGCCTATCATTTTGTTTGATTAAAATCAAACGTCATAAATAATGAAAAATGAAAACTACATGGTTGCCACTGAATTCTGAGACGTTATTTTACAAATCCTTTGCTTTGCACTATCCATGATGGCTGCATGTGTGCTCATTAAAAGCAGTTTAGCATTTTGTTAGGTTTCGCGGTAATGAAATAACTTTCATAAAAAATTAAGGCGTGAACTACTTTATTTCAATTGTGTGTAGCGTGCCAATTAAACAAAACTCATAAAAATCCACACTCAAGCTAGAAAACCGCTATTATCTCTTCCAACAGCAATTTGGTTTTAACTATAAGGAAATTTATTTACAATTGCATCGCAATTCTTGATATTAAAAGTTATAAAAGTTATAAAAATTTCTGAATTGTATGCATACCAGTAAAAACATAATTTTGCACTTATGGTCCTTCAATATCTTTTTCATCTAGGGTTTCGTGTCTCCAATTTTCGCTCATTGCTTTCTTTAATTTGACCAAAGGAAAAAAAGTCATTTTGAAGTGATATTTTAACATTTGTTCGTCGTCTTCTTGGAAGATCTTTCCATCAACCTGTTCTTTGTTAAAGAGTTCACATTACAGTTCACACTAGAATCAACATCAACATCAACAGTTCTTCGCAGAACTACACTAACCTAGAATATCTACATCTATATACATGTAATGTCATAGAATATCTACATCTATATACATGTAATGACTTAGAATATCTACATCTATATACATGTAATGACCTAGAATATCTACATCTATATACATGTGATGACCTAGAATATCTACATCTATATACATTTGATGACCGAGAATATCTACATCTATATACATGTAATGACCTAGAATATCTACATCTATATACATGTAATGACCTAGAATATCTACATCTATATACATGTGATAACCTAGAATATCTACAACTATATACATGTAATGATACTGCCGTGTTAAAACAGTTCACATTAACAGAGAGTGTCTTAAAATGCAAATTTGACGTTGTCATTATGTATGTTGCATTTTGGGGCAGGGGGATATTATGGATATCAGGGCGTGCCTAAAGCCCGGAATAGAACTATCCACTAAATGATGGATTTTTAACTTGTTAAAAAGTCCCTGAACAGTGAACAGACGTCCTCAATTGAGAAGTCTTTTATACGTTGACATGTACGATATCGTTTGATATCAGGTGATTCTTTTTTCGTGGTTAAAGATGTCTCATCCATATCTTGAATGTCGATGCAATCCTAGACAAATCAAGTGTCTATAAAATTTCAACTCTTAAAAAAATCGATTAAAATGATAACTATTCCATTTGTGATGAATTGGTATTACTTTAATTGACAGTGAAAATTCTAATTCACACGTAACCGCTTTGAAATACTTTTATTTCTACAATTCCACATTATTACCTGAACGACGTTGTCAGGATAAAGTTGCCATAAATTGTTTATTGTTTAAGGTAATGGACAGCAAGTTTCTCTCTCCGTAGGATATCCAAATTCTGCCTGAAAAACTCGGTATTTGAAACTTCTTGCTCAACAGCATTAACTGTGATATATAAATGACGATATGATATAACTTTGTTTTTTATAACTGTTCTATAGTTCCAACATATCCACGATAAACTTTAAAATAGAATATGAAATAAGATAAAGCAACTAAAAACAATACAATTATAAATATCTATACAGCATTATTATCCATTCATTATTTCATGTCAATATTAGTAAAAATCTGTGTTATTGTTTGGTCTTGTTCCGATGACATTGGATTGCTGTTTAGACCTCTGATCTGAAGTATTCACAATCGTCCAATTCAACAGCAGTTAAAGCTTTGTCTAATTTCAAACATATGAAGGTCTTCATAAGTGGACCTTTAAATATCACATTATCACCATCACCATCACTCCCACCATCACATTCAATATCACCATCATCATCATCACCACCCCCTTCATCATCACCACCATCATCACCTCCATAGCCATCATCATCAACACTACCACCATCACCACCATCATCATCATCAACATTACCACCATCACCACCATCATCATCATCAACATTACCACCATCACCACCATCATCATCATCAACATTACCACCATCACCACCATCATCATCAACATTACCACCATCACCAACATCATCATCATCATTACCACCATCACCAACATCATCATCATCAACATTACCACCATCACCACCATCATCATCATCAATTTTACCGCCATCACCACCATCATCATCATTAACATTACCACCATCACCACCATCATCATCATCAACATTACCACCATCACCACCATCATCATCATCAATTTTACCACCTTCACCATAACCACACTCACCATCATCGATATCATCATCATCATCATCTATTTCACATACACCATATGCAAATGGCTGCAGATTTTTTTGTTTATCAAAAAAATAAATAAGTACACCAGAGTCCCCATTTTCTAGAAATTGTGAATTACTTTTGACTTTCACTGCATTTTGAAAAATGATTTCCCTCTCTTTTCCATTTGAAGACTTTGTCAAGTGAGAACAACAACGTTCACTTATAAATCCAATGTTATGATAATCTGTACGAACTTTCACAGATTCATCCCCATTTTCGATTCTTTTGTAAAGTTCTTCATTTGCTAAATCTAAATTCAAGGCAAAACATTCCATGTCATCTCCTCCAAGATACTGAAAATAACGTTTACCACCGATGAAAATTCTCACAATATCAACTTCTCCGTCAAAATGACCAACCACGCCATTAGGAAAAGAGGGAAGTTTAACTTCTTTCTTAGTTTTTGGTAGTTTGTAAAAATGAGCTGTACCTTCATTAAGGTGTTTAACGGCATCGCGAATTGCCAAAAAGTCTTTTTTCTGGTTAAAAGCCAATGCACTGTCTACCATGTCACTTGCGCCACAAGCAACATGTGCGCATGTCAAGGCGTAATACCTATTGTTTTTGCCACAGAACATTGTCATTGTACCATGAGAGCCACTGGTAGATTGGTTTGCCATAAAAACATCATTCGGTCTTTGCATTGGATTTGGTGTATCATTTTTTTGAACAGCGCAGAAGTTTGATAAATATCGAATCTTTGGTTTTTTGTAAGGTTTACGTCTGATTTCAATGAATTTTGATGCTTCCCATTTAAATATCTTGTCAATTTGTTTCTTTAAATCTTCATCGGATTTCACTTCATCACCATCAACTGTGATATACAAATGAGGATATGGTATAACTTTGTTTTTTTTAACTGTTCCATAGTTGCCACATATCCACGATATGCTTTATAATAGAATGAGAAATAGGATAAAGAATCTAAATTAAAAACAATGTGCCTATAAGTATCTATAAACCTTCATTATACATTCATATATCCATTTTTCCTATCTTGCAGCTACCAAATAAGATGAAAAAGAGAATTTTGTTTTGCCCATTCCTAAACATACCTTTTAAATTTTTCATGTACGTCTTTTTTAATGTTGTAATGTTCATCAAGAAATTGGCTTTTCAAATTAAATTCTATGAAGAAATGTTGAATAATTGTTGAGCAGTAACAATTTTTTCAAAATTAGGGAAGGCAATTAAAATTTTAGCAGTCGCAAAACTTCAGCTGGCCTCACTATTAGTTTCCTTAGTACCTAGGCTAGCCTCACTATTATTTTCCGCACTATCTAGGCTAGCCTCACTATCAGTTACCGCAGTATCTAGGCTAGCCTCACTATCAGTTACCGCAGTATCTAGGCTAGCCTCACTATTGGTTACCTCAGTATCTAGGCTAGCCTCACTATCAGTTACCGCAGTATCTAGGCTAGCCTCACTATTGGTTACCTCATTATCTAGGCTAGCCTCACTATCAGTTTCCGCAGTATCTAGGCTAGCCTCACTATTGGTTATCTAGCCTCAATCAGTTTCCGTTATCTAGGCTAGCCTCACTATTGGTTACCTCAGTATCTAGGCTAGCCTCATTATTGGTTACCTCAGAATTTAGCTAGTACTATCATTACATTTATCTAGTCTCTGACTGGTTACCTCGGTATCTAAGGTAGGCTCACTATTGGTTAGCCTCATATTGGTTCTCATTAGTTTCCTCAGTTCTCAGTAGCCTCACTATCAGTTTTCCTCATTATTTCAATTTCCATTTTTCCTTCAGAGTTCACAGAACCATTATTATTTGGTACAATTGTAATTGTATCCATATTGGATCCCTCAACCGCTTTCCATACCTTAAATTCTTTCCTTTATTAGATATGCAGCTTTAGTACGCGGACTACCGTCCAAAGTCCACGGTATAAACTACGTCATAGCTACGTCATAGCTACGCTAAACTACGTCATAGCTACGTCTATGCTTACAATTCCATATAACGTCACAAACTCCTACTCAGGCTTTTTGAATAACTTACCTTGTTCATGCAATGAATCACTGCGATTTATCAATACAGGTCTGGTGGCTTTGGTACGGAGAGACGTAGTTTGCTGGACATTCACCAGTACTGCATCGAGTATTTCGAAAATATCTGCATCTTGTCTTATGTCCATCTTTTCATGACGTCCACCATCAAAAATGTTCTTTTTATCTGATGATTGCTCATTTTCAAAAGAAAACACTTCCTTATCACTTGATGATATGACAGGATTACGCATTTCGCCTAATACAGAAATTGAATTAAGAAACTGTTTCTTCCCTGCTAACTTTGTGCTAACCTCACGCGCTAACCTCGCTGCAGTGATATCTCGTGCGATATCACGTGATTTTTTTGTGCTCCATCGGTTTCTGTTCGTTGTCGCCACATCTCCAAGTTCTTTGGTTTTTTCGGTACTCTTGGTGGAGTATCAGTCTTAGCAATAAAAAAATGGCAAAGAAATGAATTATTACAAAACTACATTTCATGTTATAAATTGTGTAAGAATATATAAGATCATATTGGATTGTGTAAGAGCATTTAGAACCATTGACTATCATGCAAAATCATGTGTTGTAATGTTGTCATCATAGAAAATTTTACAACGTTTTCGATATTAACTAAGACCGTGTCATGGCACAATTAACATTTGTAGTCGTGGAGGATGTGAACTAAGACTATGTCATGGCACAATTAACATTTATAGTCGTAGAGGATGTGAACTAAGACTATGTCAAGGCACAATTAACATTTGTAGTCGTAGAGGATGTGAACTAAGACCATGTCATGGCACAATTAACATTTATAGTCGTAGAGGATGTGAACTAAGACCATGTCATGGCACAATTAACAATTGTAGTCGTAGAGGATGTGAACTAAGACTATGTCATGGCACAATTAACATTCATAGTCGTAGAGGATTTGAACTAAGACCATGTCATGGCACAATTAACTATTGTAGTCGTAGAGGATGTGAACTAAGAACATGTCATGGCACAATTAACATTTATAGTCGTAGAGAATGTGAACTAAGACCATGTCATGGCACAATTAACATTTATAGTCGTAGAGGATGTGAACTAAGAACATGTCATGTCACAATTAACATTTATAGTAGTAGAGGATGTGAACTAAGACCATGTCATGGCACAATTAACATTTATAGTCGTAGAGGATGTGAATTAAGACCATGTCACGGCACAATTAACAATTGTAGTCGTAGAGGATGTGAACTAAGACTATGTCATGTCACAATTAACATTTATAGTCGTAGAGGATGTGAACTAAGAACATGTCATGTCACAATTAACATTTATAGTCGTAGAGGATGTGAACTAAGACTATGTCATAGCACAATTAACATTTATAGTCGTAGAGGATGTGAATTAAGACCATGTCACGGCACAATTAACAATTGTAGTCGTAGAGGATGTGAACTAAGACTATGTCATGGCACAATTAACATTTATAGTCGTAGAGGATGTGAACTAAGACCATGTCACGGCACAATTAACAATTGTAGTCGTAGAGGATGTGAACTAAGACTATGTCATGGCACAATTAACATTTATAGTCGTAGAGGATGTGAACTAAGACCATGTCATGGCACAATTAACTATTGTAGTCGTAGAGGATGTGAACTAAGACCATGTCATGGCACAATTAACATTTATAGTCGTAGAGAATGTGAACTAAGACTATGTCATGGCACAATTAACATTTATAGTCGTAGAGGATGTGAACTAAGAACATGTCATGGCACAATTAACATTTATAGTCGTAGAGGATGTGAACTAAGACCATGTCATGGCACAATTAACATTTATAGTCGTAGAGGATGTGTGATTTTTATAAGATCTCACGAATGCCTGCTCCAGTTAAGGAATAAAAGATGTTTAGTGTGTTTACACAGGCTTATGCAAACACAGCTCTAGACCAATGAGCGCACGCGTTTCATTATGTGTATTTTATAATTGTCGATAAAGCCTGTCGCATGATGAGTAAAGGTGAAAAAGATTTTATCAATAAATAAAGCTGGTTGTGTTACCTTACGGAGTCTTTCAGGTTCAATATAATCGTACGAATGCTTATCTTCACTTGAATCTTTTACTAGGACAGCATATTTTCTATCTTCTGAGTTCGTTTCCTTTCCAGGTTTTGTATTCTGCCCTTGTTTTATGTTTATTAAAGATCCACTAACTGGCTATTGATGAAAATATATATGTAAGAGAGAGATACGAGATATTACTGACATTGCACTGAAGTGTTTTCTTGTTTAGTTACCTGGAGAGGTTCGTAAGCGTCATTGACTGATGAATAGGTAGGATCTAAGGAAGTATAATTGTCCTCATCTTGTAAAATCGGTAAATTATCAGATTTTGTCGATTTTTTTGGTTTTAACCTCGGCGCAACATTTGGTGGAGTCTTAATAATAAAAAAGCAGAAGTTTTAGTTTTAAGATTAGATTTATCTTTATGGATAAGAAATTATATGAGTATATGCATGTCAAGGTAGCATTGTTAATGATGGATAAGTAATGATATGAGCGTGTGCATGTCCAGATTGCATTGTTAATTATGGATAGGTAATGATATAAGTGTGTACATTTCAAAATTACATTGTTCATTATGGATAAGTAATGATATGAGTGTATACATTTGAAGATTAAATTGTTTATTAGGGAAAGTAATGATATGAGTGTGCATTTGAAGATTACATTGCTCATTATGGATAAGTAATGATATAGGTGTGTGCATTTCAAGATTACGTTAATCATTATGGATCAGTAGTGATATGAGTGGATTAGTGATGTTCGTTTTCTTAAGGATGAAAGAGGGATAATTTATCATGATTCTATTAGTTTTCTACGGGGAAAAGATTATTGACCTTCCCTAATGTTAAAATGACCTCAATGCCTACCCACAAACTTAAAACTTTAAAGATATTTGCGGTATTTAATGTCATAAACGTAATTACCATATTTCCTGACATTGATGAAGATCTGGCTTGTGCTTTTGGTGCTTTATCACTCTTTGTTTTTTCATGTTTTTGCAACTGCTGCCGGGCATGTTCGGCGACTTTCGAAGACGCTCGCCCTATTATAACTGTTCTGTCTTGCATGTGTTTCTTTACGGCATGCACATGTTCATAAACGTCCAGGTCTTTAAATGCTTTGAGATCAGTCTTGTATAGCTCTTTGTCCAAAGTTTTCACAACTGTGGCATAGGTCTTGCTACCTTTGAGAAAGCCTTCAGCTACTGTAACTTTGATGTTGAGTTCAGTTGGAACGTTCAGGCAAACCTATTTTGATAGGAAGTTGTTTAAAGTAAGATTGACTCCACAGAGCGTTTTATGATGAGCCGGTTATATTATATATAAAATCCATCTTCAAAGATGTAAAATTTATTTTTAATTTGTTATGGTATTCATGAATTGTTCACCCTTTGATTCGCTAATTTAAAGATTTGTTGCATAATATAAACGATACAATTCTTTCAATGAACATATGTTATAACTTAAAGTTTCATAGAGTTATTCTTTCATCAGGAAATGCACTCAGAAAAGCATACTGACAAAATTAACTGCACACTTCTAAAATTTGAAGATCATGTGCAATATATTGTGTGAACTTTCATAGGACATGTTCTGTACAATTATTTGTCTTAAACTTAAGCTTGTCCGTTTAAATGTATAGCTATCTTATAATCAATACCAGCTAACGTATCACCAACCTTTTCTTCTAGACTTGCACATACTGTGGTAACAATTAAATCATTTTCTTGAATTTCTTCAACAACTGTCAGTCGTTCTAATTTACATAAACTTGTTTTGGAATGTCTTGAATCAGGCGAGGAAAAAGTTACGTCATTATTGCCTTCATCTGTGAACCATATCTTAGCTGGGAAGCCAAATTTTGTTTTAATCTCGGCCAAAGTGTAGTACTTTGGGTCTGACAGAGGTACAAACTTAGCTAAGTCGTTTGATGATATGAAGGCGTCATGATTGGCTGATAAATTTTTACATCTGAATCCGACTGAATTCTGTTCGATTTTCTTTATTTCAAGTGTATCGTTTTCTTCTAATGAACTTTTCGGATCATCGCTCCAATTTGCACCAACTTCCACCACTCTTACATACTTTATCTTTTTATATGTTTCAATTAACTGCTTCATTGTCATGCTTACATCGTTGAAATTCATCGGCAGCACTTGCGCTTTAACTTCACATTTTGACGGCAAAAGTATAAATCTTTCTTTCGCTGTTTGACAAACGATTGTATTCGTTTCTCGAAGTTGATGTAGTGTCAAAATTTGATCTCTGCCAATTGTCGTTCTTTCGTCTTCGCCACAGTAGCCATCCTTCACTAAGACGACTTGAGGAAGAGTGAAACTTTGTACGAATTTCTTCAGCAAATATTTCCGGTTACTCCAAATGATAGTTTGTGCTAATTTGTACTCTGATGATTCCGACATGCTTAAATTTCTTGAAGGAAGTAGCTCAACTTGAGCTTCTTTTAATCAAAGTTCTTTTGACGTGTATTGTATAAGGCTACAGGAGTTTATAACTGTATCAAATATCTGCAAGTGGAAGTTAAATAGCACAAATTGTTTGGAATTTTAAGTGCTCCTATGAAAGTCTTTTTTGTTTAAACTTGTATAATGTATTTCTATTGAGATAGAACTTTTTTTAAATGAAAAGAAAGTTTCTTAGTGCATTTGAAGAAGAGATTATTTGGCTCATTAAATGTTTGAGTGGACATGCAAATTTGTGTCACTTGTCTACTGCAGTATTTATTTACATATTTTTATTTAATTTTTTCTTTGACTCTGCGGGAATCCTTGCCACTTACAGCAATTCTCTCTGTAAATAGGATTAAAAGGAAAATTCTAGGCTTTCCTCAACTGGTGCTTTTTTGTCAAATTGTTTACTAAAACACAAATAGCAACCTAAGCATGAGAAATATAGTATGATATCATTTATACATTCCCCGACTTTAAGTGTAACAATGTCTTCATAAACATCATAACCATACGTGTGCATTACAGGTATTAATCCAGATGTCATTTTTTCCGAATGCGTGTACTCTTCTGGCAACTTTTTAACGGACATATGTTCTTTATCTATAGCAAAATAAACAAAATCCAATTATATAAAGAACTTCTGTTACTGAAAGTATTTAAAGCCATGGCAACTATTTGTAAAAGCATTTAGTCTAATCAATTTACACACCTGAATCGTTGGCTGACTCTCTATTTATCATCTTCTGAATATCACCCTCATTTATACCATCATATTTTTCTTATATGCAACACTCATAGACATATAGTATTAGAATTTGATCTTACTTTGAAAGCATTTGCTTTATTTGTGCTAACCTGACAATAAGGAGAGATTTAGTCTCTTCATCATTTGTGGTACCACATTGGTTAGCCAAAATGTTTGTACTTTGGGTATGATTTCTATAGAAAAAGAGGGATTCTACTTGTGGGGTTATAAAAAATTCCTTTTCTTGTTCACCAAACAAAATGACACAGCTTCAATTCAATAACAAGCATCAGAGTTTGAACTTTTCAATACTATCTTGAGTTGTTCCTCAATGAAAAAAATTCCAATGTCCAAATCACTGCAAATTTCTGGCTTCATGAATGCTTGTCTAGGGTCTATGTTTTTATGTGTCCACGGGCACTTGTACTCAACAACGACTATTTGGCATGGGGATTGAAATTTCCCTTGAGTGGTGTTGTCAGGACTAGCTCCAAGGAATGGCAATGTTCTTGAAATCGTTAAGCCCGTTGAAATCAAGCTCAATTGGTTGTCTTTCTTAGATTCAACACTGTATTAAAATTTTCTTGCACTGTCTTTTTGTTTTAACCCCAGTGTAATGGATTAAGGCAATTATCTGCATTCGTTATTTTGTGATAAGTGGCTTCTTTGTTTCAAAAATTCTTTCAACAATTTTTAACACAATTTTTTGTTGTTTTTAACAGACAATTTGTATTGTGTAGACATCTTTTGCCTTTGAGGCCGTCACAAATCCAGTTTCGTGTACAAACCACGATTTGCACTGCCACGGTTTTTTTTTGTAAGCGACTTTCTTGCAAAAAATTCTTTCTTTTGCATTTTCAATTTCTTTCATATTTCACATTACTTTTTGTTCCATTATTCCTTTTTGAAAATAGTCTTCTGCACAAATATCTTTCTTCCTCTTTAGGAGGTCTTCATCTCTCTGCAGTTGACGATCTAGTATATTTAATATAACTGGTTTGGCACTCAGAAGTTGCATCGAGTTTGCTACAGATTTTTGTTGGTCAGAAGTAGGAGGAATGGAATGGAATTAGATGACGCGGGTCATAATCAATATATTGAGAAAAAGTTTAGCTTCGAAATATCTTTCTGCATGCTTCTACATCATGTTGCTGACTTTTAAGAGCTGCTGACCTTTTTCTGCTTCACACAATAACCGGTTTCCTTAAATCACAAGGATTTGTTTCAGGTTTAGGTTTTCTAGTCCATTGACATGGACCACTAGTTACACTATTTTCATCTTTTGTCTTTAAAAGGTCTTCAAGTGAATACATTGGAGTTGCAATATGCTTGCAGTCACCGTCTCTTCCACGCAAGCACAGACAATAGGCAACAGTTCCTCTATTTGTCCCTTTTCCATCTGGAAGAAACCACAAATCATAGAACTCTTTCCCATCTTTTGTTCAGTCCCTCATTTGTGGTTTGACTTTGCCGACAAACAAATGCACACAGGTTTCTTTATGATTGTAAGCCAAAAAAACTCGACATAACCACGTAAAATAACCTGTAATCTTCGTATAACTTATTAGCAGCAAGACCTTTTTGCTTGTCGCTGTCAGATGATTGGAAAATGAGATGGTTAAAAATGTCAAATAAACCAAACGGTGGACACTTCTGAAAGTCGTTGACTGCTTTAACTGTGAAAGGATCGGGCAATTTTATGCATCTATCAATAAGCGTCGGCTTATGTTTAGTTTTTCTTCTTGTTCGGTAATAATACGTTGTACCGACAGTTTCTTATTTTCAACAGCACAAGCTATTGCTACATGACCTGCTTTTAGATAACTATTAACCGAAACTCTGCGATCTTGAAGATACTTTTTTAACTCGGGCATCTTCGTTTCTTTAAATTTTTTGAACAAATTTGCTACAAATGTTTAAGGCTGAACAATGCAAAAATCTCTCGGAGTTTAATAAAATACTGCTACATTAATCTAGCATGTATTAAAGAATCGTTTGTTTGTCCAACTTTTTCAATTAGTGTGGGAAAATACTGCCCGCAAAGTTTGACGCCAAAGTTACCAATTGATTTCGTCACAGAGTCTAGCTTTAGGTAATACATGGTCTTCTGGAAAATTAAAAAAAATTGTTGAAAAGTATTTGGTCAACTATTTATAAATTAGCATCCTCGTTACATTATAAAAGGTATAAATTGTGTCACTTATGAAATAGAATTGTCATAATTTTCATTGTCAATCTTTCCAATCTATGATAGGGGATTGTTTTTGACATAAAGCATCACATGAAGGGCCTACATAGTTTCCATTTCGCTCAAGCTTATTACGTAATTTTGTCAAACTCCTTCATCTGCAATGTTGATTTGAGTATAAATTATAATTAGGAGGTTTGCGCATGCTTGTGCAGTTGCATTAAGCAAAGGAAACATTAGAGAATAATAATAAGATAAAAATAGCAAATGATTTTCTATGAGGTAAAGATATCTTAACCAGTTATGAATATTGATCTATTTGTGAACTTGCTTTCAGAAATTTTAACATTTTACATTATTTTTATCTTTAACGTTTCATTGAGCATGATGTTGTTATGGAATTGAAACTCGAGTTGTCATTAATTTACTGTGGTAAATTTACATGTTTTTATTTGATTTTTTCTTTCGTTATGCTACAATTATCATTGCTCTACAACAAATTGTTTTTCTTTAACAGAGCTGTGATATTGTAGCATTATGCAATTCGTGACCGTCCGCCCAACTTTGAGAAAAAGATTTGGTCATTGGTTTTTGACAATCCTTGTTTCGTGGCAGAGCAAATATTTGCTACAATTTGCTGTCCATTTTTTTTTTACATTGTCCGGCAAAGTTAAAGCAGAAACAGTGTAATGTCTCGTATTTTCTTTTTTGCTAACTTTAATGCAAAACCTTGTTTCTTCTGTACTAATGAAATTGAATTGCTGTCTTCGGGAACTCTGAAGTATTCACTAATGTCCAATTCAACTCCTAAAGCTCGTCATCGTCATCATCATCATCAATTCTTTAAAATGACATCCAAAAGGATAATAAACACAAGAAATAGTAAAAAAGATGATAAATATTTAACAGGAATTTATAGTTATTAATTTCGTAGCTAATAAACGAAATTAAACATGTTGAGAGGCACTTCATATAGTTCAAATCAATTTATTTCTTTTAATCAAAAAGCATCATATAACGAGTACATTCTTGTTCTTTTTATAAAGTGTCTTGAGGACAACAGCGACCTATACACGCAAAAGAAAAAAAAAATTGCTAAAAAATAATAGCTACTAGAAAGGATTTGAAACTTGTATGTTGTATTTTCTCTTTCAATATTTGGCTAAGGAACAATGTTAATAATGACAGTATTTTAATTAATAAATCATGTTATATTAAATGTCATAATAATTATCAACATTATCTTTATTATGCATCATCATTATTAAAACCAAAAATGCTTAGTTTGAAACTTTACAAGACCAGAACATAACATTTATTAAGTAGGACGGATTTTGGAATTGCTGAAAATATTTAAGTTTGGGACATAAATTTGAGTTGTTTGTTTATCCCACCGTGTGTGATTATATAAAGAGGAGATCTTTTCTCAAAAGGCAAAAAAGTATTTTTATGTTTCGCGTATAAAACCGAACATATATAATCCGTATCTGAACAGCACTTTTGATAAGACATTGATATAGTTAAGAAAGTTTAAGTTACACTAGGAGAAATAAATTAACCAAAGTTCAGTTGCAACTTGCAACTTTACAGTGAATTACAGAAAAACAACTTCTTATATCAAACTACACTTGATTTTATTTGTTGATTTATTTACTTTTAATTTATTGTTTATATGACATGATCTGATAAATATAATATGATGGTGGCTTTTGTATGTCAGTTGATTATGCAGTTATAATGTGTTTTCGTCGAAACTTACTTCAAAGTAAATGGTGTTGACTTTGAAGATGATTACCGCTAAGGTTTTCGAAACGTCACAACAACAGGCCTTCTCAGGACTCTTCTAACCTGGACGATCTACATCCACGAATATGTAACTTAAAGTACTAATGTTCAACAGAACATAAAATTACCGTGATTTTTTTACTGTTAGCATGGTTTTTCTACGAACATGGAGGACTGGGAAACTACTCGAACAGTCTAAAACACGTCCAAAATATACTCTTTTCTATTTAAATAGTCGTATGAAAAATTAGATTTAACATGAATATTCAACCGCTAACTTAACTACCCAACACTGAAGAGTTTTTTATTTACCAATATAAGGACGCCAGCCACCAATAAAACGCAACAACTTATTACAATAAAAACTATTTACGTTTAGAAACTCCAAAGACTTCGCATCCATAGTCATCAACATTGATCCATCGATCATCTCATTTTCAAATGTTTCAACATAATCTTTCAATCCTAAATATTTCAGTAATCGACTGACGTCTGCTACACTTAAACTGGACAGATCTTGAGGATATCGTGATATCGCCTCGTATATTGCTTCTTTGTCGTTTTCGTCTGGGGTATTAGAGGGGATGTTTGTTGAGGAGATGTTTGTGGAGAACGCAGTCTTGTATTCAACTGTTTTGTCATCTTCCTTCGTTTGATTTGGTGGGATAATTGTGGGTAACTTTACTGGCAGCGGTGGCAAAGGCATTTTTTGAATATCTGATTTGTTGCCATATCCTTTGCGACGGACATCTGATTTTTTTGGCATTGTCGGCTTCCCTGGATAGTTTTGTGATCCATCGGTTTCTGTTCGTTTTTGCCACATCTCCAAATTCTTTGGTTTCCTTGGTACTTTTGATGGAATGTCAGTCTTAGCAATAAAAATGGGAATGAAATAGATTATTAGAAAAGCGCATTTTATGTGATCATGCGATCAATCTCCTCCAGCTAATGATAAAGATTCTCGCCAGACAAGCTAAAGTATGAAAAAAAAATTATTTTCAAAGCTGGTTGTGTACCTTACCTTGTGCAGTTTTTTGTGTTCAATATATTCATATGAATGTTTATCTTCTGTGAAATCTTTTTCAAAGACAGCGTAATTTCCATCTTCTGAGTTTGTTCCTTGTAGAGATTTTGGTTTTTGTATTTCTCTTATTTTTGTTAAAGATTCTTGTTTTGGCTATTGATGAAGATATAAAAATGTAAGAGAGTGGTTTGGAGGATAAATGATGTTGCTCTCAAATGTTTTCTTGTTATGTTACCTGTAGAGTTTCATAAGCGTCGTTGATTGTTGAATAATAGTGAGGATTTAAGGAAGTATACTTGTCCGCACTATGTAAATTCGGTAGCTTTTCACTTCTTGTTGTGTAAATTCCTGTCGTACTATGTGGTAAATCATCAGATTTTTTCGATTTTTTTTGTTTTGACTTCTGCGCAACACTTGTCTAAGTAATGAAGAAACATTGGTTTGAATTTGTGTGGAAGATTACGTTGTTCATTATGGATGAGGAATGATACGAGTGTGTGCATTTGAGGATTACATTGTTCATTATGGATAAGTAATTATATGAGTGTGTGCATTTGAAGATTACATTGTTCATTATGGATAAGTAATGATATGAGTGTGTGCATTTGAAGATTACATTGTTCATTATGGATAAGTAATGATATTAGTGTGTGCATTTAACGATTACATTGTTCATTATGGATAAGTAATGATATGAGTGTGTGCATTTGAAGATTACATTGTTCATTATGGATAAGTAATGATACGAGTGTATGCATTTGACGATTACATTGTTCATCATGGATAAGTAACGATATGAGTGTGTGCATTTGAAGATTACATTGTTCATTATGGATAAGTAATGGTATGAGTGTGTGCATTTGAAGATTGCGTTGTTCATTATGGATGAGGAATGATACGAGTGTGTGCATTTGAGGATTACATTGTTCATTATGGATAAGTAATGATACGAGTGTATGCATTTGACGATTACATTGTTCATTATGGATAAGTAATGATATGAGTGTGTGCATTTGAAGATTACATTGTTCATTATGGATAAGTAATGATATGAGTGTGTGCATTTGAAGATTGCATTGTTCATTATGGATGAGGAATGATACGAGTGTGTGCATTTGAGGATTACATTGTTCATTATGGATAAGTAATGATACGAGTGTGTGCATTTGAAGATTACATTGTTCATTATGGATAAGTAATGGTATGAGTGTGTGCATTTGAAGATTGCATTGTTCATTATGGATGAGGAATGATACGAGTGTGTGCATTTGAGGATTACATTGTTCATTATGGATAAGTAATGATACGAGTGTATGCATTTGACGATTACATTGTTCATTATGGATAAGTAATGATATGAGTGTGTGCATTTGGAGATTACATTGTTCATTATGGATAAGTAATGATATGAGTGTGTGCATTTGAAGATTACATTGTTCATTATGGATAAGTAATGATATTAGTGTGTGCATTTAACGATTACATTGTTCATTATGGATAAGTAATGATATGAGTGTGTGCATTTGAAGATTACATTGTTCATTATGGATAAATAATGATATGAGTGTGTGGATTTGAAGATTACGTTGTCATTATGGATAAGTAATGATATGAGTGTGTGCATTTGAAGATTGCATTGTTCATTATGGATAAGTAATGATATGAGTGTGTGCATTTGAAGATTACATTGTTCATTATGGATAAGTAATGATATGAGTGTGTGCATTTGAAGATTACGTTGTCATTATAGATAAGTAATGATATGAGTGTGTGCATTTGAAGATTACGTTGTTCATTATGGATGAGCAATGATATGAGTGTATACAGTTACATTGCTCATGATTGATACGTCATATAAACGATGATATGTTTGTTTTCTGACGATGAAAGAGGGATTTCTTTTCATGATTATATTGTGTTCTATAGCTCTAAAATTATTACCCTCCTCTAAAGCAAAAATGATCATAGTTGTTTTGTTTACAGTATCACACAAACATGAAAAAATATTTGCACTTGTCGAAAAAATAAACAAACATAAATACCGTGTCGTAAGACATTGATGAAGTGCTAGATTGAAGCTTTGGTACTTTATCAGTCTTTATTTTTTCGTGTTTTTGCAATTGCTGACGTGCACGCTCGATGTCTTCCGAAGATGCTTCCCTGATTATAACTGTACTGTCCTGCATATGTTTCTTTACGGCATGAACATGTTGATAAACGTCCAGGTCTTTAAATGCATTGAGATCAGTCTTGTATAGCTCTTTGTCCAAAGTTTTAACAACTGTGGCATATGTCTTGCTACCTTTGAGAAATCCTTCAGCAACTGTAACTTTGATGTCGACTTTTGTCGGAATGTTCAGACAAATCTATAGTAGAATAATGTATTGATAGGAATTTGTTTAAAAAAGCACTGACTACATATAGTGTTTAATGATGAGTCGGTTGTGGGTTGTATGTAAAATTAAAGTGCCCCTTTCAGAAAAAAATTTTAATTGCGATGTTAACTTTAGGTGTGATTTCCAACGTATCAGTGAAAAAAGTCTGTTGAATTGTTCCATTTTTAATACTGTTAAAAAGTTGGATTAAGTGCTCCTTTTAATGGACCTTGTCCGTTGTAGGAAAACTCCGGAGCGACTTACCTTTGTGACGTCATGCAAGGGATTCTCAATACAATATCTATGCACTAACTACCTGGGATGACGTCATAATTTGGCAGAAGCCAGACTTCATGCTACAACGGACAAGATAGGTCCATTGAAAAGCTAATTTAAACTGCCATGACAAAAAACGATTTGACCAAATTTTACCAATACTTTAGACATTACACCTAGTTTTTATATTGTAAATAAAAAGATTTTGCTGACAGGAGCACTTTACATGTGAAGTGTATAATTATTTGTATGAAGAATACATATCTTTTAATGAATTTTAATTGATATATTTTCTATGGAATTAACGGGCGCACAATTTATATTGTTATCCCAGAGTGTTTGATTCACAGACTTGTTTATTCATCAACAATTTTCTCTCACAAAAACGTTTTGACAAGACTAACCGTATTATTTTATGAAATTTGAAGCCCTTTCTAATATATTGGGTAGACAACTAATGACATGTTCTGTTCAAATATTTTGATTCTACGTAAGTTGGTCTATTTAAATGTACGTTTATTTATAATCAATCACAGCTAATGTATCACCAACCTTTTCTTCCAGGCTTGAACATACTGTAGTGACAATCACATCGTTTTCTTGGATTTCTCCAACAACTGTCAGTTGCTCCAATTGATATAAATTTGTTTTGGAATGTCTTGAATCGGGCGAGGAAAAAGTTACGTCATTATTGCCTTCATCTGTGAACCATATTTTAGCTGGGAAGCCATACTTTGCTTTAATCTCCGCCAGTGTGTAGTACTTTGGGTCTGACAAAGGGACAAACTTTGCTACGTGGAATGACGGTACGTACGAGTCGTGACTTGCAGATAAATTTTTACAATGGAATCCTGTTCCATTCGGCTCGATTTTTTTAATTTCAAGTGTATCGTTTCCTTGCAATAAATTTTTCGGATCATTGCACCAATTTTTACCAACATCCAACACCCTTACATATTTTATCTTTTTATATGTTTCAATTAACTGCTTTGCAGATATGTATACATTCTTGAAATTCATTGGTAACACTTGTGCTTTGACTTCACATTTTGACGGCAAAAGTATAAATTTTCCTTTTGCTGTTTGACAAACAGTTTTATTAGTTTCCCGAAGTTGATGTAGTGTCAAAATTTGATCTCTGCCAAACGTCGTTCTTTCATCTTCGCCACAGTAGCCATCCTTCACTAAGACTACTTGGGGGAGATTGAAAGTCTCCACGAATTCTTTCAGTAAATACCTTTGGTTACTCCAAATGATTTTAATTTTCGCCAATTTATAGTCTGATGATACAGACATGCTTATGATAACTTTCGACGGAAATCATGTAGCGATCTATGTGATCGAGTTTGGCTATTTTAAATTAAGTTCATTTAATGTGTATTATCTATAGACTATTGAAATTTACCTGTGTCTTATGTTGCAAAAACCGGAAACAAATGATCTAAATTGTTTGGATTTTTAAATAATCTTGTGAGAGTCTTAAGCAATTGCAAAACTTTCTTTATGTATTTTGTGATGTTTGACAAACAATTTTATTCGTTTCCGAAGTTGATGTAGTGTCAAAATTTGATCTTCACCAAATGTCGTTCTTTCGTCTTTGCCACAGTAGCCATCCTTCACTAAGACTACTTGAGGGAGATTGAAAGTCTTTATGAATTCTTTCTGATGACTCCGACATGCTTAAATTTCTTGAAGGAAGTTGCTTAATATGCTACTTTAAATTATAGTTCTTTTGACGTGTATTGTATTTGCGCTATAGGAATTTATTACTGTATCAAAAACCTGCTGCGGAAGTAAATACTGCAAATTGTTTGAAATTTGAAGCGCTCTGTGGAAGTCTTTCTATTTGAGCTTGTAAAGCGACATTTTCTATTTAGATAAAACTTTTTTATCTAAAACAAAGTTTCTTAGTGCATTCGACGATATATTTAAGAAGAGGCTGTTCGGCTCATTAAATGTTTGAGTGGACATGCAAATTTTTTTTACAAGTCTACCGCAGCATGTTTACATATTTTTATTGAATTTTTTTCACATTTTGACGGCAAAAGTATAAATTTTCCTTTTGCTGTTTGACAAACAGTTTTATTAGTTTCCCGAAGTTGATGTAGTGTCAAAATTTGATCTCTGCCAAACGTCGTTCTTTCCTTTTCGCCACAGTAGCCATCCTTCACTAACACCACTTGAGAAAGATTGAAAGTCTTTACGAATTCTTTCAGTAAATACTTCTGGTTACTCCAAATGATAGTTTGTGCTACTTTGTACTCTGATGACTCCGACATGCTTAAATTTCTTGAAGGAAGTGGCTTAATATGCTACTTTAAGTTATAGTTCTTTTGACGTGTATTGTATTTGCGCTATAGGAATTTATAACTGTATCAAAAACCTGCTGCGGAAGTAAATGCTGCAAATTGTTTGAACTTTGAAGCGCTCCTGTGGAAGTCTTTCTACTTGAGCTTGTAAAGCGACATTTTCTATTTAGATAAAACTTTTTTTATCTAAAACGAAATTTCTTAATGCATTCGAAGATATATTTAAGAAGAGGCTGTTCGGCTCATTAAATGTTTGAGTGGACATGCAAATTTTTTTTACAAGTCTACTGCAGCATGTTTACATATTTTTATTGAATTTTTTTTGCTTTGCGGGAATTATTGAACTAAACTATATGGAAGGCACGTCAGTGGAAATTTTGATTCCAGTATAGCCCATTTCTTTCCAAGCAATATAAACACACAGCCAATGTGCAAAAGTGTACAATTACATTTGACAATTACATTTTTGTGCATCTTTGAACACTTTTACATATTTAACCTTTCTATATATTACAATTAACTGCTTTGTTGTTATGTATACATTCTTGAAATTCATCGACAACACTTGTGCTTTGACTTCACATTTTGACGGCAAAAGTATAACATTTCTTTTGCTGTTTGACGAACGATTTTATTTGTTTCCCGAAGTTGATGTAGTGTCAATATTTGATCTCTACCAAATGTCGTTCTTTCGTCATCACCACAGTAGCCATCCTTCACTAAGACGACTTGAGGAAGATTGAACCCCCTTACGAAACCTTCAGCATGTATTTCTGATTACTCCAAATGATAGTTTGTGCTAAATTGTACACTGATGATTCCGACATGCTTAAAGTTTATAAAGGAAATAGCTCAACTTGGGCTACTTTTAATCATGATCCTTTTGATGTACTGTATTTGCAGTTTCGGAATTTATAACTGCATCAAAAATCTTCAAACGGAATTAAGTGTTATATATTGTTTGGAATTTTAAGTGCTTTTATGAAATCACTTTGCTATTTGAACTTGTATAGCGACATTTTCTACTTAGATAAAACTTTTTTTAACTAAACACAAAGTTTCTTAGTGCATTTGAAGATATGTTTAAGAAGAGGCTTTTTGGCTTATTAAATGTTGCAGTGGATATGCAAACTTTTTCACTTGTCTACTGCAGTTTACATCCATGTTTACATATTAATACGTGTTTACATAGGCATGTTTACATATTTTTATTGCATTTTTTCTTTGGCCATGCGGGAACATTGAACTCAGTGTTGCCAGATGAATTTTAAATAAGTTCATGTCCGCATGTTCAAAAGTTCACATATTATCCATCAATGTTCACTAATCAACAAAAATTGCGTAGTTTGCACCAAATGAATGAAATAAGTTAAATGTAAATTTATATTGATGCACATTGCACATTTGTACAAAATAACAAAAAAAAAATAACAATGAAAAACAGTTATTTAGTTCGATTCAGATTCTTCGCTTGAGTCAAAGTCTTTGAGCATAAAGAATGTCGGATGTCATACGACGTAAAGCACTGGTCGAAGTAGAATATTTGACTGGCTGACTCTTACACTCCTTGCTTAACTTTTAGAATAGCGCACACTGACTTTGTGGGCAACCTATTTCTTCCTTTAGTTTTGATTGCATTCACAGAAGAAAAATTATCTTCACATCAACATTGAAGAATGAATTATGGTTTGTCTCGAATCTCTAAACCAGTGTATATTCATTGTAAACAAGCTTGTCCTTTATAACTGATAAGTTCATAAAAAGTTTTTAATTTTTAGTTAAGGTTCATGAAATGTTCACAAAATTGTGTTTGGTTCACAAAGATTCAAAATAAAAATCAAAAGTTCATAAATCTATGAACTTTGTTCACAATCTGGCAGCACTGATTGAATTAAAATCAATGGACAGCTACGTCAGTCGAAATTTTGATGGCAGTAGAGTCCAGTTTTTCCCACGCAATGTAAACACACGGCCAATATGCAGAAGTGTAAAATAACTTGTACGAACTAGCTACGAAGCTCCAAAAACAAAACACAAATCCTTTTTCTTAAATTTGGCGAACAAAACATTTCGAATGAGAATTAACATCAACTATACGCCAATTTTTTAACAATTACATTTTTGTGAAGTTAGCAATATCCAACTTTAACTGGTAGGCATTTTGCTATAGTTGTTTGTTTTCGAAGCCATGTCTAAATGTGTCAAAAACTAAAGCAGTTTTTTCCATAGTAGCGAGTAGCTATATTATGCGCAAGACACTTATAAAACTTCATACAACAAAAAAAAACAAATAAAATCTTACACAAACATCAGTTTTGGAAATGTAATTTCACCCAAAACAGTTACGTATTGCTAATGCGCTTTCGTTGACCCTACAAATTTACAGAACAACACAATTTTTAGTACAAACCTACATGAGATTTGGTTTTAAAAGATAAAATAAATAATACCCGTCACATGTTAGATGAATTGATGCACCAGCAAAGGAAATAGACCCGAATCGTTTCATTTCATAGATATCTAATGATTTTTTGCCTTTCGTATCTTAAAGTCAATTTAGCTTTGTGAAAAGCATACATACACCATGGGAGGCCAAAAAATCACTTAAATAGAGTAAAACAAACTGTTACTCACCCCATTCCATCGTAACAGACCGTGCGCCGCAAACTTTGTATTAATTGATTGTATCTATATTATATTTTTATCTGTTTTATTTGCAAACATAAGCCAGTTCAAACACGAATAACATTTTTATTTTTTTTCAATATCAAACATTGTATTTGTAAAATGAACATTTGCTAATTTAGGGTTCAGGTCCTTTGACTGAAATTTTTATGCGCGCCATTTCACTTAAATTCTTGTATGGCCGAAAGAACGAAGCGTACTCGTAAACCGCCACTCTTTCATACAAGTCCACTGCTATTTCTTGTCCATTGCACGCCGATTTAATCTTTGATATTTTGCTTTCAAAAGGACATAGAATACAAATGACGTATTATACAATATATTACATAATTCATTTGTGTAATGTATGCCATTTGCAACACGCTTGTGCTTTGTGGATCGCTAAGTTGTGGAATAACAAACGCATAAATAACAAACCTACATTAACCAAACAATCAACCGAATAAGCTAATAGAAAAATAGGCACTTGCAAAAAATATTCGCAACTCAAGTAATTATAACTTTACTGATTGCGCTTTGCTTTCAACTGGTCATTATTCGTCGTTTCCAGCCTAGTTTACTTCCATATTATAGCTAGATATCAATAGTAAATTACATACATAAAAACATACATTCAGGTAAATTGAATCGCATTTTGACGGGCCTAAAATGCCTTAAATCACATTTAATTTGGCATCAAAAGATGGCTTTCTTTCCGGACTCTTTGAATGTAGCGCTAACTCTTGAGCTGAATGAACATGTTCATTTGAATGCTACAGTTCCCCAATCCCCACTCCATAACCGTACGCATTGTATAATTTCCTTATAAAAATCTCGGCTCTATCACATTATAAGTAGGAAATGATGGACGTTACTTACATCTGTTCTCCACCAACAATCATTCTGAATAAAGCTTATATGAGGAATTTTTCATATATCTCGGGAAGTTATTGTCAACCTGTTCAAACAAAGAGCAAACGCAAAAAAACTTCAAAATTCAGCATATTTGGCATACAATTCAGTGAAATAGAAGCCTGAAATATGAGTAATAGGCATTTGTATTCAATAAGTTTGATATGTAAAATGACAATAATGCGAAAAAGACAAATTAATAAAACGTCTTCATTAATTTTTCTTCTATAATGATTCATGATTTGCAAACTTTATTAGATCAATCAACGCACGCATTTTATTGTTTTTATTTTATAATTTACAATGGCGATTATTCATCGCTTCTCTCGAGATGATGACGCAACATCCGCTTCATATGAATCCCAGAGTTGTTACATAAATAGCGTCGTAGACTAAATATTTGTTTTCATTTTCACTTACAACCCTACATCAATCATCTAAAGAAAACGTCGCAATGGCTTTAGCTTTTCAAAGAGAACAAGTTGGTGTTAAGGTAACAACAACACCTGTAACTGTTCCTGATGATCCTAAAGCAAAATTGATGTATTATCTAGACTGTATTGCTACGGTAAGTGAATTCAGTGCAGTATGAAAATACATCCTTGTGATGACATTATCATTCTTTAAATCTTATTACTAATCTTTTAAAGCATGCCTAAACGAGAAATTTTATGGTGTCTATAACGGTTTAGTTGAATTAGTTGCATCTTATGGTTGCATTAATGCAATGCTATATGTTGTTTATCAAAACTCGTCAGACTTTCTTTTTCAATTTTCGCAGAACTGAACTCGACGAAACAAAGAGTTCGCGTATGACTTGTAAATGGTTTATAAGTAATGGTTTATAATTAAAGGGTCCTTTTTAACATTAGGTTCACATATTTATGGAGTAAACGTATTCTCTACATGAAGTTGTTTCGTTCTTACGTAAATCAATTGGATTCTTTTGCGTAATGAATTTCTGTAGATAATTTCTGTATCATCGAAAAGTGCGTGCTTTTTGTCTAAAAAACAATGTTGTTTGCTACAACCTCTTTTGTCTGAATGCAACTCAGAAACCGATAAAATCATCTCTTTTTCGTCACTCTTAACATTCATTCTTGTTTGCTAACACAAAATTTTGGCTACATCGTTTTTTCTTCGATGCGTTCTTTGTTGTAGCTATAGTTGAGAAAACAAAATTCTATTTTTTATTGAAAACGAAAACCAAAAACAGTTGATAAAGTTGCTCATGTTTGTTACATGTTTCAGGTATTAGAATTGGATGATTTGCCGAGCGAACTGAGAAATTACCGGAACTACCACTCACTGAATGGTGACAAGACAGAAATCCTTCTCAAATTTTGTTTACTTCTTAACCCCGATCTTTTGGACGGAAAATGCATTTTCGAAGCGAGTGATTTGCCGAATTATTCGAATGAGTTTTTAGAGCTATCTTCGACGAGAACTACAATGGTAGCAGCATCCGGTGTGATGATTGGTGGAAGAAATGTTCGAGTCGCAAAAATCATGTTGTACTTACCATCATGGCGTCGCAACAACTTTGACGAACCATTGGCTGCGATGACTCGACGACTAGCCGCACGCCAAGCATCACGCCAAGCCCCGCGTCCAGCTATCACTTCTGGCCGTAGAGAAAGAAGTGAAGGATGTGTCATATTATGAAGGATGCAACCATAGATCACTGCCTTTTTTTATAAATATGCTCATTAGAATAGTTAATTTAAAGAGGTTTATTAGAATAATTAATTAAAGACGTTTGCACATTAATCATTAATATATACAAGGAAAATGATGGAAATGTATACCTTAGCATATCTAATAAAAACAAGCACTCCAAGTAATGTTAAATTGTAATAATTAAAAATGAGAATACATTTGTTTTCACCAATAAAGATCCAGTAAATGTTTTTGTACCTCAGGGCATCACATCACGTGAACAATAATCTGAACAGGTATACACAAGACAAAACAAGATAAAGTTATGACAAGACAGGACTGATAAAATCAACCAAACTCTAATTATGTAATTTATTGTCTGAAATTTTAACCTCCTTAATGCATTAAGAGTTATTATTATTTGGCAAGAGTCACTTCCGGAAAAAAATGGCGCGTTTTGATTGGCTCAGAAATGTTTTTGCCGGCCATTATTTTTCCGTAACCGGCCGCGATCCAAAACGCGTATATATATAGTCAAATGTAAACAAACTTCATACAGCAAACAGTAAAACACAAAATATACGAAACAAAAAACCATTTCCGAATGTGAGTCGAAGGAAAAACACACGGAAAACAGTTTAACTATCCAGACGATAACAATTTGAAACGACTTAATTTTTACCGAACAAAACTAAAAAAGTGAAAGCCAAACCGTACAAAACAGCAAAGACGAGAAAGAAAGCAAGCTTCGTTTCTTGTCAAATAATGCCATATAATAAACCTTTTAATAACCTCGCTTACTCGGTCTTTAGAGAAAAATATTGGACCTTTGTGTTTTGTACAAACCTTGCCCTACAGGCTTGGTCTGTACAAAAAAACTTCTGTCCTATATTTCTCCTTAAAGACCTCGCACTCGGTTATTAAGGGCTTAAAGATATAGGCAAATACTTTCTGTCATTGGGAATAACGAGTTGTTTAAATTTAACATGTTAGGTATTTATATTTATTCAGGATGCCCACATCACTTGAGTATTTTTCAGGGGGTCCTGCGTTATAAAATTTTAAAAATACCAACATTACTCATTGATATCTTCCGATATATATATATAAACACACATACATCCAAACATAATATATTTTTGGTTCAATTTACTACTCGGCTTTAGTGAAGATTTAAAATGGAGAATAGACTCGGCATGCGTGATGGAATTTTCCAAGTTATTGTAATCTTTCAAAGTAGCTTAGGTCCTTAGGTTTATTCTTGCCGCAGTGCATGTGTACTCACTTTTAACGTTTGTAATGAAACATATATCAATGCAGGTGTCATTAAATTCAATGCTTGGTGTGCGAGCTAAATCATAGCCGCCATGTTGGATGATTTTAACAAAGGATTTTCCCTGTTTACAATGCAAATGTCAATGAATGATTTACATGTTGTGAAAAAATTCTTTGTATATTATTATTTATTTCCTGGTATATTGATGAAATCTTTTTCTTGGAACTCGTGAATATTATAAATAGGAAGTAAAGAAAAGTTTTAATAAGAATATCTGGAACTAGATATAATCTAAAATATTTTTTCATAAACGCTCGTCATTGCTATTACAAAACCGACACTTTTAGTTAGGATGTAAAGAAAGGAGATCCGACTGATTACTTTAGATGATTGTTGGTGACAGTTTTAGTTTCTTTAGGTAATTTTATGCATAAAATAAATCGTTTGATTAGGCCATACAAGTTTAGCAGTTTTTTAAAGAAGAAACATTTCCTCGGAATGTCAAACTTGTCCGGCATTTTTCTGTCTTTTGTAAGTCACAATGGCGATTATTCATTTTTTATTCCCACGTTTGATAAAGATAGCGTAACATTCCACTTAATTCAAATGAAGCCGTTGGGTTTCTACGTAAATTAGATACGTAGACAAACACTTGTAGTCATTTCATTTTCACTTACAACACCATAGCTACTACATGCAGCAATCCTCGTAAAGAAAACTTCAAAATGGCTTTATTCCAAAGAGAGCAAGTAGGTATTAAGCTTACTGGAACTAGCGCCAGTGTTCCTGATGTTCCTAAAGCTAAATTGATGTATTATCTTGGTTGTATGTCTGCGGTAAGTGGATTCACTGCAGCATGAAAATATGTTCTAATTTTGACATGATCATTTTATTACAAATTTATGACTATTTTTCGAATGTGTGTCTTAATACAGGATGACAAACAAGTGCTACGTACGTTATTTATTTAAAGAAAGTTCAGAACTTTCGTTTTCATGCAATATTCGCAGAACTGAACTCGACGAACCGAATGTTGATGCGTGGTTTGTAAATGGTTAATAAACAATTTATTTGCGGATGTTTACCGCTTGTTCAGCTTAAATTCACATACAGTTAACTGGATGTTACCTGTGTCAACTGGATTCTGAGTGTTAGATTCTGAATATAATTGTATGCATGCAACTCTAATATGCTAATTTATTTGCTGCTACCAAATTTATAAGTGATTTTTTTTTGTCAGAGCGTTTTCAAAAAAACAAAACTTTAGTTTGCTCTGAGATAACAGAAGCACACACTAAAAACTGAAACCTTAAACGTCAGCTATACACTTCTTCATTGGTGTTACAGGTGTTAGAATTGGACGATATGCCCCGTGAAATGACAGATTACCACAACTACCATAGGCTGGGTGAAGATAAGACAACAATCCTTCTCAAATTTTGTCTACTTCTTAACCCGGAGCTTTTGGACGGAAAATGCATTTTCGAGGCAAATGATTTGCCCAGTGGTAATGAGTTTGTGGAGCTGTCTTCAATGAAAACGACGATGGTTGCAGCGGCTGGTATTATGATGGGTGGAAGAAATGTTCGAGTCGCAAAAGTCATGCTGTACAAACCATCATGGCGTCGCAACAACTTTGACGAACCAATGGCTGCGATGTTGCAACAACTGACCTCTCGCCAAGCCTCAAGTCTGGGCATTCGTAGAGAAAGGAGTCGATGTGTCATATCATGAATGATCCAATCACCAACCACAGTCTTTTTGTGATTTGGATTATTTAATAATGAATAATTAAAGATATGCACTTTTACCATCACCATTCATGTTATAAGTGTGATGGAAAGGTAGTTCCAAAACATGTTATCTCACTAAAAAAGCACTTGGAGTAATGTTAGATATAATTGTAATCATTTAAATTTTGTAAGTGTTCATTTTCATCAATAAAGATACAATGTGGAATAAAGTAAATGTTTTTGTGTATCACAAATCACCTAAATAACAATCTAAAGTAAACATCTAAATGTCTATGTGTCAAATAATGTGTTTTTCGATTACCAACAAATTTTACCAACAAATATTTTACATTTCTTCACTTGCCTTAGGAGTTTTCCCTGATCACGATTCTTTTACTACCCCATGAACAACCTTCTTAATCCCATCACCACCAACAATGTGATTGCAAAAGCACCAAAATGAGCAAATTCAACCCTTAGTCTTCAGCGTTAGAAAATTGAAGTTAAATGCTGTCGTTAGAAAATTGAAGTCCTCAGCCGACTTCTAAAATTGATGTTTGAATTTCGGGGTTTTTTTATCCAAAATATACATAACACGCAGCAAAGTGAAATAAATGAAAGTAAGTTCACAGGTCTAAAGTTGAAAAAACCATTGTACTGTTATAGTGATCAAAATGAAAACCTTTCCCTCGCCCAATAAAACATTCTAAATAAACAATCTTTGATATACACTTTTTTAATTAAATGATGTGGTTTTTGAAAGATGTTTTCATCAAACTTTACAAGAATATTGATGATTAAGGTGCAAATGCCTTTAATTATATATTACATTAGGCTACATGACACATATGTATATATAAGAAACGCTGTGGTTTATGGTCATTATGATATGATACACCCTCCACTTTTTTGTCTACGGCCAGACGTGATGGCTTTGCGCGAGCCTTTGCGCGAGCCTAGTCTTCGAGCCATTGCAGCCATTGGTTCGTCAAAGTTGATTCGACGCCATATTGGTTTGTACAACATGATTTTTAGGACACGAACATTTCGTCCACCCATCATGACATTAGACGTCGCAACCATCGTAGTTTTAATCGAAGATAACTCCAAAAATTTATTGTAAGCCCCATTTGGTAAATCACTTCTCTCAAAAATGCACTTGTCGTTTAAAAGGTCCGGCTTAAGAAGTAAACAGAGTTCGAGAAGGACATCTGTCTGGACTTCAGTAAGTCTGTAGTAATACGCAAAATCTGTCAGTTCACTGGGCATGTCATCCAACTCTAGCACCTGTAACAACAATTAACTTATCTGTTAAACCAATGTTTATAGGTCTTAGTTTTACAGCAAGGTGTATCATAAATTATTGAAAGAAAGAGTTTCGTTTTCATAGAAGAACGAAAGGTGAATACCATAGAAAAACGACGCAAAAATTGATTTTTACTAACATAATTGTTTTGAGTGACGAAAAAGAATTCATTGTGTTTAGTTGGTGCTGTATTCAGACAGTTTTCAAAGAAAATGAAAAAAATTCATTTCGCACCGAGCATCCCGCTGACTTAGCAAATGTCGAAAAACGAAACAATTAGCAACATATAGCTAAAATGAACCATGCATACAATAAAATATATGCAAATTTTTTAAAAGGAAGATAACGACTAAAAATATTCCGTTCAAAAATTGTTTATAAATCATATATATATACTAAAATTGCGTCGACTTCTGCGTTTCGTCGAGTTTACTTCCACGAAAATTGAAAACACGAAAGTTTTGAACATTCTTTTAACAAACGACAAATAGCAGGGACACAATCCAGCAATTGAATCTATTGATTTCTTGAAATTCATAGCTGCTTCATTCAGCAGAAATATCAGTCAGGTAAATACGTCGTAAACTCGACATAGCTTATATTTCTAAACAGTAAAGCAACTAACCGACTCTGTGGACATCATAAAGTTTCCCTTTTTTTACCGCAAGGCATTAACGAACGCAAGTTTAACAAAATATTAAAAGTATATTTCAAAGAAAAGAAGTTTCATTTCTATTTCATGTTGGACATTCATGTAATAAAAAACGTTTAGCAATTGTGTGTTTGTAATAAATCGTTTAGAAAGAACATTCCTAAGATCAAATTAATTAATACCTCCAACACAAGATGCTGAGCTTGCCTATACGTTGCTTTTCTAACAAAAATATCAGACAAGACAGAATTGAGCTATAAAACTGCTCGTTTAGCAAAGCATCAACGAACCAGCTCTAACAAAAACTTAGAATTAAACATATTTTAGCTTCAGATTCAAACATATTTTCATGCTGCAGTGAATGCACTTACCGTAGAAATGCAATTGAGATAGTACATCAGTTTAGCTTTAGGATCGTCGGGAACACTGACAGTATCTCCTTTTAACTGTACGCCAAGTTGTTCTCTCTGAAAGGCTAAAGCCATTTTAAAGTTGCTTTTTTCGAGATGATTGTGGCTATTGTTAGTGAACATAAAATAAAAGAAATATGTCTTTCACATTATTTACATAGAAATCCCGCTGCTTTGTTTGTTTGAAGCATAGGTGTGTTATGTTATTGTCGCTGACTCGTTAGGAGACTCAATATGTGATCGCCATTGTTACTGTCAGTACTCATGAAAACAAATTCTTGTCGAACGGCAGAAAACGGTCTAAGGAAAAGCCAGCTAACATTTTGACATGCATGATTGCTTTATAAAAAGATGGATTCTAATTTGGGAATGGTTGTCAATAAGAAAATAGCAACTCATTTGCTGTTTTTAGAATATCTGGTTTGATACTCAAACTATTTAGTCACTGTGTAGATATGCTTGAAGAAACTAGAACTGTGTCAGAAGCATCATAGTAATTCACAGATGATGTTTTAGTTCAAGACAATAATTGTCTTGTTGCTATACACGTGTATATCACATGAACATGATGTTATTATCTATGATATTGAGTTATGAAAATTGTGACAGGAAATTTTTCTATAACCCACTGTTGTAAAAAATGGTTTAAGAGAGATTTGGTAATGATAATTTGAATTGAATTTTTTTGTAAAATCTACGTTGAACAATCTCTATTTTGCTGGTTTAAAGCTGTTTTGATTCGCGAACAATTATCTAAAGTAATCAGTCAAATTTCCTTTCTTTATAAATCTAAATCTAAAAGAGCCAGTATTGCTTTAGAAATGACGACGTTTACAAACTGAAATTTTGTTGCTGCAGTGTTGATGATTTTACATTTACAAATATTCTTTTAGTGTTTAAAGTTTGTACATCTCGTTTTTTATATTTTATAATATTCATGGGCTCCACAAATAAAAAATTTCCGCAAAAAGATCTTTGTTCTCTGTATGTAAATGGCACTCAACATACTTTATTGAAATATTTTGATATATGTGGTACTTTAATTATTCATTTAAAAATGCAGTAATTATTCATTTGAATATGATTCGAAGCAAATGATATTTCCTAGCCATTTGTAAAGTACTGCCAACCTTGGACACAAATCATTTCGCTAACTGATCATTAACACGCACACCCTACCCCCCATCCTCAGCGTCTGTTAAAAAAAGTTAAGCTGTAAAGCCTAGTTCCCATTTAGTTTTACTTGTTGTAGACCTTCATCGGCGACACTAACCGACCTATTTACAACACCACGTTCCCATATAGTTGTAATTGTTGTAATTCAGAAGATACTTGCATACTAGTACTAAAATCATGTGTGTCTTATCGTTGATATTTGATAATAATATTTGATAAAACAATCTTGCGTTAGGTTTGTGTGACAAGCTTCCTCGTTGCCAAAATTGCGTAAGAAATTGAAAGAAAAAATAAATTGCCATCGCTGATGAGCGTTCCCACATGAATTTCTTATGTCGGCTAATGTTGTAATTGAAAGAATGTACAACATAGGCAGCCCAATAAATGACTTAAATTGTTTAAACAAACGATAACTCTCCCCATTCCATCGTAAGAGACCGTGTTCTGCAACAATTGTATTGATTTTCTTCTAAATTGTATCGATAATTTGCGAATTCTCTGGGACCAATCAGCGAAATTGTTTTATTGTTCTTATTTTAAAATTTACAATGGCAATTATTCGTCGATTCTATCGAGATAATAACGCAACATCCGCTTCATTCGAAGTTGCGGGGATTGTTTCATAAATAGCGTAGACTAAATATTTGTTTTCATTTTCACTTACAATCCTACAACAGTCGTCGATAGCAAACTTCGAAATGGCTTTAGCTTTTCAAAGAGAACAAGTTGGTGTTAAGGTTATTACATCAACACCTGCAACTGTTCCTGATGATCCTAAAGCAAAACTGATGTATTATCTAGACTGTATTGCTACGGTAAGTGGATTCAGTGCAGTATGAAAATATGACATTATCATTTTTTAAAACATTAATAATCTTTTAAAGCATGCCTAAACGAGAAATTTTATGGTGTCTATAATGGTTAGTTGCATTATAAGCAATGCTATGTGTTGTTTGTCAAAAAATTCCTGACTTTCGTTTTCTACTTTCGCGGAGCTTAACTCAACAAAACCAAAAAGTCGATGTATGATTTATAAAAAGGTTATAAATTATGGTTTATAAATTGTCCTTTTTAACATAAGGTTAGCATATTTAGCTATGGAGTGAACGTGTTCTCTACATGAAGTTGTTTCGTTCTTATGCCTTTTGTAAATCAGTCGGATTCTGCTGCGTAAAGAATGTCTGTAAGATAGTTTCTATAGATAATTTCTGTGTCATTGAAAGTGACTGCATCATCATAAAAAAAACAATGTTGCCTGCTACAAACTCTTTTTCAAAATTATCGGAATGCGACTCAAGATCAGACAAATTTTTTCTTTTCGTCACTCTTAACATTCAATCTTGTTGGCTAACACAAAATTTTAGCTACATCGTTTTTTCTTCAAAGCGTTCACCGTTTTATATAGTTGAGAAAACAAACATTTTATTTGTAATGAAGACGGGAACCTAAAATGCCCGTTAAAAGTTGTTCTTGTTTGTTTCAGGTATTAGAATTGGATGATTTGCCGAGCGAACTAAGAAATTACAGGAACTACCGCTCACTGAATGATGACAAGACAGAAATCCTTCTCAAATTTTGTTTACTTCTTAACCCCGATCTTTTGGACGGAAAGTGCATTTTCCAAGCGAGTGATTTGCCGAATTATTCGAATGAGTTTTTAGAGCTATCTTCGACGAGAACTACAATGGTTGCAGCATCCGGTGTAATGATTGGTGGAAGAAATGTTCGAGTCGCAAAAATTATGCTGTACAAACCATCATGGCGTCGCAACAACTTTGACGAACCATTGGCTGCGATGACAAGACGACTAGCCTCACGTCAAGCCTCGCGTCAAGCCTCACGCCAAGCCTCGCGTCCAGCCTCACGCCAAGCCTCGCGTCCAGCCTCACGCCAAGCCTCGCGTCCAGCCATCACTTCTGGCCGTAGAGAAAGAAGTGGAGGGTGTATTGTATTATGAAAGATGCAATTATAGATCACAGCCTTTTTGTATAAATATATAGACTCATTGGAATAATTTGCACATTTATATCATTAATGTACACAAGCAAAAAGATGGAAATGTATATCTTAGCATATCTTATAGAAACAAGCACTTCAAGTAACGTTAAATTGTAATAATTAACTATAAGAATACATTTGTTTTCATCAATAAAGATTTGGTAAATGATTTTTCCTCAGTTTAAGGGTATCGCATCGCTTGAACAATAATCTGAACAGGTATAAACAAAAGAAAACACGATGAAATCAACCAAGCCCTGATTAAAGTAATTATGGTATGAAATTTCACTCTTCTTAAGTCATAAACTGGTTTGTTAATGAATTAGGGGTTGAAAATATGCGTAAATACTTTCTGTCATTGGGAATAACGAGTTGTTTAAATTTAACATATGAGGTATTTATATTTATTTGGGATACCAACATCACTTGAGTGATTTTCAATGGGATCCTGCGTTCTAAAATTCTAAAAATACCCACAATACCCATTAATATCTACTGATATTGATGAACACATGTACATCCAAACATTATATATATTTTGTTTGACTTACTGCTTGGCTTTAGTAAAGATTTGAAATGGAAAATAGATTCAGCATTCATAATTGAATTGTTCAAGTTATTGTAATCTTTCAAAGTAAGATAGCTAGGTTTATTTTTGCTCCTGTGTGTACTCAATTTTAACGTTTGTAGTTAATGAAATATATCAAATGCAACCGACATTAAATTCAAGGCTTAGTGTGCAAGCTACATCCTTGCAATCATTCTGGATGATTTTTCCTTATTTACAATGCAAACGTCAATGAATGATTTACATAATGTAGATAAAAATCCTTTTATTAACGATATCTTTTCTTGGAACTTGAATATTATGAATTAGAAGTAAAGACGAGTTTAATTTTACAACATTAAAAGAAGGTTTGGAACAAAATATAATCTAAAATATTTTTGTTCATAAACGTCGTCATCTCTAATACAAGAATACAACACTTTTAGTTTGAATGTAAAGAAAGGAGATCCGACTGATTACTTTAGATAATTACTGGTGAAAGTTTTAGTTACTTTAAATAATATTATTTGAATATTCTATGCATGAAATAAATCGTTCAATCACAAGTTTAGCAATTTTTTAAAGAAGCAGTTAATTTCATACTTGTCCGGCATTTTTCTGTCTTTCTTAAGTCACAATGGCGATTATTCATTTTTTATTCCCACTTTCGATAAAGATAGCGTGACATTCCACTTAATTCGTATATGAAGCGGTGGGGTTTCTACATAAATTATGCAATAACAAATATTCTTAGTCATTTCATTTTCACTTGCTACACTGCTCTAAACTAGCTACATCAATCCTCAAAAAGGAAACTTCAAAATGGCGTTATTCCAAAGAGAGCAGGTAGGTATTAAGCTTACTGGAACTAGCGCCAGTGTTCCTGATGTTCCTAAAGCTAAATTGATGTATTATCTTGGTTGTATGTCTTCGGTAAGTGGATTCAGTGCAGCATAAATATATATGTTCTAATATTGACATGATCATTTCATTACAATTTATTTCTATTAAGTTAAAATTGTGCTTATTATATATTTCCTTGCTAAGCCAGCAATTTTGTTGTGTTTTCAAGCAGTTAGATAGAAATATATGTATTGCGTCGTGTCATGACTATTCAGACTTGTTTGAGTTATTCAATATTTTTACTAAAAGAAGCAATACATCTAGACAAATTGTAGCTAAATCTTCCATTCGGATTTATGAATTGAATTTTGAATGTTTGTCTTAATACAGGATGACAAAAAAGTGCTACGTTGTTTATTAAAAGAAAGTTCAGAACTTTCGTTTTCATTTTTCGCGGAACTGGACGAAACAAATGTCGATGCGTGGTTTGTAAATGGTTTATTGACAAATTATTTGCGTATATTTAGTCCTTGTTCACCTTAAATTCACATACAGTTAACTGGATATTACATGTGTCAGCTGGATGCTGAATGTTAGATTCTCAATAAAATTGAATGCATGCAACTCTAATATGCTAATATTTTGCTGCTAACGAATTTATAAGTGTTTTTTTTTTGTCAGAGCATTTTCAAAAAAACAAAACTTTATTTTGCTCTGATATAACAGAAGCACACACTAAAACATATTAAAAACTGAAACCTTACACGTCAGCTAAACACTTCTTCATTGGTGTTACAGTTGTTAGAATTGGACGATATGCCGCGTGAAATGACAGATTACCACAACTACCATAGGCTGGGTGAAGATAAGACAACAATCCTTCTCAAATTTTGTCTACTTCTTAACCCGGAGCTTTTGGACGGAAAATGCATTTTCGAGGCAAATGATTTGCCCAGCAGTAATAAGTTTGTGGAGCTGTCTTCAATGAAAACGACGATGGTTGCAGCGGCTGGTATCATGATGGGTGGAAGAAATGTTCGAGTCGCAAAAATCATGCTGTACCAACCATCATGGCGTCGCAACAACTTTGACGAACCAATGGCTGCGATGTTACGACAACTGACCTCTCGCCAAGCCTCAAGTTTGGGCATTCGTAGAGAAAGGAGTCGATGTGTCATATCATGAATGATCCAATCACCAACCACAGTCTTTTTATTTTATGGATTATATAATAATGAATAATTAAATCTATGCACTTTTACTATCACCATTCATGTTATAAGTGTGATGGAAAGGTAGTTCCAAAACATGTTATCCTACTAAAAAAGCACTTGGAGTAATGTTAGATATAATTTTAATCATTTAAATTTTGTAAGTGTTCATTCTCATCAATAAAGATACAATGTGAAATAAAGTAAATGTTTTTGTATATCACAAATCACCTGAATAACAATCTAAAGTAAACATCTGCATACAAATTTCTATGTGTCAAATAATGTGTTTTTCGATTACCAGTAGTATTTTACCAACAAATATTTTACATTTCTTCATTTGCCTTAGGAGTTTTCCCTGATCACGATTCTTTTATTCCTCCCTGAGCAACCTTCTTAATCCCATCATCACCACCAATGTGATTGCAAAAGCACCAAAATGAGCAAATTCAACCCTTAGTCTTCAGCGTTAAAAAATTGAAGTCCTCAGACGACTTCTCAAAATTGATGTTTGAATTTCTTGTTTTTTATCCAAAATATACGGGACACGCAGCAAAGTGAAATGAATGAAAACGAATTAAATTTCAGTAAGCTTCGTTCTTCTTACTCAGGACTCTCACTTTATTATGGGTGATAATAGGATCATTTAAGAAATAAAAGATGCTTACAGTTTTTGAAAGGCTTATGCAAACCGAGGAGACCTTTGGGAGAACTCGATACCAGATCAGTGCAAGCCTGAGACTAAAGGTCGATGGTTGCACATGCTCGAGAGTTCTCACAAACGTCTCCGAGGCTTGCATAAGGCAGTGCAAGCACGAAAAAACCTTTTGTTTCTCTTGTAAAATAACAATAATGCAAATAAGACAAACATTTTAATTTTTCTTCTGAAATGTATTCATGATCGAAATTCTCTTTGACTGATTGATTGTTTTGATTGATTTGATTGGTTGAGCTCAGATGTGTTCTGCACAGGCTAATGCAAACACGGCTTTAGACCAATCACAGCACGCGTTTTATTGTTTTAATTTTAAAAAGTAAGATCACAGGTTTAAAGTTAAAAAAACCATTGTACTGTTATAGTGATCAAAATGAAAACCTTTCCTTCGACCAATAAAACATTCTAAATAAACAATCTTTGATATACACTCTTTTAATTAAATGATGTAGTTTTTGAAAGATGTTTTCATCACACTCTACAAGAATATTGATGATTAAGGTTCAAATGCCTTTAATTATTTATTACATTAGGCTACATGACACATATGTATATATAAGAAACGCTGTGGCTTATGGTTATTATGATATGATACACCCTCCACTTTTTTGTCTACGGCCAGACGTAATGGCTTTGCGCGAGCCTTTGCGCGAGCCTAGTCTTCGAGCCATTGCAGCCATTGGTTCGTCAAAGTTGATTCGACGCCATATTGGTTTGTACAACATGATTTTTAGGACACGAACATTTCGTCCACCCATCATGACATTAGACGTCGCAACCATCGTAGTTTTAATCGAAGATAACTCTAAAAATTTATTGTAAGCCCCATTTGGTAAATCACTTCTCTCAAAAATGCACTTGTCGTCCAAAAGGTCCGGCTTAAGAAGTAAACAGAGTTCAAGAAGGACATCTGTCTGGACTTCAGTAAGTCTGTAGTAATACGCAAAATCTGTCAGTTCACTAGGCATGTCATCCAACTCTAGCACCTGCAATAACAATTAACTTATCTGTTAAACCAATATTTATAGGTCTTAGTTTTACAGCAAGGTGTATCATAAATTATTGAAAGAAACAGTTTCGTTTTCATAGAAGAACGAAAGATGAATACCATAGAAAAACGACGCAAAAATTGATTTTTACTAACAAAATTGTTTTGAGTGACGAAAAAGAATTCTTTGTGTTTAGTTGGTGCTGTATTAAGACAGTTTTCAAAGAAAATGAAAAAATTCATTTCGCAACGAGCATCCCGCTGACTTGGCAAATGTAGAAAAACGAAACCATTTGCAACATATAGCTAAAATGAATGATACAATAAAATATATGCAAATTTTTTAAAAGGAAGATAACGACTAAAAATATTCCGTTCAAAAATTGTTTATAAATCATATATATATACTAAAATTGCGTCGACTTCTGCGTTTCCTCGAGTTCACTTCCACGAAAATTGAAAACGAAAGTTTTGAACATTCTTTTAACAAACGACAAATAGCAGAGACACAATCCAGCAATTGAATCTATTGATTTCTTGAAATTCATAGCTGCTTCATTCAGTAGAAATATCAGTCAGATAAATAATTCGTCAACTCAACAAAGCTTATATTTCTAAACAGTAAAGCAACTAACTGACTCTGTGGACATCATAAAATTTCCCTTTTTTTACCGCAAGGCATTAACGAACGCAAGTTTAACAAAATATTAAAAGTGTATTTCAAAGAAAAGAAGTGTCATTTCTATTTCATGATGGACATTCATGTAATAAAAAACGTTTAGCAATTGTGTGTTTTGTAATAATCGTTTAGAAAGAACATTCCTAAGATCAAATTAATTAATACCTCCAACACAAGATGCTGAACTTGCCTATACGCTGCTTTTCTAACAAAAATATCAGACAAGACAGAATTGAGCTATAAAACTGCTCGCTTAGCAAAGCATCGACGAACCAGCTTTAACAAAAACTTAGAATTAAACATATTTTAGCTTCAGATTCAAACATATTTTCATGCTGCAGTGAGTCCACTTACCGTAGAAATGCAATTGAGATAATACATCAGTTTAGCTTTAGGATCGTCGGGAACACTGACAGTATCTCCTTTTAACTGTACGCCAAGTTGTTCTCTCTGAAAGGCTAAAGCCATTTTAAAGTTGCTTTTTTCGAGATGATTGTGGCTATTGTTAGTGAACATAAAATAAAAGAAATATGTCTTTCACATTATTTACATAGAATTCCCGCTGCTTTGTTTGTTTGATGCATAGGTGTGTCATGTTATTGTCGCTGACTCGTTAGGAGACTCAATATGTGATCTCTATTGTTACTCTTAAAACTCATGAAAACAAATTCTTGTCGAACGGCAGAAAACGGTCTAAGGAAAAGCCAGCTAACCTCTTGACATGCATGGTTGCTCTATAAAAAGATGGATTCTAATTTGGGAATGGTTGTCAATAAGAAAATAGCATCTCATTTGCTGTTTTTAGAATATCTGGTTTGATACTCAAACTATTTAGTCACTGTGTAGATATGCTTGAAGAAACTAGAACTGTGTCAGAAGCATCATAGTAATTCACTAATGATGTTTTAGTTCAAGACAATAATTGTCTTGTTGCTATACACGTGTATATCACATGAGCATGATGTTATTATCTATGATATTGAGTTATGAAAATTGTCACAGGAAATTTTTCTATAACCCACTGTTGTAAAAAAAGGTTTAAGAGAGATTTGGTAATGATAATTTGAATTGAATTTTTTTTGTAAAAACTACGTTGATCAATCTCTATTTTCTAGGTTTAAAGCTGTTTTGATTCGCGAACAATTATCTAAAGTAATCAGTCAAATTTCCTTTCCTTATAAATCTAAATCTAAAAGAGCCAGTATTGCTTTAGAAATGACGACGTTTACAAACTGAAATTTTGTTGCTCCAGTGTTGATGATTTTACATTTACAAGTATTTTTTTAATGTTTAAAGTTTGTATATCTCGTTTTTTATATTTTATAATATTCATGAGTTCCACGAATAAAAATTTCCTCAAAAAGATCTTTGTTCTCTGTATGGAAATGGCACTTAACATACTTTATTTAAATATTTTGATATATGTGGTATCTTTAATTATTCATTTGAAAATGCAGTAATTATTCATTTGAATATGATTCGAAGCAAATGATATTTCCTAGCCATTTGTAAAGTACTGCCAACCTTGGACACAAATCATTTCGCTAACTGATCATTAACACGCACACCCCACTCCCCATCCTCAGCGTCTGTTAAGAAAAGTTAAACTGTAAAGCCTAGTTTCCATTTAGTTGTACTTGTTGTAGACCTTCATCGGCGACACTAACCGACCTATTTACAACACCACGTTCCCATATAGTTGTAATTGTTGTAATTCAGAAGATACTTGCATACTAGTACTAAAATCATGTGTGTCTTATCGTTGATATTTGATAATAATATTTGATAAAACAATCTTGCGTTAGGTTTGTGTGACAAGCTTCCTCATTGCCAAAATTGCGTAAGAAATTGAAAGAAAAGATAAATTACCATCGCCGATGAGCGTTCCCACATGAATTTCTCATGTCGGCTAATGTTGTAATTGAAAGAATGTTTTATGTTGAACTGTGTGACTTCATAGCTCAGTTGGTCAGAACACTGCACCGGCACCGCAGAGGTCATGAGTTCGAATCCCGTTGAGTCACCTGAATTTTACAGGTTTACGAGACAATTGCTTAAATTGTCCAGCAAAAGTGCGAAGATCATATCTACATTTAATTTAATGTTGTAATTGTTGTGGAAATTGAACCGGATTCAACTTCTACAACAGATCTCGATTTGTCTGCGATTTAACTACAGCAATTACAACGCCTGTTCACATATAGTTGCATGTAATTGTTGCAGACCTTCATCGCCCAGAGAATTACAGCTATACGTATGACCTAGATTATCACGCTCTGACAAAAAATTGTATTATACTGTTTGATGTAGCAGTTTTTTGCACCCATTAAATTACGTATAGTGTTGAATTTCATAACACATTTCCAATTGTAAATGCTTAGTGTTATTCTGCGTTATATTTCCAACGTTTTCCTCCAACTGTATACGACTCAATTTTCTAGCGTATAGCAAATACCAGCTTTTGAGAGAGAAACTATCAGACTCAGAATCAGAACTCTCAGAATCAGAACCTCGTTCAGACCTCAGAATGCCAAAGTCCACTCCCCCGGTATTCTAATTATAGAAATGCTGAAGCGATTACCCCCTCCTGGTTTGTTCGCACATGGCGATAGTTCTTGAGTTTAAGTAACGACGCTTAAACAATTACTTTTTCCCGAAGATGGGCGCTTATTTAGCAAAACCCGAAACCAAAAAGACATCTTACGATAAAAATAATGATGTTGTAAAGGTTGGCGTGTCAGAAATGCAAGGATGGCGTGTGTCGATGGAGGTATTGAGTTTTTGAATGACCACGCGAGAAGTGATAACGTGTCTTAAAATTGTATGACTTGCCTTGGCTTTTTGTCGACGAAATTTATTGAAGTTATAGCTTCAGTTATCAGTTTTTGGGATTAGTGTTTAAAAATTTCGTATGATATCCTTTGGATGTTGAAATCAGAGAGTCAATTGCTCTGAATATTTCTGTATTCAAAGATTTCGCAATCTAAAGGCGACGAATTATTTCAATATTTCAAAGACGTTGTCTCTGAAATTAGGATAGTGCTGTGCTTCATACAGCGCTAACTTAGTTTCAGAGATCATACACACAAAGACTTCGTAAAGTGAAGTCGTTGTTTGTATAATCGTGTTTGAGTTTTTCTCTTCTCCATTTAAAATGTTATAAATTTTCATGACAATGGTCGTTATTCTAATGTGTTGTTTTTGATATAGGATGCTCATTCTTGTACGTTGGACTACGATGATAATCTGTCTTTGTTCGCCGTGTTTGATGGACATGGAGGTAAGGACTTCCCTTGTGGATATTTTCATGTATTTTAAAATCTTTTGACCTAAATGTAGCAATTAAATAACTATACTTATTAATAAAGTAAATGTATATACTTATTAACTTATATAACTAAAGTATATCCTTACATCAAACTTGATAATTTAGCCTTTCCAAAGGATGAGTATTTGAAGAAATCACAATCTACCTTTTGCTTGATAACAGACTGCAGAGGAGGGTAATTATGCCCCCTGAATTTGTCAAGAAACAAGTTTTAGTACCCCTCAAGTTGTTATAGGAAAAACAAAAAATGTAACAGAAACTAAGATGTTTAAGTGCATTTGCATCCCTGAGTCAGCACTGGTTTCATGTTTTTCAGCTTTTCATCTCCAAGATCTTCGCAAATCATGATTTCAGATGCATTTCATGCACTATCTCATGCACAAGATCGTACAGTGATTAAGATTGGGATCAAGATTGTGTACAAAGCCATGTAAAAACCGCTATAAAGCTATTAAAAAAACCCTTAAAAAATCATTAAAAACTGTCTATAATAACTAAATATATCATAACACCGAATACTTAAGTATTTTTTCGATATTTTTGATTCAATATATTTATATTTTCGAATTCGATGTATTTATATTTTGTTATACCAAAAAAAACAATATTGATACATCGATAATTAAAAAACCTGATATTTATCGATATTTCGATACACCGCAACAGCCTTGTAGATGTGTTTAAATATTTCCTTTAATGACAAAGATTTTCAATAATTAAGCATAAACTAAAAGTCTATGACTCACTTAAATTATCAAAGGACTAGTTCATTGAGCTTACTCGTAAAATTTAGGGGCTGAAGTTTCAACATATGCTGCAGAAAACCTTCCACAGTTTTTAAAGACCATGGATGAATACAAAAATGGCAATCTTAAGGATTGCCTTCTTAATGGATTTCTTCAGTTTGATGAAAAACTTATCTCCGACGAGGTACAATCTTGAAGAACTATTATTATGTAGAATGTTCTTGGCCCCCTTGTTATTTGCTTTATTTATTAATTTTGTTCACATTGTTTGGAAATTTTTTTGCTGTGTAGCACCGAGAAGCATGGTTCATAAATTTTATATAATTGGTCCATAAAGTTACTAGCATTTGCTGTTAAATCCCATTTTGATTCAACTTTGTGTAAGGTTGTGGCTATGCTGGCCCAAATCTACATAAATATTTTATTTGGAAAAAGTATTAATGTTGTATAGCTGTTAAACGTCTTAAAAAGAGGATTGTTACTTTCACAATTCTTTTGTCAGTTTTAGGCCCATTTCAAACATCGAACTTTACATGAACCAAACACATTTAAAACAAAAGATAATGAGGAAATTTATCTCATTTTCTATTTTCTTTATTGTGTTCTGTGCATGTAAAGTTTGACAATTGAAGCAGGAATTATAAAAGCGCTTACATACTTTTGAAGGGGAGGCTACTTTTGAGACTCTATGGTTATGTTTATTTCATGTTTAAATAGGTTTTCTTTTGTGAAATAAATATCAGAGATAGAATCACCCATTGCTCCCTTACCTTGAATTTTAAGTAACTTAAACACATTTTGTTATTTATTGAGATATACTTTTAACAATGATGCAAGATTTATTTAATTTAACTTCAGGTTCTTGATAAACTCCGTGAAATGGCTGGTATGAATGAAAGCAATCCAAATGACAGCGAGATCTGTGCATTGCGCGATGAAGCAGAAATACCCATTGAGGAATTAAAGGCAAAACTACAACAGGTTTTATGAAATAAATTTTGATCGATTGGCAAAGCTTGTTAATAGATATTTCCAACCTTCGTTCTTCATCTTCTTCCAGGGGATTATAGCATTCTTCATCTTCTCCCATGGTAATTGCAGCATTCTTTATTTTCTTCCAGGAGGGTTACTTCATTTTTCATCTTCTTCCATGGGAATTGCAGCATTCTTCATCTTCTTCCAGGGGGGTTAGTTCATTCTTTATCTTCTTCCAGGAGGGTTACAGCATTCTTCATCTTCTCCCATGGAATTGCTGCATTCTTTATCTTCCAGGGTGGTACAGCATTCTTCATCTTCTTCCATGGGAATTGCAGCATTCTTCATCTTCTTCCATGGGAATTGCAGCATTCTTTATCTTCTTCCAGGGGGGTTACTTCATTCTTCATCTTTTTCCAGGGAGGTTACAGTGTCACAAATATTGATGATGTTGAAGATGATGATGAAGAGTATAAACCTGAAATTGGTAAAATATTTTTACTTTTCAGTTTTTTTACTTTTCAGTTATTTTATGAATGCTGATTTTTTCCTTACTACAAACATCCAGTCAACTCAATTAAATTATTAAGTTTCAGTCCTTCCCTTCCCATGTTATACTCATATGCACTACACATCACCCCATGCCCCTGAGTCGTGCATTACCCCACAACACCACTACGTGCACCTACACCACATCCCTCTGTATTCTCTACAACTCTCATCCTCTTTTGTGGAAAACTTCCTTCCCTTTTTGCACATATGTTGTCTTGTATACTGGAAGTAAATCTTGTATGATTTTTAACCACATTTTTTAATGACCCAGGTCATTGTTATCAGCTAAAATATGGAAGATTTGTGCACAGCTGAGCATTTCAGTCAATGAAAAATATGTTTAATGTTCGAATTGCCTTTATCATTGGTATAAAACTCATGACAAGACCGTTAATTATAACACTTTCATGTTTAAAAATATGGTTTTCTCAATACACACTAAAACAGATGCTTTTTTCACAAGATACGTAAACAGTTATCACCTCAAGTTATGGTTTGTGATGACTATTTGTGCTTTAGATGAAAATGCAGAATGTTCAAGTGTTGGTAAAGATGAAGAAAAAGGCAAAGAAATTGAGAAGAAAGCTGCAAAAAAATCAGTGAAAGTTTCACAGGAGAAAATTGAAAAGGAATCAACAGTAAATGGCGAGAGTAAAGATGATGTTGAAAATGGTGCTGATGATCAGGTGAGCCTGGGAACCAGTCTTTATTTATAACAAGGGGGTGAAGAGAATTTTTTTAATTCAGAAAAATTCATCCATCTCATTTTTTTCGCCCACTTTTAGAATGTGAAAATATAAATAACCTCAGCAAGTTTGTCATCCTTTATTGGCAAGCATTACAAAGTAGCATTTGCACAAAAAATAATTGGGTGAAGTTTTTGCTCCATTTTCAAAAAATCGTGATGAAATTTGGTTTTATGGAGATTAAAATAATCATTTGTGTTTTTGCTCGGCGCTTATAATATAAGTGGATATATATGTTATACAATTGTTTTTACAAGATTTGGTTGATGAGAGTAAGCACTCCCCCCTGTTCTGAATATTTCAACTATATAAAACAGGTGGGGGAAGAGTCCATGTTTCTCATACTGGAAAAATTGCATATAAGTATGGCCACACTGTATACGTAACATGCTTATCATGACGTGCGTAGTTTGATTGCGTTGCAGTCTGAAGCAGTTATGTTTTTATTTTTATCTTAAATGAAGTATCATCTTTCCAGGATGAAGAAGAGGAGGAGGATGATGATGATGAGGAAAATAGCGATGAAAATGAGAATGATGACGATGAAGATGAAGAGGAGAACCAGTGTCATGATGGTGACGAGGTGAGTTTTTTTATATAGTTTTATTTTGTCAAGTAAGTTTTAAGGTAAATGGTTGGACCCCGGGAGTATCGTTACATGTTTGTAGATGTAGATCGTCCAGGTTGGTATAGTCCTGAGAAGGACTGTTTTTGTTGTTGTTGACTGACGTTTCGACAACCTTAGCGGTAGTCATTTTCTGTGTCAAGAGTCTTGATATTCGAGAGTCAACATCTGAAGATGACTACCGCTAAGGATGACCAAACGTCAGTCAACACTATCACCAACAGTCCAAAGAACTCCACAAACCTGGGCTGATCAATCTAAGTATTCAAACATATAATTAAGTATGTTTTATCTTCGTTTAAGCTAATGGAGTAAAGGGGGAAAATGTATGAAACATTTTATTTCTTTACTCCACGATTCAAAGCGCAGTGTTTTTTATCCTCGAATCCATAGTTTTACTTTATTGAAAGTTAATTTTTCACGGATTTTAAGGATGAAAATACGACATTCAATTATTGTACGTACATTAGGTTGGTTATGACAGCGGTACGACTGCCATTGTTGCTTTACTGAACAAGAACAAACTTATCGTGGCGAATGTAGGGGACTCCAGGTGTGTTCTGTGTCGTAATGGGATTGCTATTGATATGTCTGTGGACCACAAACCCGACGATGAGAAGGAATTGAAGAGGATACAAAATGCCGGCGGGAAAGTTACGGCTGAAGGAAGAGTAAACGGTGGTTTGAATCTTTCTAGAGCTTTTGGTACGTACGTACGTACATGCATAGGTAGATTTAGTTCGGCGACATGTTTACATTTTCACAGAAATGTTAAAGTTTTCGTATTGAAGTTTTAAGACTCAAATGTTTTGATTTTTTGTACCGCAATGTTCAAGTTGTCTTGTCGAATTATTTAATGTTTCCTATCGAAGTGTTTTTTTTTGGGGAAATGTTTAAGCTTGCTGGCAGAATATTTAGTTGCTGCTTTCTCAAGCTATAATGTGCTATTTCCCGCCAACCATATCAATTGTTTGTACGTAAATATGCTCTACAGTGAACAGTTTTGTTGCTTTATATCTTATGTCATAAATACATTATATGAGTACGCCGCTTCAGTTCTTTATATTATAGAATAAAGTCAGGCTAGCGGTTTACAGCTAGCGCTTTATTCCTGCTGGATGCGAGAAAATATTTTTAATGATTCCAGTGATACGTAGCATTTTGTAACTCGGGTTTAAAGCAACTTTTAAAATTGCTTATTTAGCAAAGGTTTGGGTGCAAGTTAAAGCTCTAATGCCAATGGCTCCTGTGTGACAATGTGTTTATGTTTTTGTAGGTGATCATAGGTATAAAGGTAAAGCTGATCTTGGTCCAGATGAACAACAGATTACGGCATTTCCTGATGTCAAAGAAACGGAAATTAGCGAGTAAGTCTGCATTCAATGTCGATAAAATTTTTATATTGAGTTATATCTTAGTAATTTTATTCATCGTGATTAGTGGTCGTGAACTCTTAGCTTAGGATAAATATCTGTTTAACGTTTAACTCAATGATTACTTTATTAGCGTACTTTAGAACTTCATAACAGTTTGATGTTAGTTCACAGTTGATCTTTTAGTTTAGTTGGTAGAACATTAGGGAAAGTGATTATCTTCTTACTACGTATATCTGAGTACGTATATTACAACAACTTGATGTCTTCATCTATGATATAAGACATTACAGCAGTGTTAATTGAAGTATAAATAGCAAACCAGACTTTCCCCCTCCTCCCCTCTCCTTACCGATTGTTCCACATTCGTTCAATGACTCTGGTCGTAAGTCCATGATCAGTATGTTTAATAAAATGTGGTAGATCAATTGTCTCTAAGTGGGCCTTGTGTTTTAGTTTGCTACAGATACATGGTCTTATATGAAACATACAACTCCGTGATGTTAAACATTACGTGTCTCATCAATTTTTGCATGCACTCTGTTGTTAATATTTTGTCATTTGGTTGAATTTGTAGCGCAGACAAGTTTATGGTTTTGGCTTGTGACGGAATTTGGTACGTAAACGTTAGACTATTGGCTCTGTTTTGCAAGATTCGCTCTACTGAAGAAAAAAGTTAATACCTAAAATTATAGACTTCAAATTCTTCTGTTAAGACTCTTCTTAAGCATCATCTCTCATTTTTCGTTGACTTACGATTGTCATTTTCTTCTTAGGAATGTCTTAACCAGTCAGGAGGTTGTGGATTTTGTTTCTGAAAGACTGGAGGCTCAAAGTGACTCGGAAAACGTATCATTATCGGCAATTTGTGAAGAGGTAGATAGATTTAGTCATTTTGATCTTTCGTTTTATCTGTAACAATGAAAAAACCTATGAAAATAATGCAAAAGTGGCTGTATAAAAGTCTACTGTTGCCTATAAAGGTAACATGAAGATGCATGACTTTCAAAAGTCGACGAGAACATGTTTGCCAAAATGATACGTAAAGGGGACACAATTACTATGAGATCCTGCATGAAACCTACTTAATCTTAGATGTTCATCAAATCTATGTACACCTACTTGAAGTATTTTGGTTCATTGGAACTGGTTACAACCATATGCTTACAACCCCTCAGTCACACATTGAAATCCTTATCTAATGTTACCTACATAAAAGTATTAATTTATATTTATTATATGACAAGCGTCACCTCCTGCAAAATGGCACGTTTTGATTGGCTCAGAAACATTTTTGCCAGTCCATTATTTTCCCGTAATCGACCACGGTCCAAAACGTGTAATTTTACTGTCAAATGTAAACATATTCGTAAAGCAAACAGCAAAACGCAAAATAAACGAAACAAAAAACTATTTACGAATGTGATTCGAAGGAAAAACACTTGGAAAACAGTTTGACTGTCCAGACGATACAATTTGATACAAGTTTATTTTTTATGGACGAAAACTAGAAAATCAACCCGTAAAAACAGCAAGAACGAGAAAGAAAGCAAACTTCGTTTCAGGTCAAATAATGCCATATAATAATCGTTTTAATAACCTCGCTTTCTCGGTCTTTACTGAGAAATATCGGACCTCTGTCTTTTTGTACAAACCTCGCCCTACGGCTCGGTCCGTTATTTCTCCAAAAAAGACCTCGCCTTCGGTCATTAAAGGCTTAATCATTTGTATTGTGAGTCGTTGTATATAATTATAATATGCGTAATGTTATCTTTAGTTGCTGGACAGTTGTTTGGCAAGCGATACTTCAGGAGATGGGACCGGTTGTGATAACATGACTGCGATTATCGTGCTGCTGTCTGACGCTAAGAACTTTATTCACAAGGGGAAACGAAAAGCCGAGCATGCGTCGGAGACTTCCGAAGTAAAGAAATTGAAAAGCGAGTAGTGCGCGGTAAGCCATATCAGTAAACGTTAGGTGTTCTATTTTTTTAATAACAGTTTGAGCGATGCGAAGTCCTTAAGATCGCGTTATTTTCACGGCAACGTCAAGTGTTGTTTCGTACTTTTGCTATTTTACATCGCTCAAAAGGTTCTCCGTGAAGAGAAAAGTGGGAATTGAGTTTTGTGAAAGGTACGTCAATTCGTATCTTTTGACCCAGTGCCATATTATGAGCTTGCCACAACTGAACATTCGGAATGTATTCGACCACGCATGCGTGTTATCAAAAGCGCCGCTAATTTTAAAAATGTCGGTTGTCTTACTCAAGTTTTTTTGAGTGGGAGGCAAAAAAAATTTGAAGGATGGAAGTCAGTAACAATGAACAATAACTACGTAATCATTTTTCCTACCATCTTTGATTTGATTTGTGGGACAACATTCGATAATGATTGACAGACTTTGATTGTCTATAATTATCTATGATTATCTATGATTATCGATTAGTCTTCAATCTTGTCATCACTGATGCGCTCATAACACTGGAATCATTACTCCAGTTAGCACATGAATAGATGCAATGATCAGGTTTGGTTATTGAATTATGTGTGCAGTCGATTAATATGGGAACTCAGACAACACTATACAAAATCTCGAATCGAGATCTCAAATATTACACTTCAAGTAATAGCGCATCTTGCCTTTCAGACATCACTGTACAAAATATGTTAAATACAAAGCTTTTCACAATTGGTAAATCTGTGCATATCTTAAACATGTTAAAAATGTACTAACGTGTGTTTTGTGTGCTTTTATTTTAAATTATTTTAATGTGCTCTACATCATATGATACTTCATGTTATTATTACTATGTTACATAATTATTCTTATTACTAAACACTTGCAATGTCGTAGTTAATAAGTTGATCGTTGAAGGACGCTTCACCTGTACCATTCGACAATATCACAAGTATTCTATCAAAGAAATCGACATTTTGAAATTGAGCATTCACCAAATTCTTACTGTAATTAAGTTGATTTTGAATCTCTGATGCTGTTAATGGCGAGGTTTGAGATTGAAAGGTCGCTGCACTTTTACCAATACATAACCATTGTAAGAAATCTCTCGCTTTTAAAGCTACTCGTCCTCCCGTGTCTAATTCTGGTGCTTGTACACCTGCTAAACGACATTTGTAGCGTTGAAATTGTCCGTTTCTCTTGAATACTAAGTCAAGAGTATCGCCATTGTGAACTCTAACTACTTTTGCTGTTGCTGTGAAATATGTTGGCGGGGATTCAGTGGTCTGCGGTACATCTGTGATTGTTAAATCTTGAAGACGTTTCAAACTCATTTCTATGTATTGTTTATTTTGATGCAATAGCTCTCTCGAACTTAATACTTCGATATTATAGAAGGCCTTTGTCGCTATGCTACACAGGTAGCTAAGGAATTTACATTTTTTCAACTCAGCATGCTTCTTTATTTCTCAATTCATTTTAAAGGAATGTCTTTGTTTTTCGTTAATTTTTGTAATATACAAACGATTGACGTGCGATAACTTTCATTTGAAACTTGTCTCCCTTTCTGGTTTAGTGGAGTTTGATAACCATCATGAAAAACAGTGTTAGTTGAATTTCAAAATCGTAACAGTTTGTAGACATCACTATCTATTATTAATATCCGTTCTTTAAGTAAATACAGTTACAATTCATTTCAAAGCGCTTACATTAATTGAAAAGTGATTGGTTGATGTGTTCGACGGTTAATTTATTCAAAACTACATTATTTGATTTTTATCACAACATGGCGTCATTGCAGGACAATACTATATCAGACTGCACTCTTTTTGATAATCGGTTCTTCTTGAAAGCAGTCGGCAACTTCATATCTCCGCAATAAATTAGCGAGATGAAATCTTTTAACCTGGTACGTACAGCAATAAACAAACCAAATTAAACACGACGTTATTACGCATTAAGTGAGTTTGCTTATTTGATCGAGAAAAGCGAAAACTATTTCGTTAAATCCTTCTTCAATTTTTAACCCAAATACAGTCAAATTGTAATCCTTTTTTCCTTGACTGGTGTTAAACGAATTCACAAAACTTTGTATGTACGTGTTTGGTATCTTTTGAGTTATCATGCTCACAAACAATAAAAACATACATCCAAACTTCTAGCGTCGTTATTGGCGGTATTTTAATATGTCGGTGCTCAAACTTAGGCTGCGTTTACACTTTACCGGTTTCGCTCGTCACGATATCTTCATTTGTTTTAAAGGGTTAACTGTTCATAGTAAAAGCTTATTAAACTGATAGATTTAGTCTATTTGATTGTGTTTTTGACGTTGAACAATTTCACTGCTTTTTAATACAAAGAATATTCAACCTGCTACGATAGCAATCCGGTATAGTGTAAACGGGGCCTAAATTTACCATGATTATTAAGCTGAGAAAGTTTAAAGACAAAGGTCAGTGATGTTGAACTTTATCTAATCATATCACACGCCATGTTTTGTTTAATTTTTGTCGACAGTACTCGATAAGATTAATTTGACTTACTCTTTCATGATTTAAGTATCGATCAATCTTCTACTTCCTCATCATTGATGCCGTCACAATTATTATAGTCACTACACTAATTACATTATTGAACATAGTCAGACAACACGATACAAAATGTCAAATCGAGATCCCCAAATCACTTCCCTCGTTTGTTACGATAACAATATAATTTCGTGCTTACAGTTAAAATGTACATATTTCACTGTTTCTAAATATACGCTACATCATGGCGATAATTTGTGTTGTTTAACTTTACATTGTTGTTAATTGTTCGATTATCTTTGGTAAACGCTTGCATAACCACTACTTATAAGTTGATCGTTGAAGGTAGGTCCACCTGTACCGTTCGACAAGGTCACCAATGGTCTACCGTAGTAACCGATATTATGAAATTGTGCATTTACCAAGTTCTTGCTGTAATTAAGATGGTTTTGAATCTCTGGTACTGTTAATGGCGGGGTTTGAGATGGGAAGGACGCTGCACTTTTACCAATACATAACCATTTAAGGAAATCTCTTGCTTTTAAAGGTCTTCGTCTTCCTGTGCTTAGTTCAGGTGCTTGTACTCCTAGCAAACGACATTTGTAGCGTTGAAATTGTCCGTTCTTGTTGAACACTAAGTCAAGAGTATCGCCATCATGAATACTGATAACTTTTGCTGTCGCTGTAAAATATGTTGGAGGTGATTCAGTACTTCGTGGTACGTCGTTAATCGTTATGTCTTGAAGACGTTTCCAACTCATTTCGATATTTTTATTATTTACTGTCAGTTCAAAACTGCTTCTATAATGTGATACTGAACAATGACGTAATGTTGTTTAGCGGTGGGTAGTTTTAAAATTTGAATTTTGCGACTCAGCAACTTTCGTTTTTAGCTCGACTCGTTTTCCAGGAATAAGCGTTGTTTTAAATTAATTTTTCATGAATGAGCGTCACGTGGGATATTAAGTTACAGATGACTTTCATTGTGTAACAAGTCTCAATTCACGCTGGCACCAAGAGCAATATTTTATTTGAAATTTGAAATTTAGCAATTGATAGATATTTCAGTTTCTTGCTATTATTAAAACGTGTCCTCCCTTCAAATAAATAATCAATAGCAAATCATTTCATAATGTAGTGTACGGTGATAAGGCTCAATATAAGAGAAGTACAATGATGGAATGGAGTTGATATAAGAGAAGTACGATGATGGGATGTAGTTGATATAAGAGAAGTACTTCTTAATACAAAGAATATTCAACCTGCTACGATAGCAATCCCCGGTATAGTGTAAACGGGCCTAAATTTACTATGATTATTAAGCTGAGAAAGTTTAAAGACAAAGGTCAGTGATGTTGAACATTATCTAATCATATCACACGCCATGTTTTGTTTAATTTTTGTCGACAGTACTCGATAAGATTAATTCGACTTACTCTTTCATGATTTAAGTATCGATCAATCTTCTACTTCCTCATCATTGATGCCGTCACAATTATTATAGCCACTACACTAATTACATTATTGAACATAGTCAGACAACACGATACAAAATGTCAAATCGAGATCCCCAAATCACTTCCCTCGTTTGTTACGATAACAATATAATTTCGTGCTTACAGTTAAAATGTACATATCTCACTGTTTCTAAATATACGCTACATCATGGCGATAATTTGTGTTGTTTAACTTTACATTGTTGTTAATTGTTCGATTATCTTTGGTAAACGCTTGCATAACCACTACTTATAAGTTGATCGTTGAAGGTAGGTCCACCTGTACCGTTCGACAAGGTCACCAATGGTCTACCGTAGTAACCGATATTATGAAATTGTGCATTTACCAAGTTCTTGCTGTAATTAAGATGGTTTTGAATCTCTGGTACTGTTAATGGCGGGGTTTGAGATGGGAAGGACGCTGCACTTTTACCAATACATAACCATTTAAGGAAATCTCTTGCTTTTAAAGGTCTTCGTCTTCCTGTGCTTAGTTCAGGTGCTTGTACTCCTAGCAAACGACATTTGTAGCGTTGAAATTGTCCGTTCTTGTTGAACACTAAGTCAAGAGTATCGCCATCATGAATACTGATAACTTTTGCTGTCGCTGTAAAATATGTTGGAGGTGATTCAGTACTTCGCGGTACGTCGTTAATCGTTATGTCTTGAAGACGTTTCCAACTCATTTCGATATTTTTATTATTTACCGTCAGTTCAAAACTGCTTCTATAATGTGATAATGAGCAATGACGTAATGTTGTTTAGCGGTGGGTAGTTTTAAAATTTGAATTTTGTGACTCAGCAACTTTCGTTTTTAGCTCGACTCGTTTTCCAGGAATAAGCGTTGTTTTAAATTAATTTTTCATGAATGAGCGTGTCACGTGGGATATTAAGTTACAAATGACTTTCATTGTGTAACAAGTCTCAATTCACGCTGGCACCAAGAGCAATATTTTATTTGAAATTTGAAATTTAGCAATTGATAGATATTTCAGTTTCTTGCTATTATTAAAACGTGTCCTCCCTTCAAATAAATAATCAATAGCAAATCATTTCATAATGTAGTGTACGGTGATAAGGCTCAATATAAGAGAAGTACAATGATGGGATGTAGTTGATATAAGAGAAGTACAATGATGGGATGTAGTTGATATAAGAGAAGTACAATGATGGGATGGAGTTGGTATAAGAGAAGTACAATGATGGGATGTAGTTGATATAAGAGAAGTACAATGATGGGATGTAGTTGATATAAGAGAAGTACTTTTTAATACAAAGAATATTAAACCTGTTACGATAGCAATCCCCGGTATAGTGTAAACGGGCCTAAATTTACTATGATTGTTAAGCTGAGAAAGTTTAAAGACAAAGGTCAGTGATGTTGAACATTTATCTAATCATATCACACGCCATGTTTTGTTAATTTTTGTTGACAGTACTCGATAAGATTAATTCGACTTACTCTTTCATGATTTAAGTATCGATCAATCTTCAAATTCCTCATCATTGAAGCCGTTACTATTATTATAGTCACTACACTAATTACATTACTGAACATATTCAGACAACACGATACAAAATGTCATATCGAGACCCCCAAATCACTTCCCTCGTTTGTTACGATAACAATATAATTTCGAGCTTACAGTTAAAATGTACATATTTCATTGTTTCTAAAGATACGCTACATCATCGCGATAATCTGTGTTGTGAAACGTTACATTGTTAATTGTTCGATTATCTTTAGTAAACGCTTGCATAACCACTACGTATAAGTTGATCGTTGAAGGTAGGTTCACCTGTACCGTTCGATAAGGTCACCAATGGTCTACCGTAGTAACCCACATCTCCAAATTCAGCTTTTACAATATTTTGGCTTTGGTCTAACATATCTTGAATGGTCTCTTTGTCATATGGCTTGGTCCTACGATTGAAATCCTCCGCATCATTCCCAGTACATAGCCATACCAGGAAATCTCTAGCTTTTAGACCTTTCCGTTCACTTAATTCTGGTGTGTTAATCCCTGCTAGGCGACATTTGTATCGCATAAGACGTCGGTTCTTTGTAAAAACTAAGTCGCAAGTATCGCCGTCGTTGACTTTAACAACTTTAGCTCTTGCTGTAAAATTAGTCGGTGGTGGGTCCTCACTTCGTTCTATGTCACTTTTTTCGATATGTTGAAGTTTACTAGCCATTTGTCGTTGTCGTTCTTTCCTACGTACGCTTGAAACTGCACAAAGGCTGCTTGATGTTAACGAAGTGTTTGCTGACTGTTTTTTATCAGTAAAGCATAGCCGCTCAGGTTGACTCAGCATCTTTCGTTTCGCTATTTGTTTCCAAGAAAACCATTGTCACATGATTGATAACCAATGAACTATCGATGCTCGACAAGGGAGGTATTTTGGTTTCAACCAATCAGAGCGTTTGTGTACATTTTGTACTTAATGTGTGTGTATTTGTGATAATATTGCGAATTTTATGCCATTTCTATATGATATTTACATTATCTAACAGTTTAATGTTTTGGACAAGAACTAAACAAAAATTAAGTAAAACAGAATGTATAAAATACTGCTGGCAGTACATGGAAGCGTCGCGTGGGATATTAAGTTGCGAATAACTTTCATTCTGTAACTAGGCTCAATTCATTTAAAATTTAACAATTGATAGATATTTCAGTTCCTTGCTATTATTGAAACGTGTCCTCCTTTCAAATAATCAATAACAAATCATTGCATAATGTAGTCTACGGTGATAAGGCTCAATATAAGAGAAGTACATTGATGGGATGGAGTTGATATAAGAGAAGTACAATGATGGGATGTAGTTGATATAAGAGATGTACAATGATGGGATGTAGTTGATATAAGAGAAGTATAATGATGGAATGTAGTTGATATAAGAGAAGTACAATGATGGAATGAAGTTGATTTAAGAGATGTACAATCATGGGATGTAGTTGATGTAAGAGAAGTACAATGATGGAATGAAGTTGATTTAAGAGATGTACAATCATGGGATGTAGTTGATGTAAGAGAAGTACAATGATGGAATGGAGTTGATTTAAGATGTACAATCATGGGATGTAGATGATAAGAGAAGTACAATGATGGAATGGAGTTGATATGGAAGTACAATGATGGAATGAAGGATAAAGAAGAGAAGTATGAATGATGGAATGAAAGAATAAGGAAGAATGATGGATGGATGAAGATTTAAGAGGAATGAATGGGATGTAGTTGATGGAATGTACAATGATGGAATGGAGTTGATGGAAGAGAACAATGATGGAATGGATTGATGTAAGAAGAATACAATGATGGAATGGAGTTGATATAAGAGAAGTACAATGATGGAATGAAGTTGATAATAAGAGAAGTACAATGATGGAATGAAGTTGGTAATAAGAGAAGTACAATGATGGGATGGAGTTGAAGAATAAGAGAAGTTGTCATTTCATATTTGTGATAGTATAGCGAATTTTGTTCTATTTCTATTCAATATTCACAATATCTTACAACTGAGCTTGATTTAAATCTTCAGACGGCTGATTTTTTAAAGTTGTTTGAGTAAAACAAAGTCGCCATTTTAAAATATTACCGCTGGCATTACGTTTCGCTGGCCTGGTAAAAACTCAACCAAGCAACTGCTATATATACGAGCACGAATTAATCATTCGAGAAGCTTCGCATGCTTTTACACGTATTTTTTTACAATAAAACTTAAGTTTGATATTTTCCTCAGTCATAGGTAGCAGCAATATGCTATTCATGGTTAAACCACAGAATAATGATTATACAAAATGGTCACTCAGGTGTACAACGCGTCCTCATGTCGGCCATTACTCCAGCCAGATGATTAGGATTTCTCACTTATTTCCTACCGTTAAAATTACATGACGTCAATATTTAATAATGATTCAAGTATATTTTAAAGGTTGGCAAAAAGTCAAAAACCATAATCATCTGGCTGGAATAATGGCGGCCACCATGCGCGACACGACATGCGCGAGGACAAAAACATCAAAAGGTTCCGATACAAGTGACTCTTCTGTACATTCTTATTCTGTGGTTAAACTCCAAAGTTAGTCATAAGTTTTAAGGAACAGATGACCAACAATAATGACAATGAGCAGTAACTTATGTCACTAATTACTTTTTTAGTTCACATCACAAATCACGTCTTAATCGTTAATGTAAAACTGAACAGAAAACGGTGAAATATAATTTGTTTATTTTATATAATGAAATCGAAAAAAATTCCTAAATTTAACTGTGACTGCAGATAATTCAATTGAGACTCATGATGCTGATGAGGAGGGGTCTATAAATGATGTTTTGGAATTACAAGAACCACGAGGAGGAGCGACGTCATTGCGTCCTAAAATGCGTGAAAATGAACTTAAAAAACACAATGAAATTGATGAAGACGAAGAGGGGTCTATAAAGGACGTTTTGGAATTACACGAGCGGCGGTCTAACAATGAAAATGGTAAATTTTTCAACTACGAGTGCCAAAAATCCATCATACTTTCGTACTATAAAATATATCACAAATATATCATTAAAGTAGCCTGAACTATCCGATTTGGCGGACAAGTTTTTATTTTCCCCAACACCGCAAAATTGAAAATGTCGAGATTTTGTAACTATCACGTGTATATGATCTGTAGGATTAAAGAAATGCGATTGGTTAGCTTGAGTCACGAGCTAGAATATGATCTTTTTAATATGTTCGTTTGTCCATTAACGAATACATCTAGGTAAATATTCAAATAATTGCATCAACAACAATCTTGAAATACATTGGTGGTAAAACATTTAATTTTGGAAAAATATTACATCAATTGTTTTACCAATTATTCACAATTAAATTCGGTATAAATATCTTCTCGCGAGCAGGTCACAAAGAGTCGATGTTTGAAATCGATTGGAATTTAAAGAAAATTTGCATAATTTATAACCATATTATGACTGCTACTACGCATGCGTAGTTAAAAGAGCGCGATGACTTTGTTACTCAGAATTTTCTGATTATAAATCTGTATTCCACAAGACGCAAAATTGATCCCTGAACCAATCTTTAACCAGTATGTCGCCTCCAGCCAAGTACTATGAGATTATAAGCTAGGATTGGGGATCAATTTCACGTATTTGCAGTAGCTACACGGAATTAACACACTTCACGTAGTAGGATGTCGTTGGTAGTTGATGTACAATACAGGGTACACGTAGTAGGAGGTCGTTGGTGGTTGTTGATGTACAATACAGGGCTCATATATAAAATGCAATAATTCATTATCCTCTTATGAGCAATAAATTTATTTATTGTGAAGTGCTTCAGACAAAAAACGACAACTAAAATCCAGTTAAAAATGAGAAAAACGGTTCTGTAAACAATTATTTTGATTGGTGCTTTGGTGAACAATACAACAGCTAAATGAATAATTTAGTTGACATTTTCACAAATCCTTTTCTCGTGAAAAGTGTTTGATGCAAGTGGACATTATTACAGAGTAAAGAAAAATCACTATTTAACTTTAAAAGATGTTCAAATTGTGCTCGAACATTGATTTCACTGTCAGTTTCAAAACTTTATTTTAAAGTCCCGAAGATCGTTTTGTTTTGAAAGGCTTGTTATTCGATTGATCAAATACGACAGCTAATCCGTAAAAAGTTGGCAAGTGCATAATTTTTACTGTCGTGCTTTGACAAATACGTTTTTTGGAATGCCAAGTGAACAAATGGATTATTTTTCACACAAAAAACTGGGTATTGTCGTGTGTAGTGACGTTCAAACTGTTCATACTTATCAAACATTTTATGTGACAAAGGGACTTGTGGATATAGCAGAGGATAAACTGGTCTATTTGGAACACTGTGTGTTTATTTTAATCTAATTTAAAGGCGCCAGCGAAAAACAACGTATTTTCAACATATCACACATTTCGTTAACCTAAAATGGAAAAAAAACTGATCAATACTCTTACTAAATTAACAACGCTTTCATCTCAAATAGAGAATTTCATATATTCTTAAAGTGGTGAAACGGTTAATGGTGCGAAAATTGTCTCGCGGTTCATGAAGTAAACATACCAATACTAGATTGAAAGTAATTCTAGCAAAATGTCTAATAAAGATATGAAGGATGAACTGTTATCACGAGTTTTACTCAATTAAAACAAGGTTTCATGCTTCATACATCACATCCCGACTACCCAATCTCAAACACACTGACAAATAAGAAAAAACCCACGTGACTTACCACACCAATACCGTAATCCACATGAATACAACCAATGACGAACGTATAAACAGCTAGGACGTACACTTCGTTGAAACGAAACACCAGTAGTGCAACATCGATAATTATTAGAGGAATGAACATTTTGTTGAATACTTTACATTTTTGATGACTCATCGTGTTCACAATTAGACTGCACTAAAATAAAGTAAAAATTTCACTTGACACATTGAACAATACATCGGCATTTCTTTTTAGGCAACCAAGCAAAGCCGAAAGGCAAATCAGGGTTTGGAGTTATTTCGTTGGATGTAGGAAAAATTCTGGATGATTAACTGGTTTTAACTTCGAGTGGAAATCATAAACACGTCAAAGTGAGCAGTTGAAAAAATAAGGTTTTTCAGCAACAATAGAACCTTGGCCGTTTTAAAGACAGTGATGCAGTACTGTTGTCATAGTTGACACATGTATGATTTTTGCTCAAGGTTAAAGCCAACCCATATGGCAAAGCAAATATTGCATTTCTTGTTGCTTTTGCGATTTCTTATGGAGAACTGCAGATAAACCTTACGCTTAATGCATATAGGAAAAGCAGGCGCCATCAAAAGCGCTGCTATCTATACATTAAGCGATTGATTTGGCATGTCATCAGTATTTACAACCGTATACCGCACCGTAACATTCGAGAAAGCTGTAACTTACTGTAATATGTATGCAAATAGCTCTAGATCTTACCGTAATATTTGAAAAAACTATACCAAACGACGTGAAAAATAATCTAGGGTTGATCTGTAGGATATTACTTGATGAGTAATAAGCCCAGATTGTGAATAATGCAAAACAGCTAAATAACGGTACACCAGGCTTCAAAGCTTCGACCAATGATAACCCACGATCAGTCTTCTCTACTTTAGATCTGTTGTTAAGAAAAAATGAAGAAAAGACCAAGTTTTTGTAAGGCATTCCAATATTTAATTATAGTTGACGCAATAAGGGAAAAAGATGACGTCACGCAATGCATGATTGAACGAGTTAATGTAAATCACGCGTAGAGTAATTTTTAGGCTGTTTCTGAACCAAAAACAAAAATTTTTAACAATATTGTCACAGCCTGAACCAGTGATGATGATGATGTTGTTGCAAAGCATAACTAAAGATTTAACTCCTTAAAGCAATCTGTTGTTTAATCGAGGTGTTCCTTGTATATTTGAAACTATACTAGAATATAAAACAATACTAAATTACGGTAGTTTTAACCTGGATGTAGACAAAATTGGCGCTAACATTTGCTTCTAATCGTAACCATTGAATTCATCTAAATACATAGTTTACAAGCTTGGTCACCTTGTAGAACAGTAGTAACTAGGAAAACGACTGATCTGATGACGCGATTGCTTGGCAACAAACTGAAACATTTGCTTGCCAAATCTACCTATTGACGTGGCTCAATTTTTTGACGGTCCAAAATGCATTGCGTGGCGTCATACTTGCAACGGTTATTAGATAAAAACAACTAAAGAAATCTTACTTGTATATGTTGCGTAAGGATAAAGGGAAAAAGATACAGAAAAAACATACTGAAATGGAAAGACATTAAATTGATTAGATATGGCACAAAATAATGGAATGTGCTTGTTATAATCACAGAATGCTAACATACAAAAGGTGGTCTCCATTGATTTTTGACAATCCCCCTTCCCACAGATAAATTCAAAAATTTACCTCTAAACACAAAAAATCACCGGAAATAACCTTTATGCATTTTTATTCGGTGTTTTAAATGCGCGTTCACAAGAGAAGAACTATCTACGGTTCAACTTACAATGCGTCGTCCATTTAAAAAAATGTGTTAGACGGATATCTTTATAAAGAGGAAATTTCAAAAACTCTAGACCAAATATATACACGAACAAATAGATTCCAAGTAGTATCTGCAATGAAAGAAATATTCACATGATTGGTATGGATTGTAAACCTATCTATACTTATCCATCAGCCCAAAACATCCAGTTTGGTATTGCGATCAGTGACGTACCTACTTACGCATGCCCGTTGCACATTATATTACGATCACATTGACCAACCATAATACAATGAATAATAGTTACATGTTTGTAAATGTAGATCGTCCAGGTTGGTATAGTCCTGAGAAGGACTGTTTTTGTTGTTGTTGACTGACGTTTGGACAACCTTAGCGGTAGTCATCTTCAGAGACAAATGCAGACAAGTCATAATTATGCAAATTATTGACATCCAAAACAACCATTTTCTTACCAATTGACTAAAATCATAAGCCCATGGAAGAAATAACACTCCAGTTATATACTTCTCCCAGTGAGCCATATAAAAACCCAATAGAACGACAATCATTATCCAATGATAATCCCATACTGTGAGTGACATTGGACCCTGACCAAATAAGGAGTAAGCGCAAACAGTTATCAACCATATTGCCATACTGTCTATTCCATGATCAAACAACTCTCCCAAAGGTGAACTGAAAAGTTGATAGAAATGTCAAAATACATGATGAGATTTGCAAGACTAAGCATCTGATTTTTGTTGTGTGCATGGAAATAGAAGCTATATGTTGAAAAAAGCTCCCCCACCCTGATGAACTAGGTGCCATTCTTTCAGGACTGTGGCTAAATTGTCTATTTGGGATGGGGTGTTTATTGGTATATTTATTTGTGCTTGACTGACTTATTCAGATAGCCAAATCATTTTCAAAATAAATCAGTTGGGTGTAACTGAATAAACAATCATAATTAATGGTCTAGCAAATATGGCACTGCATCCCCACCAATCCAGCAAATGCAATCTCCTTAAATCCACCAGATGCCATCCCCCAACCCCAAGACACCAGATACAATCCCCTCCAATTCACCAGATGTCATTCCCAACCCCAACCCACCAGATGCCATCCCCAACCCCAACCCACCAGATGCCATCCCCAACCCCAATACACCAGATGCCATCCCCCAACCCCAATACACCAGATGCAATCCCTCCAATCCACTAGTTGCCTTCCCCCAACCCCAATACACCAGATGCAATCCCTCCAATCCACTAGATGCCTTCCCCCAACCCCAATACACCAGATGCAATCCCTCCAATCCACTAGATGCCTTCCCCAACCCCAATACACCAGATGCAATCCCCTCCAATTCACCAGATGCAATTCCCTCCAATCTACCAGATGCCATGCCCAAACCCAATACACCAGATGGCATATTTAAACCCAACTGATTTACAGAGAAGTTTGTTGCAAAAATATGCCTCAATAAGAAATTGGATGAACCAAGCAAAACACTTGAAAATGATCATCATATAACTTTTGATTTTATGTATTGGTAAGTAAGACTTCCTTTTGAAGATAGTTCAATATCTTTTGCATTCAAGTTAAGGAAAGTTTGATTGTCAACTCATATTTGTTGTATATTGATAATGCTTGAACATGTCTTGATGATGGTGCTATGTACAATAATGCAAGTTGATTGGAGAAACAGTGTTGTAGTAAACATTGAATTCACCTGCTGTTTGTCCTTCGAGCTTGTTTACCATCACAGCCATCTAGTGTATGAGCAACAAAGTGTGCTATAGCTATAAAAATCCATATCCACTGTGGTATGTTATATTTCTCATGTGACTTATCATCTGAACCTGCCGCAACCAAGAATGGATCATAAAACGTCAGTACAAGGAAGATTGCCACAGTGAGCACCCATCCTACGAAGGTCATGACATTGGGGGCAAGCCACATTGGAAATACCTAAGGAAAAAATATTGCTTGAGGAAAAAAGCTAAACTAGTTTGAGATACATGATTCGGTGTATTAAGGACAGTGTTTTGTGCTTACATGAAAAACAAGCGTAAAGTACTCTCTGTAGTAGGAAGTTTTTACTTGATCTTTGGTGCGTGTTAATAATTAATAGGTTGATTTCTCACGTATTCTTAAAGATCGTTTAAAAAAATCGTTTAAAGACATACTCTAAAATTTCTAGTGCATCTTGGAAGTGATTCAACATAATACCAAAAACCGAAAGGAGAATATAAAAAAGCACTTTCATTCTATTTACTGATATTTGATCCTTCGGTTGTAGTACTATGTGAACTCCAGCATGCAAAATCACGCCACTTTAACATTGAAGATTACCGAGATAGAAGTTCTCCATAGTACAATTTGCTCAGTAGTGACAAATCCAAATGTCGTAAAAATGATGACTAAATTGACGTACCTTCACAGCTCTGTTCCAAAAAGGATGCATCAAATATACTGCCAATGGGCTCGTATCTCTAGATGCGTACTATACAAACAAAGAGATTTTTTTAGCACTGTGTGGGATTTAATTTATCAACTTTGCGTGAGCAGCTTTACTTTGTATTTTTGAAATCCATCTCGTTGTTCTTTCGTTAAATAAGAACCGCTCATATTTTCCAAGGATTTATTTATTATTTTCTTCCCCGTTTTCCGTAAACTGATCACTACAGTAATGACGTATTTCGCAATAAGGGTAAATTCTCCGGTCCTCTATCACCGGTGGCTACAAAATGCTCCTAGGCGGCGAAAGCGAAGCATTTCGCTTCTATTTTTAAGGCGGAAGCGAGACATTTCGCTTCTATTCTAGGCAATGTTTCAACTTTCTACATTACCTTCGGTGGCTACACTACCAGACTGCGTCTAAATTTAGGTCTTTACTTTGTCGAAGGTCACTTTGTTACAAACTCGCCCCCTCCCCTCACTAAAATTTTTCAGATGACCACTGTCAAAAATATGAAAATATGAACATCATTTGGTAATCACGTTTAAGTCAGAACCATGGCGCGTATCTTCTGAAGGGGGCTGGGTAGCGGCTCACCAGTCTGTTACACGTCATTCGTTCTTTTTTAATGATGATGCCGTGTTTTAAGTCGAAGTGTTTGAATGAAACTCTTTCAATATCAATTAGCTATGCTATACTTTATCTGGTGCATTTGTTAATATGTGGTCAACGAGACTAGTTAATATCAATAATATTATGTTGGGCAATTGTCTTTTTAATACGAATCGGTTTCATCCGCGGCTAATCACGGGCTATTATTCCTGAAGACTGTTGTTTTAAGGAATATTGGAAAAGCCTTGTCTACACCCTCTTCCCTCCTCTCAAAGTTTCCACTACTGGCGCTAGTTGGTATGACGGGTCAAAATGAACTGTTCGGTTTACCTTTTAATATGATTCAGTAATCGAGTATTTTCTTCTCAGCTAGTATACAGTCCAAATAATGAGCGCGTAATACCTCCTCAAGGTGTTGGAAACTTTGAGAGACGTTCCCCTCTTGGAACATTCTCGAGCATTTCTTGGTCTCACGCAAGAATTTTGACCTTCTAGTGACGTAATACCTCCTCAAGGTGTTGGAAACTTTGAGAGACGTTCCCATCTTGGAACATTTTCGAGCATTTCTTGGTCTCATGCAAGAATTTCGACCTTCTAGTGACGTAATACCTCCTCAAGGTGTTGGAAACTTTAAGTGACGTTCCCCTCTTGGAACATTCTCGAGCATTTCTTGGTCTCACGCAAGAATTTCGACCTTCTAGTGACGTAATACCTCCTCAAGGTGTTGGAAACTTTGAGAGACGTTCCCTCTTGGAACATTCTCGAGCATTTCTTGGTCTCACGCAAGAATTTCGACCTTCTATTGACGTAATACCTCCTCAAGTTGTTGGAAACTTTGAGAGACGTTCCCATCTTGGAACATTCTCGAGCATTTCTCGGTCTCACGCAAGAATTTCGACCTTCTAGTGACGTAATACCTCCTCAAGGTGTTGGATACTTTGAGAGACGTTCCCCTCTTGGAACATTCTCGAGCATTTCTTGGTCTCACGCAAGAATTTCGACCTTCTATTGACGTAATACCTCCTCAAGTTGTTGGAAACTTTGAGAGACGTTCCCCTCTTGGAATATTCTCGAGAATTTCTCGGTCTCACGCAAGAATTTCGAACTTCTAGCGACGTGTTACCTCCTCAAGGTGTTGGAAACTTTGAGAGACGTTCCCCTCTTGGAAATTTCTCGAGCATTTCTTGGTCTCACGCAAGAATTTCGACCTTCTATTGACGTAATACCTCCTCAAGTTGTTGGAAACTTTGAGAGACGTTCCCATCTTGGAACATTCTCGAGCATTTCTCGGTCTCACGCAAGAATTTCGACCTTCTAGTGACGTAATACCTCCTCAAGGTGTTGGAAACTTTGAGAGACGTTCCCTCTTGGAACATTCTCGAGCATTTCTTGGTCTCACGCAAGAATTTCGACCTTCTATTGACGTAATACCTCCTCAAGTTGTTGGAAACTTTGAGAGACGTTCCCTCTTGGAACATTCTCGAGCATTTCTTGGTCTCACGCAAGAATTTCGACCTTCTAGCGACGTGTTACCTCCTCAAGGTGTTGGAAACTTTGAGAGACGTTCCCTCTTGGAACATTCTCGAGCATTTCTTGGTCTCACGCAAGAATTTCGACCTTCTAGTGACGTGTTACCTCCTCAAGGTGTTGGAAACTTTGAGAGACGTTCGCATCTTGGAACATTTTCGATCATTTCTTGGTCTCACGCAAGAATTTCGACCTTCTAGTGACGTAATACCTCCTCAAGGTGTTGGAAACTTTGAGAGACGTTCCCCTCTTGGAACATTCTCGAGCATTTCTTGGTCTCACGCACGAATTTCGACCTTCTAGTGACGTAATACCTCCTCAAGGTGTTGGAAACTTTAAGTGACGTTCCCCTCTTGGAACATTCTCGAGCATTTCTCGGTCTCACGCAAGAATTTCGACCTTCTAGTGACGTAATACCTCCTCAAGGTGTTGGATACTTTGAGTGACGTTCCCCTCTTGGAACATTCTCGAGCCTTTCTTGGTCTCACGCAAGAATTTCGACCTTCTAGCGACGTGTTACCTCCTCAAGGTGTTGGAAACTTTGAGAGACGTTCCCCTCTTGGAACATTCTCGAGCATTTCTTGGTCTCACGCAAGAATTTCGACCTTCTAGTGACGTAATACCTCCTCAAGGTGTTGGATACTTTGAGTGACGTTCCCCTCTTGGAACATTCTCGAGCCTTTCTTGGTCTCACGCAAGAATTTCGACCTTCTAGCGACGTGTTACCTCCTCAAGGTGTTGGAAACTTTGAGAGACGTTCCCCTCTTGGAACATTCTCGAGCATTTCTTGGTCTCACGAAAGAATTTCGACCTTCTATTGACGTAATACCTCCTCAAGTTGTTGGAAACTTTGAGACGTTCCCCTCTTGGAACATTCTCGAGCATTTCTTGGTCTCACGCTAGAATTTCGACCTTCTAGCGACGTGTTACCTCCTCAAGGTGTTGGAAACTTTGAGAGACGTTCCCCTCTTGGAACATTCTCGAGCATTTCTTGGTCTCACGCAAGAATTTCGACCTTCTAGCGACGTGTTACCTCCTCAAGGTGTTGGAAACTTTGAGAGACGTTCCCCTCTTGGAACATTCTCGAGCATTTCTTGGTCTCACGCAAGAATTTCGACCTTCTAGTGACGTAATACCTCCTCAAGGTGTTGGAAACTTTAAGTGACGTTCCCCTCTTGGAATATTCTCGAGCATTTCTCGGTCTCACGCAAGAATTTCGAACTTCTAGTGACGTGTTACCTCCTCAAGGTGTTGGAAACTTTGAGAGACGTTCCCCTCTTGGAAATTTCTCGAGCATTTCTTGGTCTCACGCAAGAATTTCGACCTTCTATTGACGTAATACCTCAAGTTGTTGGAAACTTTGAGAGACGTTCCCATCTTGGAACATTCTCGAGCATTTCTCGGTCTCACGCAAGAATTTCGACCTTCTAGTGACGTAATACCTCCTCAAGGTGTTGGATAATTTGAGAGACGTTCCCCTCTTGGAACATTCTCGAGCATTTCTTGGTCTCACGCAAGAATTTCGACCTTCTAGTGACGTAATACCTCCTCAAGGTGTTGGAAACTTTAAGTGACGTTCCCCTCTTGGAACATTCTCGAGCATTTCTCGGTCTCACGCAAGAATTTCGACCTTCTAGTGACGTAATACCTCCTCAAGGTGTTGGAAACTTTGAGAGACGTTCCCCTCTTGGAACATTCTCGAGCATTTCTTGGTCTCACGCAAGAATTTCGACCTTCTATTGACGTAATACCTCCTCAAGTTGTTGGAAACTTTGAGAGACGTTCCCTCTTGGAACATTCTCGAGCATTTCTTGGTCTCACGCAAGAATTTCGACCTTCTAGCGACGTGTTACCTCCTCAAGGTGTTGGAAACTTTGAGAGACGTTCCCCTCTTGGAACATTCTCGAGCATTTCTTGGTCTCACGCAAGAATTTCGACCTTCTAGTGACGTGTTACCTCCTCAAGGTGTTGGAAACTTTGAGAGACGTTCGCATCTTGGAACATTTTCGATCATTTCTTGGTCTCACGCAAGAATTTCGACCTTCTAGTGACGTAATACCTCCTCAAGGTGTTGGATACTTTGAGAGACGTTCCCCTCTTGGAACATTCTCGAGCATTTCTTGGTCTCACGCACGAATTTCGACCTTCTAGTGACGTAATACCTCCTCAAGGTGTTGGAAACTTTAAGTGACGTTCCCTCTTGGAACATTCTCGAGCATTTCTCGGTCTCACGCAAGAATTTCGACCTTCTAGTGACGTAATACCTCCTCAAGGTGTTGGATACTTTGAGTGACGTTCCCCTCTTGGAACATTCTCGAGCCTTTCTTGGTCTCACGCAAGAATTTCGACCTTCTAGCGACGTGTTACCTCCTCAAGGTGTTGGAAACTTTGAGAGACGTTCCCTCTTGGAACATTCTCGAGCATTTCTTGGTCTCACGCAAGAATTTCGACCTTCTAGTGACGTAATACCTCCTCAAGGTGTTGGATACTTTGAGTGACGTTCCCTCTTGGAACATTCTCGAGCCTTTCTTGGTCTCACGCAAGAATTTCGACCTTCTAGCGACGTGTTACCTCCTCAAGGTGTTGGAAACTTTGAGAGACGTTCCCCTCTTGGAACATTCTCGAGCATTTCTTGGTCTCACGAAAGAATTTCGACCTTCTATTGACGTAATACCTCCTCAAGTTGTTGGAAACTTTGAGAGACGTTCCCCTCTTGGAACATTCTCGAGCATTTCTTGGTCTCACGCTAGAATTTCGACCTTCTAGCGACGTGTTACCTCCTCAAGGTGTTGGAAACTTTGAGAGACGTTCCCTCTTGGAACATTCTCGAGCATTTCTTGGTCTCACGCAAGAATTTCGACCTTCTAGCGACGTAATACCTCCTCAAGGTGTTGGAAACTTTGAGAGACGTTCCCCTCTTGGAACATTCTCGAGCATTTCTTGGTCTCACGCAAGAATTTCGACCTTCTAGTGACGTAATACCTCCTCAAGGTGTTGGAAACTTTAAGTGACGTTCCCCTCTTGGAACATTCTCGAGCATTTCTTGGTCTCACGCAAGAATTTCGAACTTCTAGTGACGTAATACCTCCT